AATGTGTGGCGGCCCTCACCTATGATGTCTTATTGGCGGAAGTAGCCCCCCTCTGAAAATAAGCGAAGAACACCACGCTCCAATATTCACCGTTATCGACAATAAAAAAAAAACGAATAAACCTGTGATTTTAAACGACCCGTAAATCACGGTGACCTCGACTGATCTCGAAAAAACACACCGTTAAAACGCAGTACTCCCTGGAGATGTGGCCAACGGCAGGCCGACGCTTTTTTTTCTTCAAATCAATATTTGTTTGCTTTAAATGCCCTTTGCAGCATTTTCCCATGACCAGCGTTACTAAAATTCAGGCGGAGTTCGGGAAAATATTTCATGAGAAATGAAGCCCTGCCTACTACTACAGTACTATAGTAACTACAACTACTTAAGGATCAAATCACCCGGACTGCCCCCGATCTCGCGAGATTTGGGAAGCTCATCAGTACCCCGGAGCCTGGACAGCGCCTGGGTTTCCGAGCTGGCTGCGAAAAAAACACTGTCAAGCGGTAGGTAGCAAACTCCAATGTTGTACTGCACTTCTGCTCCCCCACAAGGGTCTCCGCTTCAAACCTCTTCGCCAAACCTACACTGACCAGCGCGGTGAAGCATATTCACATAACCCACATGACCCCGACGGCGTGGGGTGACCCTCAATTGAAAGGGCTACGTCCTTAAATGCCCTTTTACCTCATTACATTGCAGGGGTAGTGAGATATGGTTCGCGGCGTGTGGTCATTATCCAGCAGTGGACCGAACACGACCCCCTCTATAATATTTATTCAAGAAAGGGTCACGGAGTCTTGAGGCTCATTAGTAGGAGCAGGAGACACGGTCCTGTATGATAAGAGCAGCTCTTCGTCTAGTACAGGGGTGGGGAACCTTTTTCTACCAAGGGCCATTTGGATATTTATAACATCATTCGCGGACCATACAAAATTATCAACTTAAAAATGAGCCTGTTATATTTGGTCAAACATTTAATTAACTCGCCCCTAATGTGATGGGGCTGGAACTGCTTCTCTTTGGTGAGGCGTGGTGATGTTAGCCGGTATTGACGATGCTGCTACTCGCAACTGCTTTTCCAGGTTTGCTCTCCTAGATTTATTGAATTTCGAGTCCCGCCTGCGGTTGCCTTGGCAGGGCCAGACCAAATGATTTCGGGGGCCTCACACGGCCCGCGGGCCGGACGTTCCTTACCCCTGGTCTAGTAGCTGCCGTGTGGTATCGGGCTGTCAGAGACACGATGCTGGAATCTTTCGTTCATGAGAAATAAAAAGGCTTTAAAGTTACGGTCAAGCGCGGTTTTCGAGTGAGGACATTGATTCGAACGTGTGGGACTTCTCGTTGCAGTGACATCACGAGAGGGGCAATGACGAAACGGCTCCTTGTAACTTGAGACTTTGTTTGGATTATAGTTCATGAGAATGACTCGATAACATTGTGTAGCCGTAAAAGGAAAAGTATACAATAGGCGACGTTTCGGGCAACGACCCTTCACAGCACATGGAGAGGCCATGTACGTAACAGGTGGTGAGTGGGCTAGTCAGGGTTAGGGGCAGGCGTAATATTTGCGGCTGCTTAGTTGCGTAGGGTCAGTGAGAGGACTGGTGCTAGTGAGCCCAATGTGGGCCCTGAGGATACATTACCTTGGCAGGCCACACTTTCAAGAGGACAGAAGAACTACGGACAAGATCTAGAGATGTAGCAAGATAAGAGAAACGTAGACGGGGATGTAGTAGAATGGAAATTCGGACAAGATATATAAATGAGAGAAATTAATTGGATTTCTGAAATGTTAAAACGGCTTGTTTACGCTTCATAGGATTCGAATTTAAGCTGAGATGTTTTGATACAGCCAGATAATCGCATGAATCCCGGGCCCCTTGAGCCGTTTGGGCACCCTAATCATTTGCTTGGTTTGCTGATGCCTCGCACAACCACGGGCTGGTTGGTTCGTTGATTAGGGCCACTGGTGTAGGGTTCGTACTTCATGGATGCTGGGCTATTAGTTCAGGATTATTGAGAGAACTTTCACTCGTCGCCGATTTACTATATGGCAGAGTTAGGGGGGCCATGGTAGGGCTAATAATAATACTCGTGGCTGGTTGGGTAGGTGTCTAGGGTTAGGGTAGAGCTGGCATGTGGTTGGCTGAGTTAATTACAGTATAAATACATATTTTGAATTTCTGAACTCCTTCCCTTTAACCGCCACCCATGCCTGATGCTAAACTAGGGTCGCCGTCTTGGGTTTAACTCGGACAGTCCGGGAATCGGCGTCTTGTGTTCGGCTGGCTGCACGAATTGGTTGGTACCGAGGTCGAGTACCGGTGTGTTACTGTGCGGATCTTTATTACAGGATACCACACAGTTGTCAGAATAAAATTACGTGGAAAAAGTTGGCGAAACACCACAACCAAACGCTCCATTGTTATTTACCTTGGTTACATCAGTTCTGTTAAAAAAGAAAATACACCTGTAATGTACCGCGCAGTATTCGCTCACGTTTTGAAGAGAAAGAACGACTGAGGTACGATGAGTTGCCACAGACAAGTGGAAATGGCAGCCAGGCGGCGAGCCGGCGCCTGCGATTGCCCAAGCTCTACGATCCTCTGTATATAAATATTTTCAGCCAATAAATGAGTGTATATACTATACTGTATATATATTTTTTCCAAGTGAGGCCCACTGAGCTATATAGCTCTTTTTTTTAGAAGCGACCTGGCCACAAATAATTTCTCAACGCAATGGCTTATCATGTGGACATTTATAACAACCAAATTCTCGAAACGCATGTTTCTAAATGTAGAGGGAAAAGAAACTGGAGGACCCAGAGACCACGAGTAGAATATGCATCTCTAAATATATAGGCGACAAGGTCGGGATCGAACCCGCGACCATCACTATATACCAGGCGAGGTAGTTAACATCTCGCCACCGGTGCACCATATATGTGTGACGAAAGCAGATCACATGGAGAGGCGGCAACAACCGATTGTGCACTCATAAAACAGATGGAGATTAGTCCACACCTCGCTGTACCCAATTCTCCTGTCGAGCCCAGGATTGATGGCACCTCCGCGGCGACCACGGGAAGGGAGTCTCGCGACTTCCGCATGAGCCACCAGCGGTGTTTTCAGTTGGCTTCAACTCGGGGCCACTTTAGCCAATATTTGTTGCGTGTTGCAATCCACCGGTGGATTGACAATTTGAAGGCCGTACCTGTATATGGATGGACGAGGCACCTGTGTGCCTGTGCCCGGAGAAGAGTTAACGCACGTCAAGGGAAAGAAAAAGCCAACTCGAGAATGCCACACACCGTTCGGCAGCAGCCTTTCCTGCTGCACGTGCTCTGCCACCTGCCGGCCGGCCGGCCCGTGGCCCTGGCGGCAACGCGGTTGAATGTTCGAGGAGGCGTTGCCACGCACGGACCGCTGCGACGTCTCGTGGCCGTATTCGGGAGCACGTTTTCCCCGCGATTAATAACTTAACGACCGCTTTAACTGTTATCGGCGGTTGCATATATTTACAACAGCGGGCGGAGTTTAGATTGACGTCGGGTGGCGTGGCTCTGCGATCTGCTTGGTACGCGGGAGAAGGATAAGCGTTGTCATCACTGAGCATATGCATCGATCGGTCGCATCGTTGTGATTCGTTCTTGACGAAAGAGTAACAATCGAAGTGCTTCGTTTCGAGTGATGTATCCGATCATTTTCATTTGTGAGGTTTCAATTTACGAAACCGTGCGATGGCAGAGAAACGGAAGCATATTGTTTTAACTTTAGATCGGAAAACTGGATATTATAGACGTAAATTGGAAGACAGTATTTCCAATGTTCTTAACTTCAACGTGTTTTACACCCATATCAGTGTTTTTTTCGCATCGAGCTCCACGGAAGTGTGTTTTTTTATTATTCGCGATTTTGGATTATCCGCGGGCATCCTCCCCGTAATTAGCGCGGACAATCGAGAGTCCACCGTGTAGCATTCAGTTGATGTTCTCATTTAAACCAGGTGAGAACTCAAGATACCAGGATTGAGTCTCATTTGCGAGAGTGACCCTGGGGGCAGTCGTCTGCCAGCAGGGCAGCGATGCTTGCTCCCTAGAATCCCAACCGAGGAGCTCGCGGTGCAGTTTTAGAATTTGGCAAATTTGGACCCCGTGACGCCGGCACCGCACACAGTGGCTCCCTGCTCTTGCGAATTACGTCAGGGGATTATTCTTCCTCTTCTTCTACCTCTTCTTCTACCTCTTCCTTCTTCCTCTTCCTTCTTCCTCCTCTTCTTCCTCTTCTTCTACCTCTTCCTTCTTCCTCCTCTTCTTCCTCCTCTTCCTCTTCCTCCTCTTCCTCCTCTTCCTCTTCCTCCTCTTGCTCTTCTTCCTTCTTCCTCTTCCTCCTCCTCCTCTTTCTCTTCCTCCTCTTCCTCCTCTTCCTATTCCTCCTCTTCCTCTTCCTCCTCTTCTTCTTACGTGCACGTGTACACCATTGTATGCGCAGTGTATTGAAATGGGATAAAATAGTAAGCGTCACACCGGGGAATTACCGTCGCCCACTAATAGTCGACGATTTCGACGGATATTTCCTACAGATTTCGTTGACGATATTAACACGACGCACGTGCGTCTGCGTCGTCGTGCCATCGACCAGCTCTGTACATAATGGGAACCCCCCATCAGAATCAGAGTGCAGGCTATAAAACCAAAATAATACGGTTTCCAGAAGCAAGACTTTCTACCAAGTGAGCCTTGGTGACTATAACTGTACCGATGAGTCCCAATAAAAACGAAGCCAGTCCACAGTTTGTCTATCTCTGCATCACTGCTGCCCGTCAGGCGGTAACACGTTTACTCGAATTGATTTATTTTGATGGTGACCTCGAGCAACAAGGGAGGGCCCCACGGTGCGGTTAGTTCTTCGGGAACTGCCGGCAGTTTTTGTTGTTGCTGCTGCTGCTACTGCATGATGCACAAATGCTGTGGTCCGGTCGCTGTTCTGCGCCAGGTGACGGGGATCTTGCCCGAATGTGAATTCCTCGTGGAGCTCAAGAAGCGGGAGAACGAGTGTGCGGAGCGCGTGGGCCACGAGATCAACGCGTCCGTCGCTCGCGGCCTCTACCTGCCCGGTACCGTGGTGACCCAATGACAAAGATCCCCCCCCCCCGCGTAGCCTTAGAGTGTCGGGGTAAGTGCTGTGAGCGAGTAGCGCCTGCGAAGGCTCGAACGACACACGAGGTGGTTGGGTGGCCAGCGCCACGCCCGACCTCCTTTGATTTCCCCGGTAGAGATGTTTACACAGCCTCACCAGGCATTCATTTGAGGCTGAGTCGACCTAGAGAAGGCCCGGGAACGGTTCAGATTAATTATCGTCGGTGGTGTGGCCGTGAGCGGGAATCGAACTCGGTTAGCCGGGTCCAGAGCGCGGCGCGCTAACCCCTACACTACCGCTCCTCCGTGACCCACTCCCTCCACCCACGTGGCGGTGTGGGGGGGATAAGGGTAAAGCCCCCCCCCCCCCCACCCCTTGATACACGTACACGCAACGTGGGCTTTAGGGGCCTTCAGCACTGAGCCAGCGACAGTAACGACGGATTCCTTGGCTTCGGGTCTCGATGGTAAAGGAGTGTGTGGGGGTGGGGCGGGGGGGGGGGTCAAAACGATAACAGCCCTGCCCCCCCCTCCCTCCCTCAGACTCAACCTGGCTCTGAGCCACGTGCGCACAAAGATGTGTGGAGGGGCATGAATGGGACAGCCATTAAGTTGATTCATCAATTGAAAATGGTCATCGGCTTACGTGTTCTGGAGGATTGCTTTGGGCCCCGTTAACATAAGAAAAACAACGAATAATATGTTTTACTTGACCAAGTAAGGCCCACTGAGCTATATAGATCTTTTTTTCAGAAGCGAACTGGCCACAAATGATCGCTCAACGAAGTGGCTTACCGTGTGGACACTTATAGCAGCCAAATACTCTAAATGTGTAGGGAAAAACCAGAGAACCCGAAGAAAAATCCACGCGACCACGGGGAGAGAGACGCGCAAACTACAAATATACAGCAGGCGTCAGGGTTGGAACCCACGGCCTCCTGCATGCCAGGCAAGGGAGTTAACATCTCGCCACCAGCAGTCCAAAAATCCTGCCGCCTCAAGGTGGGAACCTCCCCCCCCCCCACCCCGACAAACAACCTAAAACTCTCTCTCCAAAGCCGGACTCATCCATTGCCGGAGGAGTTGGCGTCAACACCCCCTCCGTAGCTCACGCTATTGGAGACCCTTCCGCCAGCGAGTGGCGTGGGCAAGACAACACGGCAGCACTGCGCTGGTACCCTGCACCAAATTGAAAGACCCTCCTAAGAGGTCCGTACTCCCGTAGTTCTCAGGTTTCGGCCTCCAGAGGCCATTCTCGAGCACGTGACGGGTCGGGGGCAACGATGTTACCCGGCTGTTTACGAGTGAGTTGAAGGTCTGGGTTGAGTTCCGAATGTGGTATTTCTCCGTCGCACGATGCCGTCGGCACAATCGGATCGCAAACGCGTCACGTGAAACGAAAAGTAAAAGTTGCTCTGTCCGTGCATTTGTCCGCGTTTGTGCGCGTGTGTGCGTGCGCTCGCCTCGTGCCAGGCTGCCCCGGCATGTGGGACAATCTGTCGTGCTGGCCGGCGGCTGCCCACGGAGACGTGCGGTCCGTGCCCTGCCCGGATTTCATCGCCCTCTTCAAGAAACGAGGTGCGCGCTCGCGGTCACGGCAGCAGCGCGCCTGAACACGCGCGCCATCAACACCGGCGCACTCTCAAACCACCCGCACCGCTAATTAGCAACCGCACCGTCGACGACTGTTTCGCGATGGGCATCGCTTGTTCGGGTGGCGGCAGGAATGGATTCGTGCAGGTGACCTGGTGCCGGCCGGCGTTGCTTTGCGGAGCTTCGTATACAGGAGAAGGCAGAGACGCTTTCGATGACAGGCCGAGCGGTGGCTGAGAAACGCGTCCGGGTTTTGCTCTCCAGTTGGAAAAGGTGGCGACCCTCCTATAGCTGAGACCCCAAAGGCTGCAGCATTAAATACCTCCAGGTTGGCTATGCTGCATGTCGCCTGTAATCCAGCGCTGGAGGCGGGGGGGGGGTAGGTGGATCACGGCACAAATCTTGTGAAACTCCCTTCCCATTGGGCGTCGATGAGGAGCCGTACCTCGGCTTTCCAAGAGAAGGCAGTACATTAAAATGTGGACTCCACCTGTTTCATCTGTATGGGATAGAGCGTTGCTTCCTCGCATGCGTGGGCTTTCTTCCCACATGTAAACACCTCAGTAATTGGGCCGATGGCACCTTAATACATAGAGGACCGCAGCGCTTGTGCAATTTGCTGGTGCCGGCTCACCACGTGGCTGCTTTCCTGCTCGTCTTTCATGCCTCGTGCCTCGCTTGACAGCACTTGCCCCTGGCGGTCTGTTAAAGGCCACGTGTGGGGGGCATTTGTTTTCATGCGTGTGCTCATCCAGGCGTGGTGTACCGGAACTGCACGCACACCGGCTGGACCGACCCCTACCCCAAATACGACGAGGCCTGCGGCTTGGACGACGTCAACGAGAATGAGACGGACGAGAGGGTGAGGGAGCCGTCTACAGGACAACCCCGCCCCAACCCCCGACTCCCTTCGGACAATCGGCATCCGAAAATTGCCCCGGCCTTTCTCGTTGGCTGGGCTCGACCCAACACGAGCGAGCTTGGGCTGCGTGGCCGTGTGCGGCCGTTTGCCGGTGGCAACGCGGGCTCTGTGGGCACGACGTCCGGGCGTCGATTTCATCTTGCCCTATCGTAACCACCACCGTTACCGTCCCCCACCCCGCTACGTGTTCTCATCATATGGGGCTCACTCATTAACCCCTTTCGTTCCATCCATTCATCGTCATTTACTGTCGTCGATTTCGCTTTCACCGAATTGACGCATCCCAGATTCGGCCCCCCCGCCTCCCCATTGCTTCCTCTCATCCATTTGACTCACCTCATCTCCACCCTTACGCTCATACGTTCTACCGTTGCTAATGCTCTGTAAAGCGCCCTGGTTGAGGCGCGATATACATGCACGATAAGATTTTGCGCGGCCTTGCTTCAAATTCACACCTCAAGTTTATTCGGCTGTCGCGCGTCACAGAAATGTGAATGACATCCGGACTTTCCGCGCCCACGTGCTGCTGGGAGCTTCTTCAACGAAACGACATAATTCAGGAACGATTCAGCTCCTGAGCAAGCTGCCAGCACGTGGAGGCGAAACGTCGGACATTGTGCCGAACAAGCACGTGGCACAATCCGAAAGCACATCGGAGAGTGTGTTTGGGGGAGCGGTGGCACAGTGATTAGCTCGCTGCCCTACAAACCCGGTGACCAAAGGTCAATTCCCACATGACCAATCAACGGTCGCAAATATTTTAACTGGTCCTGGGCCTCTCCTACCTGGTACGGTGTATAGACATCAGCATTGAATGCCTGGCATGGTGCTGGCCACCCACTGACTCGTGTGCCGTGGCGGCCTTCATAAGTGCTCGCGAAGCAGCACTTTGACCGCAAACAGTTTGCTCAAGGCTACACGGGGGGGAATCTTTGCCTTTGTGTGCGTGTGCAGTCGTACTACAGGACGGTGAAGATCACGTACACGGTCGGGTACAGCACGTCGCTCATCGCTCTCACCGCCGCAATGCTCATCCTCTGCCTCTTCCGGTGCGAAGCCGAGGGCACGAAACACGCGGACACGCGTGGGTGGGTTCGTGCCGTGACCTCCCGGGGGGGGGGGGGCCCTGCCGGCCTAGCGCTCGGTCACGCCGCGGGGCCTCGGAAGCGCACCGAGCCCGGCACGAGCGCCGTGACCGTTGTTGTTGACGCGTGGCGATGGGACGTGCGGTTTGTTCGGTGGTTGCGATTGGTCGCGTATGGGGGGGGCGGGGGCGGTGTGGGCTTTGGTGCACGAGAATACGGGGGGGGGGGGGGGCGGGCAATTTTCTTCGTCCGGTCCCACTGGCCCCAGGAGTGCCGTGGCCACCGCCTGCACACCCAGTGCCGGATGAAGCTCGTGCGGGGCCTGTAGCATGTGTTACAAAGGGGCCCGAAATACAAAAATAAACATGTAAATATTTTAAAATATATATTTACCTGCAGAGTAAAGTAATTTGATTTTTTCATTTGCTATACAGCCAGATAATACGACAAATCGCAAACCTAAAACACGCAGTCGTTCATAAAAATTAAAGGCGGTATAGTACTATAGTAATAGAGCAAGTGCAGAATCACTGAACCGGAATTGATAGCCTGAAAGTATTTAGCGCGGGGCCCTTGAAAGTGCGGGGTCCGTAGCCATATGCAGCTACTTTTGCGACTAGAAGAATCCGGCACTGTGCACACCCGATAGCTAGTTTTATCGAACAATAGAGTTGTGATGGTTCAGTCTTTTTTTTACGTGTTATATCAAAATTCGCGATCATTCAACATGTGAAGACGCTGACGATGCGATGTGTGATAACGCAAGGGTTGCCACCTGTGGTCCGGGCGTCAGCTGGTGCAGTCCGGGAATCGGCGTCTGTGTTCAGGTGGCAGCAGCAATTGATGTGCGCCGAGATCCGGTACCGGTGTAGCTGCTGCGAGGAAATTCGTTACAGAAGTCTACCGCACGCTCCTGATAATAGACCCAGTGCGGGCTGGGGGAATCTGTCCAGGGTTTGGCCGACAGCGGAAAAGGTGGCGACACTAGATGACGCGTATGTGTATGTGTGCGTGCGTGTGTGTGTGCGTGTGTGTGCGCGTGACGACGTGTGGTGCCCGTGTCTGCAGGAAGCTGCACTGCACGCGCAACTACATCCACATGCACCTGTTCATGTCGTTCATCCTCCGCGCCATCTCCGTGTTCATCAAGGACGCCGTCCTCTTCCCCGACAACGAGGGCAGCCGCTGCTCCACCGCCGCGGTGTGCGCACACGCACACGTAGACACGCACAATCTCTGTGACAAACGGCAACGAGGACCCGCATCAAGGAAGCTCATTCACGCGGGAGCAAAGCCCGCTGTCGACGCCCGATGGTGGCCCGGATGTAATCTCCGACGACGGAAACCTCGTCTGGAAATCGCAAAAAAAGGGTGCTCGCGTTTTGAAAGTTCCTCCGGTTTTTCACGATTAGAATAACCAAATTAATTTGGCGCATTTGCTCGCGACGTGGAAACTTGATCTGATTGGCTCTGTCGGGTGGCAGAGGGTACAGCTGAAAATTGGAAGGGCACCTTACGTGATGATTTCAGGCAAAAAGTGACGAACAATTGCTAATAGCTATTAATGATTCTTAACAATTGTACAGTTACGGTAATTAATAATGATTAACAATTGGGTTTTCACCGCCGACGTCGTGAGCTCTTTTTTTTATGGCTCAGGCTCCGCCGTGATGACCGCCGACCAGATCTGTGTCACTGGAAGCCCTCCACCAGCCGACGCGGCGAAACGAATGAAATTGTCGCGCGTGCGTCACGGCGAGCGTTTGTCACGGGCGCAGATAACGTCGTGTCGAGCTCACTCAACGGGGCAGCGGGAGAATAATTCTCGCGACCAAAATGTTCGCAGCGAAGTGACATTTACCTGATTAATCCTCTATTTAGGAAATCTTCTGCAGTTACAGTGCTAATTTCTCACATTAACATCACTAGCCCCGGCCACTTCTTTGTGACCCTTGGGCAACACCCATTTCAAGCCCTTTGGAGCAGTCTGCCTCAGCAGCAGACCCACGCTTTCCCACCTGATGACGGACGCTTGTGTTGCGGCCGAAACGTCGCGATTTATTTGATTTTATACCTACGTGACTTTACCGAAAGAACCGAAGAGTATTAGTTAATCCTCTTCATCCACGTGTGGGACACAAGGCCGCAATGACTCCCTCCCCGTATCCTTTCCTGTCCTTGGCCACGTGTTGAGACTCGCCCCGAGAGAGGTTGGTCTCTGCAACCAGCTCGTTCTTCACCGTCTTGCACCACGTGGTCTTGGGTCTCCCAGGTGTCCTGTTTGCCCGGTGCTGTCCATCTTAGCAACAATTGTATGCGACCTTATCTAGGAATTATAAATGGTACGTTAGTTATTGGGTGATGGATAAAAAGGGGATGGGGTTTGAGTGTTGGGGAAGGGAAGGGAAGGGATGGAAAGGGAGGGTGATGGTGAGGAAGGGGGAGGATGGTGAAGGTTTTAAGGATGCGGACAGGAAGTAGTCGAGGGATACGCTATTGAGACCACGTCAAAGTCAGAATAACAGTCCAGGAAGTCGGAATCGAGGGATGGCGATATCACCACAGTGCCTGGTCACGTGAGCGATGTGTGAGTTGTGTTGGTGACGGCGTGTGTTGTGTTGATGGTGGAGCAGTTATATTGGTGATGAGTTGTGTTGCGCTGGTGACCGTATTTTACGTGTCTGGCCAGGATGAAGATGAGTACTTCGATGACATGGAGAACATGAAGGTGATTGCGTGTTATAAAACCCGCAGCCCCACGCAGAACCCACACGAATACACTTGCGCACGCGCGTACACCTCCCACTCATCATCATCATCATCCCTGTAGACACCTACACATGCCAACATGTACCACTTTAAGACGACAAAAACCCGTATAGCCTTTTACAGACTGTTGGGGAAAGTGCTGTTAGCGAGCACCGACGAAGGCCGGCACGGCACACGTGGGGGGTGGGTGGTCAGCATCACGCCCCGCCACTTTTGTTCACACACCGCACCAGGTACTCATTTAAGGTTGAGTCGACCTAGGGGAAACCCAGGACCGGTTCAGATAATCGTCACGCGTGATTGGCCGTGAGCGTGGTTAAGGAACGAGCAACTCCCCCTCCCCCCTCCCAGCCCCCCTGCCCCACCCCCGTAACACGAACGACGATTCTGTGTGTGCGAGCGTAGCTGGGCTGCCAGCTCACCATGGTGTTCTTCCAGTACTGCATCATGGCCAACTACAGCTGGCTGCTGGTGGAGGGTCTCTACCTGCACACCCTGCTCCTCATCTCCTTCTTCTCCGAGAGGAAGTACTTCTGCTGCTACATCCTCATCGGCTGGGGTGAGCCGACCGGTGGCCAGCGTTATCCCCGCAGCGGTCCCGCCCGCGCGCTTTCCGGGTCGATTCCGCGTCACCGGGGCGAGGACTCCGGGGGGACCAGGATCGGGTGTCTTGTCCGCAAGAGTGACCTGACCGTGGTGGCTGTGCGTGCGCGGCTCGCCAAAATGACGTCAGAGGCAGCTGGCTCTGGCCGCCACTGCGACCGCACCGTTGTATTGGCATTGACATTTCTCATCGAGCCTTGCGCTTTCCAGTTCTATTTATTTTTTGCGGCGGTGGCTCTTGTCCCAGTCTCACTTGTCCCAGTCTCTCTTGTCCCAGTCTCACTTGTCCCAGTCTCACTTGTCCCAGTCTCACTTGTCCCAGTCTCTCTTGTCCCAGTCTCACTTGTCCCAGTCTCACTTGTCCCAGTCTCACTTGTCCCAGTCTCTCTTGTCCCAGTCTCACTTGTCCCAGTCTCACTTGTCCCAGTCTCTCTTGTCCCAGTCTCACTTGTCCCAGTCTCTCTTGTCCCAGTCTCACTTGTCCCAGTCTCACTTGTCCCAGTCTCACTTGTCCCAGTCTCACTTGTCCCAGTCTCTCTTGTCCCAGTCTCACTTGTCCCAGTCTTTCTTGTCCCAGTCTCTCTTGTCCCAGTCTCACTTGTCCCAGTCTCACTTGTCCCAGTCTCACTTGTCCCAGTCTCACTTGTCCCAGTCTCTCTTGTCCCAGTCTCACTTGTCCCAGTCTCACTTGTCCCAGTCTCTCTTGTCCCAGTCTCACTTGTCCCAGTCTCACTTGTCCCAGTCTCTCTTGTCCCAGTCTCACTTGCCCCAGTCTCTCTTGTCCCAGTCTCTCTTGTCCCAGTCTCTCTTGTCCCAGTCTCACTTGTCCCAGTCTCACTTGTCCCAGTCTCTCTTGTCCCAGTCTCACTTGTCCCAGTCTCTCTTGTCCCAGTCTCACTTGTCCCAGTCTCACTTGTCCCAGTCTCTCTTGTCCCAGTCTCTCTTGTCCCAGTCTCTCTTGTCCCAGTCTCTCTTGTCCCAGTCTCTATTGTCCCAGTCTCTCTTGTCCCAGTCTCTATTGTCCCAGTGTCTCTTGTCCCAGTCTCTCTTGTCCCAGTCTCTCTTGTCCCAGTCTCACTTGTCCCAGTCTCTCTTGTCCCAGTCTCTCTTGTCCCAGTCTCACTTGCCCCAGACTCTCTTGTCCCAGTCTCACTTGTCCCAGTCTCTCTTGTCCCAGTCTCACTTGTCCCAGTCTCACTTGTCCCAGTCTCACTTGTCCCAGTCTCACTTGTCCCAGTCTCTCTTGTCCCAGTCTCACTTGTCCCAGTCTCACTTGCCCCAGTCTCACTTGTCCCAGTCTCACTTGTCCCAGTCTCACTTGTCCCAGTCTCTCTTGTCCCAGTCTCTCTTGTCCCAGTCTCTCTTGTCCCAGTCTCTCTTGTCCCAGCCTCTCTTGTCCCAGTCTCACTTGTCCCAGTCTCTCTTGTCCCAGTCTCTCTTGTTCCAGTCTCACTTGTCCCAGTCTCACTTGTCCCAGTCTCACTTGTCCCAGTCTCTCTTGTCCCAGCCACGCGTCGTTCCGTCTGCCGTGGGTCCTGCTCAGGCTGTCGCCGTGCGTACCAGGAGGAGCTGCGGCGCCCACCGCTGCATCGTCCTCGTCCCATAGCCCACGTGTTTTTTTGTTTACTCGATTGAGCGTTTAGAATGAGGAGCTGAGCCTTCGGATTGGGGTAGGTGGGGGGCTCAGCCTTTTCCAGCCCCCCCCTCCCCACAACGCTACAAGGGCTGCCTTGTTAACCTGCAAATTCAACAATTCCACTTTTGGTTGAAATTCAATTCCAGAATCGCGCACGTGTAGTATCTGGGCAGAGGCCTATCTGGAAACTTCCCAAGGGGGGAGCTGTCTTGAAATTTCTAGCTTTTTAAACATGACTCTAGATTACGAAAGAGACTTTCAATGCAATTTCTCTGATAAATATCAATGATTTATCAATGTTTCGCGGTCGCAAGTGGATGGGGGGGGGATATCACCCCCACATCGCCCCTCCCCCCCCACCCTACCCCCCTCCCCCGCACCACTTTGAGCCGCCACTGACCCGCGGCGTGTGATGTCGCGTCAGCGAGCCGAGTGGGTGTCTTGCAGGAGCCCCCGCGATCTTCATCGTGCCCTGGGCCCTGTCGCGCTGGATCTACGAGAACACCGGGTGAGCGCTGCCTTCACCTCCTGTCACACCACAGCCCCTCCCCTCGACCCCTTCCCCCCCCCCTCGACCACCCCCCCCCCCCCCCAAAGGCAGCCGCGATTCCCAAGACGCGGGGAGTCGGCGACTCTACCCCACGGCCGCTGATACTGTAGCCGCCACCTCTGCTGTGCGAACATTATTTTGACTATGAACTATTATCATTATTTTAACCAGGTAAGTCCCACTGAGCTATGAAGCTGTTTTTCAGGAGCGACCTGGCCACAAATGATAGCCCAACGAAGTGGCTTATCACGTGGACATTCATATATCATCCACATACTCTAAACGAGTGTTTCAAAATGTGGGGGGGCGGGTGGGGGGGAACCGGAGGTTCCAGAGGAAAATCCACGGGACCGCGGGGAGAGAGACACGCACAACTCCGAATATACAGCAGGCATCGTCATGGTCGGGATCGAACCCACGGCATCCTGCACACCAGGCGAGGTAGTTAACATCTCGCCACCGTGGCGCCCTGGCTGGCTGGGCTCCTTATGCCGTAATTATACAACTGAAGAAACAGTTACACGTGGGTTCGAGAACACGGGTGCGGCTTAATGACATCATCCGATGCATTGTCTCCGATTAGCACAGGTGGCTGCATACGGTGCGAAAGAAGTCCCTACGCTCAAGATCCATACGTTCAAGCGATTAGCGCAAGCGAGGGGGCCTGGGCGGGACGCGGTCAAGAATAATAACGGGGTGGCAGCCGAGGAGTCGAGCGCGTCCGAGAGGGCGTCCGTTGAAGAGACGTAGCGGTGAGATTGGTTCGTGTGCGGATACCGGGGTGGATTGTTGCGCCGAAATAATCGCGAGACAGCGGTGGCTTGCGGGAGGCCTTTCAGAAGATGACGATGATAATGATGATGACAAAACAAGGACTTTTGAGGACAGCAGTTGCATCAAAACGAGGACGTTCTGAGAAAACCAGGACAGCTGTCAACCTTTGTCACCCAGGAGCAAACAGCGGTACCTGTAGCGGCGTCAGCGACGTCAGCAGCAGGTGACACGTGGTCTCTCTGTGGTGCTGTGTACAGCTGCTGGGACACGAATGACAACCACGAGATCTGGTGGATCATCAAGGGCCCCATCCTCTTCTGCATCCTCGTGAGACGCGCGCGCGTGTGCACACGCGCACACACTCCATTCACACACACTCCATTCACACACACACACACACTCCATTCACACACACACACTCCATTCACACACACTCCATTCACACACACACATACTCCATTCACACACACTCCATTCACACACACACTCCATTCACACACACTCCACTCACATGCGCATACTCCATTCACACACACTCCATTCACACACACACACTCCATTCACACACCCTCCATTCACACACACTCCATTTACACACACTCCATTCACACACACACTCCATTCACACACACACACATACTCCATTCGCACACACACACTCCATTCACACACATACTCCATTCACACGCGCACACAACAACAACCGCCATTCGCCACTAAGTGGCGGTGACATCACCACGACGCTTGTGCCAAGCTATGTGCACCCTGAGGCCACGTGAAGTGTCGAACGCCTGCTGGCAGGAGGTCACGGGGCAGACCCAGGTGCCACGGGTCGACTAACTGAGATCACTGGCTGATGCACCACCTGTGTCCCCTAGTGTGCCAACCTGCTGTGCTTTAGCCACCAAGCGCTCCGCTCGTTGTTCTGAGCGTCGCTCCTCCACCCTCCGTTGTTGTTGGAGGGCGACTACCTCTAACTGCCCAGTAGCATCCTTCACGAGCCTCCTCCACAGAAGCCGATCTTGACACCGCTGGTACCAGTCATCGGCAAGTCCACTCAGCTCCACGTCCTCCTGTACCACATCACTCCATCTCTTCTCTAGCCCGTGCCGCGCCCGCTTAGCCCCCTCGATCCGGCCGAACAAAAGCTGTTTCGGCATGCGGTGGCTGGGCATGCGGGCTACATGACCCAGCCATCGCAGCCTTGCCCACCGGAGGAGCTCACCGATGGGACCTTGCCCAGATCTTTCAAGGATTTGTGAGCTCCTCACACAATCCAGTCTGGTTAAACCCAGGATGGATCGTAGGCAGGCCAGCCTAAATGTTTCTAACCGGCGAAGATGTTTCATTAGGGGGGTCCACGTTTCGCAAGCGTAGAGAAGGGAGGGAATGACCGTGGCCGAGAAGACCTGAAGCTTAGTGCGGAGCGACAGACCAGGTAGCTTCCACACAGCGTTACGCAACCGATGAAAAGATATTGCCGCTCGACTGATTCGGAGTGAGACCTCTGCTGTTAAACTGGAGCCAGTCATAAGCACACTGCCCAGGTATGGGAAACTCTCCACTCTCTCCACAACTGCCCCATCACCGATTGGGAGTTGTGGGGCAGGAGTGTCCGATGGTACAAAATACCCAGGCAGGTGCTTAGTTTTGGTGGGGCTGATGGTAAGGCCCCACCTCTTAGTGGCGCACTCCAGTCTCAGCAGCAGCGTCTCCATCTCCTCCTCTGACTGAGCAGCTATTACCAAATCATCAGCATACATAACGTGGTTGAGCAATAGGGAGCCATCCCTTGACCGCCCTCGGGCATCGATCAGCCTCCCATTATATCTGTACCATATGGAGATTCCCCCGGTACAGCTATTGAAGGCTTCACGAACTACGTGGTCAAAATAGATGGTAAATAATGTGGGAGCCAGAGGATATCCCTGTCGCACCCCAAGGTGTACAGAGAATGGCTCTGACTCCCGGCCACGTAGTTTTACCCGGGCCCGCTCACCATCATGAAGGTCCTTAATGATCGTGAGCAGAGGGTCAGGTACTCCAAAAGCACGAAGAACAACCCAGAGCCCAGGCCTACTGATGGTATCATAGGCCTTGACCAGGTCAATAAAGCAGAGATGTAGGTCTTGTTGGAATTCCCTACACCTCTGCTGTAGCAGACGGACAGAAAATATGGCATCTGTGCAGGACCGCCCTTTCCTGAAACCGCATTGGGGCTCCGCAAGCCTCTCCTCAGCGTGCCTGGCAAGGCGATGCTGAATAATCCTTGCCAGGACCTTTCCCGGCACACTGAGGAGTGAGATGCCCCTGTAGTTGTTACAGTCTGTGCGGTCCCCCTTCTTAAAAAGGGGGACCACCAGGGCATCCTTCCAAACCTGTGGAACCCATCCAGTGGTCCAGACCGTTGTTATGATGTCATATAGGGCAGTCTGTGCACAAACGCCACCCTCCCTCAGCATTTCGCTTGGGAGATCATCTCTGCACACTGCCTTTCCTGGTCTCAGACTCCGGATCGCCTTCAGTACTTCCTTAACAGATGGCACCTCAGCCAGCCACTCACAGGGGATGACTTCTTCCAATATTTGAGGCACCGCAGCCACAGCAGGGTCATCCTCACTTTGTGCCACGATGTTTTCCTGGCTGAGGGATTTTCCCTCCCCCAGGACCTCACAGAAATGCTCAGCAAATCTGCAAACCTGTTCCTGGGGGTTGGAGATTGGATCACCGTTTTTTCCCCTAATGATGGTAATAGGTGTGGCGCTGCAGGTTACTTTTTTGATGGAGTTAAATAGAGATTTGTGATCACGGGCCACTGAGGCAGACTCCATCTCTTCAGCAACCCGCGACCACCACCCATCCTTGCAGTGCCTCACGGCTCTCCGAACCTCCGAGCGAAGGCTGCGGTAAGCCTCCTCATTCTCTGACGTGGGATTCTGTAGCCGATGACAGTGGGCCTTTCGCTTTTTCTCAACCATCCTGAACACCTCCTCTGTCAGCCAGGGTCTCTGGGGAGGTCTGGACCGCGTACCCAAAGCAGCCATCGCAGCTGCATGAGCCACAGTCCTAAACCTCGCCCATTTACCCTCGACATCAGGAGGAGTCGGGAACGATGCCAATCCCAGCCGCAAGCGATGATGAAATTCTCGCTTGCAACTTTCATCAGATAACTGAGACCAGGCCACTTTAGGTTGGAATGGGGTCCTGGTTGTACACCCACCACCGGAGTGGAAGAATGGCAGGCGCATCTTACAAATGACGAGTCGATGGTCAGAGGGCAGATCAGCTCCACGGTAGGTCCTGGTGTCAAGGACATGGGCTCGCATCCGCTGGTCCGTCACTATGTAGTCCAGCAGATGTTCTTGCTTGGACCCGGCATGCATCCATGATGTTGTGTGGATGCGCCGATGCCGGAACAGCATGTTGGTAATTACAAGCCCATGGGCTGCACAAAAATCTAGCAGCCTCCTACCGTTGTTATTGAGCTGATCTGGCCCATGCCCTCCAATCACTCCAGACCAGGTGCCAGTATCATGACCAACTCGGGCATTGAAGTCACCCAACATGATGACTCTATCCCGAGGGGCCACTTTAGCCAGCACCTGTGACAGGAGGTCATAGAAGGCATCTGACTCATCGGCTTTGCCTGCATCCCTCCACGGATGTTCATCTTCGGTGGGGGCATAAGTAACCACAACCACCATTCCTCGCCTCCGGTTGATGGGAAGGTGAGCCCAAAGTAGCCTGGGGTTTACAGCTTCCCACTCCTCACCGCCACGCTCCCATGCCCCCTTCATTCTTTTGTTCAAAAGAAGAGCCACACCCTGTTGTTTGGCAGTCTGCTGTCCCGAGTAGAGAACTGTCCACCCCTCATGGTGGCAGGAGCCAGAGCTGGTCCACCGGACCTCCTGAATGCCACAGAGATCCAGGCGGTACCGGTCCAGCTCCAGACAGAGGAGTGGCAGCCTCTCCTCCGCAGTGAGCGTTCGAACATTCTACGTGGCCACCCGTAGTGGCTTTTCGTTGTTTCTGGAGGAGCCCCGAGGGTAGATATTCAATCTCCTGGCTCCCGCCAATTGGGGTTTGGCCAGGAGACGTCATAGACGCCTGTCCCCCCGGGGCCTCCGGCACAAGCTTATTAGTTACATATTTCAGTTTAACATGCGCACACACACCCATTCACACACACATACTCCATTCACACACGCACACACACTCATTCACACACACATACTCCATTCACACACGCACACACACTCATTCACACACACATACTCCATTCACACACACACACACTCCATTCACACACACCCATTCACACACACACTCCATTCACACGTGCACACACTCCATTCACACGTGCACACACTCCATTCACACACACACACTCCATTCACACACACACTCCATTCACACACACCCATTCACACACACACACTCCATTCACACGTGCACACACTCCATTCACACACACACACACACTCCATTCACACACTATTCACACGCTCCATTCACACACTCCATTCACACACGCACTGCGCACATACATACACACTCTATTCACATACGCACCGCACACACACACACTATTCACACGCTCCATTCACACACTCCATTCACACACGCACTGCGCACACACATACACACTCTATTCACATACGCACCGCACACACACACACTATTCACACGCTCCATTCACACACTCCATTCACACACGCACTGCGCACACACATACACACTCTATTCACATACGCACCGCACACACACACTATTCACACGCTCCATTCACACACTCCATTCACACACGCACTGCGCACACACATACACACTCTATTCACATACGCACCGCACACACACACACTATTCACACGCTCCATTCACACACTCCATTCACACACGGACTGCGCACACACATACACACTCTATTCACATACGCACCGCACACACACACACTATTCACACGCTCCATTCACACACTCCATTCACACACGGACTGCGCACACACATACACACTCTATTCACATACGCACCGCACACACACATACACACACTATTCACACGCTCCGTTCACACTCGTACACCCTCCGTTCACGCACGCACTGCACACACGAGAGGGACCTGGTTTAATCACGAGGGGCTGGATCCCGGATGTGAACCCAGACCCCTCGGCGTTGCCAGCTCAGTGCACTGAACCCCTGAGTCACCCGGCCACCTGCAGACCCAGAGTCTCAACCTGAATTACTGGACTCGTGGAACTACAAAACTTCTCCCCAACACCAAACACTGGCGGAGCCAGGGGGGGTGACACGTGCCCCCCCCCCCAATGATCCGATCAAAATCCCTAATTTCGATTGGGGTTTATTAGTAATAAATCGGAATTTTGCGACCCCCACTGCCACTGTGTAGCATATTATTACGTGCCGGGGACTCTGTGATGATAGGACAATAGCCTGAGTCCATAATTGGCAATAATTCACGGAAAAGCGGTTATAAGTGACTCACAGAATTGTGCACAGTTGTGTATACAGGACACGACTTCCCTGAAGGCATTCACCTTCAGCGAGCGCGATGCCGATCACACAACGCGGTTCGAATTCGACCCTCGATCGATGTCTGCGCCATCGCCGCACACGCGTCGAATAAAACGCAAGGGACAAGTCCTTACTTACTAGCAACTCCTTACGTACTAACAACTCCTTACTAACAACTCCTTGCTTACTAACAAGTACTTACTTACAACTCCTTACTTACTAACAACTCCTTGCTAACAACTCCTTACTTACTAACAAGTACTTACTTGCTGACAACTCCTTACTTACTAACAACTCCTTACTTACTAACTGCTTACTCACTAACAACTCCTTACTTACTAACAAGTACTTACTTACTGACAACTCCTTACTTACTAACAACTCCTTACTTACTAACTCCTTACTCACTAACAACTCCTTACTTACTAACAACTCCTTGCTTACTAACAACTCCTTACTTACTGACAAGTACTTACTCACTAACAACTCCTTACTTACTAACAACTCCTTACTTACCAACAACTCCTTACTTACTAACAACTACTTACTCACTAACAACGCCTTACCCACTAACAACTCCTTACTCACTAACAACTCCTTACTTACTAACAACTCCTTACTAACAACTCCTTGCTTACTAACAAGTACTTACTTACTGACAACTCCTTACTTACTAACAACTCATTACTTACTAACAACTCCTTACTAACAACTCCTCACTAACCTTACTCACTAACAACACCTTACTTACTAACAACTCCTTACTTACTAACAACTCCTTACTAACCTTACTTACTAACAACTCCTTACTTACTAACAACTCCTTACTAACAACTCCTTACTTACTAACAACTCCTTACTAACAACTCCTTACTTACTAACAGCTCCTTACTAACAACTCCTTACCTACTAACAACTCCTTACTTACTAACAACTCCTTACTAACAACTCGTTACTTACTAACAACTCCTCTATCATTTTTCATTGCTGGCGAGGATGTCCCCCCGCCCCCCCACCTGAACATCCTGGCTCCGCCATTGACACCAGCCCTCAATTGTAACCTCGACATCCATGGGCGCGTTTTACCGAGACGTGATGATGTTCATTTGTCTCAGGCCACGCTTACCCGTGTGCCAGGCTGGGTGCACGGCGAGCCCGTGGCTCGCCATGCGCCTGAGCCTTGGAAACAGCGCTCCGTCTGAACAACGGGGTCGCGTTCGGCCCCCATCGTTTCCACGGAGTGCTCTTGCCAATGCAACGCCGGAACCCGGCAGCATTTGCCCAACTAATCCTGACTCGGCTGGCGGGACCCGGGAAGGTCGCAGCCGGCCCTGAGTTTGCGTGCCGAGGCAAACGCCGCTTGGGTAATGTTGGTCTGGAAGGTCAACGTGGTGGATGGACTCAAACGGGTTGAGACGCAGGCCAGAGGTCTAATGGTGCATATGCAATCACCCACGGTGATCCGCACCAGCGCGTAACGAGGCGGTGCCATTGCAGGTCAACTTCATCCTCTTCATCAGCATCATCCGCATCCTCATCAAGAAGCTCAAGTCCCCAGACGTTGGAGGGACCGACTCGAGCCACTACAAGTGAGACGACCACCCTGGGCGCGTGCGTGCGTGCGTGTGTGTCTGTGTGTCTGTGTGTAGTGCACCTAGCTTGGCACAAGGTGCACCTGCGCTACGAACCTGGCCAACCCAAGTTCGATTCCCGGTGAAGGTCACCACCAGTGACGATTATCTGAACCGGTCATGGGCCTCCCTCAGGTCGATTCAGCCTCAAATGAGTAACTGGTGCGGTGTGTAAACATCACCAGTGGGGAGACAAAGGCGGCCGAGCGTGGTGTTGTGCCACCCACCCCCTTCACAGGTGCTCGCTAACAGCACTTGCCTCAACAGTCTGTTAAGGCTATACGGGGGGATCTTTGTCTTTTTGTTTTTTCTACTGCAGGTGCACCTAGCCTGGCACAACGTGCACCTGGTGTGGCACAAGCGCCGCTGAGTGGTGAATGGCGGCTGCCGCTGCTGCTCTTGTATCTCCCCTATGTCGACCCAGCATTGGAAGAGCCATGTTTGCGGCGTGTAAACATCGCGCACCGGGGGAGACAAAGGCAGCCAGGCGCGGTGTTAGCCACGCCACTGGCTCGGGCGCCGTGCCGTCCGTCATCGGCGCGACTTGCTAACAGCACTTGCCCCAACGGTCCGTTGAAGGCTGTCCGTGCGCCCGCAGGCGTCTGGTGAAGTCCACGCTGCTGCTGATCCCGCTGTTCGGCGTGCACTACATCGTGTTCGCCTTCACGCCCGACAACATGCTGCGCGACTTCCCCATCGAGATGAGACTCTACTTTGAGCTGTCCTTTGGCTCCTTCCAGGCATGTCCACGCTCACCCCCTGCACTCAGCCACACGCTCGCTCGCTCGCTCACCCACGCACTCGCCTGCTTACTCACCCACACACCAGCTGGCCACAAACTCACTCGCCCGCACACTCACCCACGCACTCACCCACGCACTCACCCAAACACTCACCCACTCACCAGCCCGCTCACTCGTTAACATGCTCACCTGCTCACTCACCCGCAAACTCACTCACCCACGCACCTAAGAACAAAGACCCCCCGTGTAGCCTGTAACAGACTGTTAGGGCAAGTGCTGTTATCGAGCACCTATGAAGGCCGGAATGGCACACGATGGGGTGGGTGGCCAACACCACGCCCGGCCGCCTTTATCTCCCCAGTGGCGATGTTTACACATCGCACCAGGTACTAATTTGAGGCTGAGTCGACCTAGTGGGAGGCTAGCACCGGTTCAGATAATTGTCACTGGTGTTGGCCGTGAGCGGGAATCGAACTTGGGTAGCCGTGTTCGTGGCGCAGCGCGCTAGCCGCTGCACCACCGCTCCCCACAATCACACATTCATGCACACGCTCACATGCACACCCGCCTACCACTGTTGTTCTGCAGTATGCACCGACGTCTATGCTGCCCATCTTCACCGACCCGCATTGACCAGGGTGGTAAAATACGCTCCCGTGACTCTCACGACCCGCAGTGTAAGGCAGGGCCCCCCAATCCAGCAGTGGATTGGCGAAGGGGCAGTGAACGTGACGTGCCATTTACAGCGGGCAACGTGCATCGGTTGAGCGTTGGCCCGCAGCTGCAGCGCACAATCCCTTGGGATCGACGTCAGACGGTGTTTTCACGTCCACTGCCTAAAGCACAGACGACGGCTCGTCTTTTGGTCTTCACAAATCAACTCGGGGATTATTGAGCGGCTGTGAACTTTCTTATCACAGGTACCACGAGTAAGAATCATGGTAATAATATTTTTTTATAGTCGCGTCATTGATGTAACTGCATCACACACTGCTATGCAATTAGGAACAAACGAAGGTGCGAGCGCTTGAACTACGATATTTTCAACCAACTAATGAGTGTACGCGCACGTGGGAAGAAATCAGAGCATCTGGAAGAAAAGCCACGGGTGCGAGGGGGAAACACTGTATCCCGGACAGAGGGGATCCTCAGTCCACGTTTTGCTGTACTGCCTTCTCCTGGGCGTCTACGGGATAGCGTGTTGCTCCATCGCGCGTTCTGCGGGCGCTCCGGTTTCCTCCCCCACAATTAATGGAGTTGGCCAGACGTCCCGACTTAGGGCCGCAGAGCTTGAAAAATTGACGGCACCGGTTTCCGACTGCCTTGCTTCCCGCTCGTGCGTGGTCTCCCACGCCCCTGGATCTACGGCAACTACGCGGCGTGTAACTTTAACTTGTAGCCGCGTCCCGTGAGAGTACACGGAGGCAGCCAGTCCCTGTGTGGTGTTCAGCCAAGTCCCCCTGTGTCGACTTTCAAGCGTCGCGTTTATTTTGTTCAACCCAGCTGAGAACCTCCCGAGATCAGGATGAGTGTCACGTACGAGGGTGACCTCGGGGTCACCAAAGCCGTGTGCCGGCCGTGCGTGGTGACCGTGATGTGCTGACGGCACAGGCGACCGTGGCGACTGTGCCCAAAGCCGCCGTCTCCCCTCTCTCCGCGCTGTGTCCGCAGGGCTTCGCCGTGGCGATCCTCTACTGCTTCCTCAATGGAGAGGTACGCGTCCACACACGCATGCACGCACGCACGCACGCGTCCACACACGCACGCACGGTCCACGTGTTCACGTGCACACATGCCCAGCGGTCCATGGTGACGCGGTTCGAATCTGGCGGCCGCCCCGGTTAATACTGCGGTGCGCACGAACCGCAGTATACCGCGCACCGTCTGCTTCACAGTGAACGCGAAAGATGTATGCGTGCACGTTGAACTTCTTTCTCACCGTACGTAGCCAAGCGTGCTAAGAGGAGGTGTGGGAAAGATCGCCTAATGCCGTTTTTGAAACGGGTGGGCCATCGCGCGCCGGCGTGAAGGTCCAAATTTGCCAAAATTCGACATGTGACCCCCACAAGTTACCCAATTGTGATTTACACACAGACAGCAACATCGCCCCCTGCTGTGTTATACCTCCTGCAGACTCTGCCTGTGAAACAGCAGCAGCGTCTTCCTTCGTGATAGCCTTGCCGCTACTGCAATGGCGCGAATTCCAAATGTGCTAAATTATGATTAATTATGAAACCTATTAGTTCCATAGCTCACGGCGACTGCTGCCTCCCCTCTATGCAACTTAGAATACGAATAGGAACCGTTCTGAGCAGTGCCGGTGGTGTACCACATTTAAAAGAGAGCATTCAGGCGTTGCTCAACATCCCGGTGCTCATTTCAATCGACCTTAGCCGCAGGGTGGAGTCAGCGAAGGTTGGTGGACCACTGCACAAATGTTGGGCGTTAAAGTGCCATACTCGAGGGTGGGACTTCATCCCATCTGTACGGGGATCGAGCGTTTCCCCCTCGCACGTGTGGGTTTTCTCCCGGTGCTCCCGGGTTTTCTCCAACATAAAAAAAAAACATTCGTTGGACAATAACCCCTTCATATATATTGGACCGCAGAGCTCGGGCAATTGTTAGCATTACCACGTGTCTGCTGCCTTCTCACTCATCTCTGGTTCCCCCATGCACGGTGGCGGCACGTTACGAGTTGACATTGTTATTATATTAGTATTACTATTATTAGTACTATTATTGCATTAGTATTACTATTATTAGCACTATTATTGTATTAGTATTACTATTATTAGTACTATTATTGAATTTGTATTGCTATTATTAGGACTATTATTAGATTAGTATTACTATTATTAGCGCTATTATTATATTAGTATTACTATTATTAGTACTATTATTATATAAGTATTACTATTATTAGTACTATTATATTTGTATTACTATTATTAGTATTAGTATTACATTAGTATTACTATTTTTAGTACTATTATTCTATTAGTATTACTATTATTAGTACTATTATTACATTAGTATTACTATTATTAGTACTATTATTGCATTAGTATTACTATTATTAGTACTATTATTATGTTAGTATTACTATTATTAGTACTATTATTATATTAGTTTTACTATTATTAGTACTATTATTGCATTAGTATTACTATTATTAGTACTATTATTAAATTAGTATTACTATTATTAGTACTATTATTACATTAGTATTACTATTATTAGTACTATTATTACATTAGTATTACTATTATTAGTAGTATTATATTAGTATTACTATTATTAGTACTATTATATTAGTTTTACTCTTATTAGTACTATTATATTAGTATTACTATTATTAGTACGATTATATTAGTATTACTATTATTAGTACTATTAAATTAGTATTACTATTATTAGTACTATTATTACATTAGTATTACTATTAGTAGTACTATTATTACATTAGTATTACTATTTTTAGTACTATTATATTAGTATTACTATTATTAGTACTATTATATTAGTTTTACTATTATTAGTACTATTATATTAGTATTGCTATTTTTAGTACTATTATTACATTAGTATTTCTATTATTAGTACTATTATTACATTAGTATTACTCTTATTAGTACTATTATATTAGTATTACTATTATTAGTACTATTATATTAGTATTACTATTATTAGTACTATTATATTAGTATTACTATTATTAGTACTATTACATTAGTATTACTATTATTAGCACTATTATATTAGTATTACTATTATTAGTACTATTATATTAGTATTACTATTATTAATACTATTATATTAGTATTACTATTATTAGTACTATTATATTAGTATTACTATTATTAGTACTATTATTACATTAGTATTACTATTATTACTACTATTATATTAGTATTACTATTATTAGTACTATTATTACATTAGTATTAATATTATTAGTACTATTATTATATTAGTATTACTATTATTAGTACTATTATATTAGTATTACTCTTATTAGTACTATTATATTAGTATTACTATTATTAGTACTATTATTAAATTAGTATTACTATTATTAGTACTATTATTAAATTAGTTTTAGTACTATTATTACATTAGTATTACTATTTTTAGTACTATTATATTAGTATTACTATTATTAGTACTATTATATTAGTTTTACTATTATTAGTACTATTATATTAGTATTACTATTTTTAGTACTATTATATTAGTATTACTATTATTTGTACTATTATATTTGTTTTACTATTATTAGTACTATTATATTAGTATTACTATTTTTAGTACTATTATTACATTAGTATTACTATTATTAGTACTATTATTACATTAGTATTACTATTAGTAGTGCTATTATATTAGTATTACTATTATTCGTACTATTATATTAGTATTACTATTATTAGTACTATTATATTAGTATTACTATTTTTAGTACTATTATTACATTAGTATTACTATTATTAGTACTATTATTATATTAGTATTACTATTAGTAGTGCTATTATATTAGTATTACTATTATTCGTACTATTATATTAGTATTACTATTATTAGTACTATTATATTAGTATTACTATTGTTAGTACTATTATATTAGTATTACTATTATTAGCACTATTATTTTAGTATTACTATTATTAGTACTATTACATTAGTATTACTATTATTAGTACTGTTATTAAATTAGTATTACTATTATTAGTACTATTATATTAGTATTACTATTATTAGTACTATTATTACATTAGTATGAATATTATTAGTACTATTATATTAGTATTACTATTATTAGTACTATTATATTAGTATTACTATTATTAGTACTATTATTACATTAGTATGAATATTATTAGTACCATTATTACATTAGTATTACCATTGTAATAGAATGAGCCAACCTCCAACCTAGGATTTTTGACTCGTAACCTTTTTCCGGCTCGCACCGCCGCGCGGAGCCAGCCGGGGCGGATTCACATTGGCGGCTAATGCCGGTGGCGAGCGGTAACTGAACCCGACCGCGGGCCCCCTACCCCTCCTTCGGCGATCCGCACCGAACGGCACGGTGGGGTACAATCAAACGGCCCCCCACTCCGTCGTCCGGTAACCCACAGGTGCAGGCCGAGCTGAAGCGCAAGTGGCGACGCTGGTGCGTGGACCGCTACCTGTCGGTCGACCTGCGGCAGCAGCACAACTCCACCGTGAGCAACGGCAACAACGGAGCCACGCAGCTCTCGCTGCTCACCAAGTGCAGCCCCAAGACGCGCTCCTCCAGCCTGCAGGTGGACTCTTCGCTCATCTAGACCCAACCGGGGGGGCGGGGTGGTCACGCAGCACGTGCCCCCCGCCATCACACACGTCCCCCTGCGATCGCACACGTGCCACCCCCCCCACCCTCCACTCAGCATGGTCCACCCCCCCCCCGCCCTCCTCACCCTCCATACTTCGCTCCACTGGACGCGTCCCTCCGCCTCACACCCCCCCCCCCCCTCCGCTCGGCATGCGCCTCCCCGCGCCCTCGTTCCTCCACTCCACGTGCGGGGTCCCTCCATGCGTTCCCCCCCCCCGCCCCCCTGACCTCTGCATGTCCCTGCGCTCCACGCGTCCCTTCGCTCCGCTTACCTCTCCTCACCCCGTAAACCACGCGGGCCCCTCTGCCCCACGCTTCCCTTGCCTCCCGCACGCCACCTCGCTCTCCACTGCGCATGGCCCAGTGCGATCGCGCGCCCCCCTCTCCGCTACACTTCCCTTCGCTCCGCACGTGCCTCGACTCGTCGGCATGTTCTTCCACTCCAGATGTCCCTCTGCGTTCACAAGTCCCTCCATCGCATGTCCCTCAACTCCACACATGACTCTACATGCCCCTCCACTCTGCATATCCTTCCATATCATACTTCCCTCTGAAGTTCACAGCCCCACCACACACACGCGCACCACACCCATCTCCACACCCTGCACACTCCACATTGCTCCACGCACGAGCACCCCTTGCTCCTCTCCCTTGTACAGCCATCCATTTCCCAATGCCTCCCACTAAGCTTTTGCCCTTTACTACTCACCGATTAATATCAACAAACGCCGAGTCTAACCCAAGCGGTAGAATCAATTTTATACGGCTGAATAGGGAGACACAATGGACCTACGCCACACCCATCATTTCCCCTTGGCCTTTTCCACCGTCAGCCACAACCTCACCGCTACCAATCCTTCCTTCCGGACCTAGGGCTCCTCATGCTCGTCTCTGCAGCCACGCTGGGAGACGCTCCAGTTGCTTTACAGGCGGCTCTCCGGAGGCCACAGTGCCAAACCCGACGCTCATGGCACTTTGCACTTGGAACAAGCGAGCTGCCCGCCTGCCGGCCGGCAACCGCAGCCCTGTTGAGCCACCTTCTCAGTAAACGTTGGGCCAACGTTGACTCAATGTTGAGTCAACGTTGGCCCAACGTTTCATGTTTCCTGAGAGTACTCGGTAAACGCGCAACGTTGGGCCAACGTTGGCACGTGTTTGGGACTGTTGGACCAATGTTGACTCAACGTTGGCCCAACGTTCCATGTTACCTGGGAGTTCCCGGTAAACGCGCAACGTTGGGCCAACGTTGGCACGTGGTTGGAACCGTTGGGCCAACGTTGGCTCAAGGCTCGCCCAACATTCCATGTTCCCTGGGAGTTCCCGGTAAACGCGCAACGTTGGGCCAACGTTGGCACGTGGTTGTCACCGTGTTTTAACCGGGTTGCTTGTTCGTTCCGCCGTAGCTTTTAGCTGATATCGCAGGGGTTTCGTTTTGAGCTCCAGGGCGCACACGCACAGGGAGGGAAGCGAGCGGTGAGATTGGTCATCACGCACCCTGCCCCTCCAATTTTCGCCGCACACCAAAACACCCAGCAAGCAGCGCAACTGCACCAGACCACGCATTCCGCGAAGGAAAAAGTTCGGAAAAAATTCTGCATGCGCACAGGTCGTGTAACGCTCTCCGAGAACGCGTGCGTCCTTCGGAGTGTTTAACCAGCAGCGCAGAAGACCACGGGTAACTTTTGCGTATTTCTATCGTCCTCTATCCCCTCGGTTATATTCTCCAAGTGTTGGGCAATCACCCTTTGATGAACTTGGCCGCTTTTGCGGACAGGGTTCATGCCGAATAGCGACACAGGGTTTCGCGCGAATTTCGTTCATATCCGATCGCCTTTACGAGTGCTATCGCGGGCCCCCACCCCCCCCCCCGTTACTAACGTACAGAACTAGCGCACAAACCCTTTCGTGCTTAGTTGGAAAGCGTTACACATTATATATATATTTAAAGCAAATCTTGCGCTCGCAGAAATTTTTTACAAGAAAAAAAAATTCTTATTATCCTTTGTGCTTTTTTTTTCTCGTTGGAAGTGCCCCCTCGGGGTGGGGCGGTTGGAGGGGGGGGGGGGGGCATGCCGTAGATGTAGAACGCTCGTGTGCGTGTCGTGTGGTGTGTGTGTTCTTGGCTCGTCCGATAGACAGTAACCGCAGCCCCGGAGCAGCATGGCGCGATGATCAGTGACTGCCGCGTGTAGCCGTCCCGTGGCGCCACCCCGCGTAGTGTCCGTGGTTTCGTAGGGACCCCTGTCGATGTATAGCCGTCCGCAAGCTCGGTCGCTGTAGCGACCTCCGGCTTTTATGGCGCCGGTTTTCCCGCAGAGCGCGGGCAGAAACTTCCCCGCGGAAAACGTCTTGCTCGATCCTTAGGGTGCGGAGGCCTCAGAACACCGGTCGGGGAAAACCAGGCGCCGGCCAAAGTTTTGCGCGCGCGACGCGTCGTTACTGTTATTATGATGATGATTATTATTATTGCTGCTCAACGTCTCCCGGCAGCAAAAGTGTCAACTTTTCTATTTCCACGGGAGGATTGCCGTTTGGTCTCAGCGAACCACTCGAGCTTGCGGCTCTTTGTGGTCACGTGGTCGAGGCCGTCGTACGCCCAGCGAGAAGGCGGCCGCAGTGGCCGAGACGCGCCCCGTGCAAAGGGGGGGGGGGGGGGGGTGTGGGGATGGCCATCCTTCGGATTTCCATCAAAGTATTCTCGCGATTGAAAACACGGAAGCTGAATGTGAGCACGCGGGCTGGATCGAGACCAAGCGCGCTTGTCCCAGAAATCGCCCTCTTGCCTCCCTCCGCCACCCCTCACCCTCCCATCAGCGTAACGTGAGGACTTATATGAGGACTGTACTTATATAGGGTGTGCTTGTATCCGCCTTCTAACATAATAGGAATAATTTGCCCAGATAAGCCACACTGAGTCCGAAGGCTTTTTCTTTTTTTCCTGGAGTGTTCTGCATTGGAATGTTTCGGGTGAATTCCATTGATGCGTAATTTTGGTATACGGAAGGAGTAACTGGAAAAAAAAAAACATCGAAAAACTCTTCTTGCAGTTGAGGGGGTTCCACTCAGCATGGCAATCTACCTTCTGGCTGCCACTCGCCTACAACACGTGGCTATCCCTGGCACACACGTGGTGCAAATACCGCTGAGTCATCGATATCCGACAAGGTTGGGCGCATTGAGGACCATTTGGCCGTCGGTCATAGCCGTGGAAATGTGTCCAGCAGAGCGTCCGTTGCTTCACGTGGCTCTCTCGGCGAGACTCCGCCAACGCCGGTTCGTCTCACGTACGGGGGGCGGGCGGTGGGGGGGGGGGCGAGCAGTGGTGAGGGGGGGGGGGGCTACCCACCCCCCATGTGGTTTCGTGCCCGTGAGAGCCGTCGCTCACGGGCAGCGCGTATTCCGCAAACGGAATTAGCGGTGCAAAATATCCGCCGTCGACGAAAGTGTTTGTGTAGTTTACGGTGATTCGGACGAGTGGACGAAGTGATCGAGCGACGACTACTACGACTACGGACGCTGCCCTCCAGAGACAAACGCGCGACCCGCTGAGACAAACGTAGACGCTCCTCCGAACGCTCTGAACAAAAGCGGAGACTTAAACTAACTCGAGCCGTGTTCATCAGCGACTACGTTGCAGCCTGGAAGACCAGAAAATGATAACTGCCCGACACGGTATGTACGTATTTAAAACGGTGTACCTCGGTCACTGATTGGCTGAGCTGATGACGTTGTGGTGGGGGGAGGGGTGGTGGTGGGGTGGGGGGGGATCGCGTGCCCACGTCACAGACATCGCTCGTCTGACATTGGATGACACTCTCCACTGCCCTCGTCGACCAGACCCCACAAAATCAGTGACGACATGAAATCCGCAGACCTGCGGTTCGACTAAATCTCCACGTGGTTGTCGTCGCCTCGGCTAGGACTGGGACTCGGACAAATAAATAGAACGCTGACTAAATGTCCGCCGCTCCCGGGCTACGGTCGAGGGGTCGCCCAGTGTCCTGAAGCGTTGGGGGGGGGGGGGAATTGCCCCTCTCGCCACCCTCCCCCCAGCAGTGCTTTCGGACGTAGCCCGAGTTCCGGTCGTCACTCGTAGACCTCTGCTTAGGTGTCCTCGCGGTGGCGCCGTTTACGGCTCCCCGATTGTGTTTTTACGCTTGCGCCGCGTTTTGCTGACGTTGGGCACGACGGCGGGCGACGTTTTATTTATTTATTTTTTTGCTGCCGCTCCGCGCGCGCTCGGGAGCCGCCGCTCCCTTCGGGAACCGAACGTTCGCTCGTCCGCGCGCTCGGGGTGTTCGCCGACTCAAAGTCCACGTTCCTCCCGGCGTGCGGAGCGGTGAAACGTCGGGCAATGGTGGTGCCGAACGGCGCGCGGCCCCGAGTGGGGGGGGGAGGGGGGGGGGGCGTGGGTTGGGGGTACGACCCGACAACAGGCCGGAGGGAGGGCTCCCTTAGACTCGCGCGTGCGTGCGTGTGCGTGCGTGCGTGTTCACCTAGAAAGTGTTTTTTGTAACCAAAAGCCCTGTGGGCGAGGGAGAGCGGGCGATGTGGAGGACGAGGAGGAGGAGCACTGGTGTCGTTAACGAGTCGGGGCCCCCCAGCCTGGCCTGATAGAATGCAGCGTGAGGGTGGGAGGGTTACAGGGAACCCACCTCTGGCTTGAGGGGTCATTTGCTACTCGATATCTGTTTCTTTCTAAGTAAAAAAAAACCTGTTCGTGTACGAATGCCGAACTGTTCACATGTTAACGTGGAGGTTTTTTGGAGCGCCGCAATGTGATGTGTACCGCGCGTGACTTTCAGCTGTAAGCCAGTCAATCGATCTATGTGATGTGTATCACGTGACTCTCAGCTGTAAGCCAGTTGATCGATCTATATGGTGTGTATCACGCGTAACTTTCAGCTGTAAGCCAGTCGATCGATCGAACTTACGTATCTGCCGTCTCTTTCTGTTACCCATTACCCGCAAAGACTATCCCATGGCACATTTCTGTTACGAGGCCACGTCAGTGGCGAGCGTGGTGAGGCTGGTCATCGTTTTCGCGCGTCGCATTGCCCACCACGAGCGCCACCCAGCGGGTCGGACCTGCGTCATTCGCTCTGCTGCAAGTCATTTCTTGTATCCGACGCTTAAAATGAGTTTCGATGTCCCTACGCGGAGACTGCGATCATTCCCCCCCCACTCCGTCCAGCCATGGGCTTTCGCGAGAAAAATTCGATCACGGCGTTCTACTTCCATTTTGTGTTCGACGGCTTGCAGCCCCCCCCCCCACCCACGCCCCGTGGCTGCACGTGCGGCACCACGTGGCGCCGTGTTTTGATAATCGCAAAGGTGGCTAATAATGTGTAATGCGTTACCAATCGTAAATGAGAAATGTTTGCAGTAGTACACACACGCTTTTGTCGACGGAATGGATACAGCCAGGGCTGAATTTCTCACTCGATATTCTCCAGAACGCTGCTGGGCTGGCTCGGAGTAGGGATTGTAGAGCTACAAGGTACGTCTATACACAATAAACCTCGGTTGTCGTCGATTACTGTACCCTATGTTCCAATAATCCCACGAGGATAAGATTAGTAGGATTACAAAACAAGGTGAGATTGATGGTGGCGTGCTCAAAACAATTCCCCAGAACAGTGTTCCGGATTTTTCGTGTTGAAATTAAGACTTCTGGTATGTACCTAATTACAGATATACATGTAGCGTTTAGGCAAACGTTTCGGGTAATTGCCATGTTATTCAGAGTAGGAGGAATATGCAGACGAGAGCGACGTGCTGAATAGTTGGAGACAACGCATTGCAGGGTCCCATGAGCCCAGAGCCAGATGTCTCACCCGTGGGGTGCCACCTCAAGTGGCATCCATCACTTAAGCGGTTCCAAGTTTCTTCATGTTGGACAATAGCCGTGATTTGTGCGTTATGACCGTTTGAGATGAGTGGGGTCATCAGGTTATTCACCCTTGTTATAAATAAACTCCGTACTGGTAAAGATGTTGCTCCCTTGGGGTGGTACCCACTTACTGCGCTGGCCCCCATGGACCGATGACGAAATGCTTTCTCCAGCTACGTGTCGCTCCGAGATATTTGCTGGCTGCGGCGTTCCCCACCCCGCTTTCAAGCAGGAACAATTGTCCAAAACGTTCCTCTGCTGCCGTGCGCTGTATCCTGTTGTTGTCCTGTTCCGAGGAGGGGGGTGGGGGGGGTGTTTGCCATCGGCGATGGCATCGTCAAGTGTTCTGCTCTCCCGATCTCTGCGCTGCCTACAGCCCCCACTTGCACCGATAGGGCGGCGCGGGCTGCCACTCGCGTCGCCACCTCAAACGCGCGCGCGCCCTGAAATTTTCTCTCTCGCGTGCGTGCACGCACGCGCGCACGCGTACATACAGCGGCGGATAGAAGGAGACTTTCAACTCTATTTTATGTAACCCAGGTGCGAACTGCCGCAGACCAGGACGCGAGTTGCGTTTGCAAGAGCGACCTTTTGGGCCCATTGCTTTGCCGGGAGGGGGCCGATGGTTGCTGTTGCTGCTGCACGTGTAATTCCAACCGAGTGGATTTTTGGACGTTTTTTTTCGAAAAAAATTGGTACATTTGGACGCTGACGCCGACACGCCATGGACGGCCCACTCCTGTGATTAACGTCGGGGCGGCCCGCTGGATGCGAACCGTGAACTGTTGCGGCGAGCGGCAAACGCGCTACCGCTGGGCCCCTGTTGAGGGGAGGGGTGGGGGCAGGTGTACCATGTGATCACTACTAGGGTTGCCACCTTCACAGACTCAACCCGTTATGTAATTCCGGTCGGCACGAGGTGTCTTATGCTTATGACAACCTTGCAGTGTACCCTGTGATGAAGTTCAACACAGCAACACTGGCGGTACCGGATCTCGGTACAAATTGATTCCCGCGGCCACCCGAATACAGGTGCCAAATGCCGGACTGTCTGGGTCAACCGTTCCCTCTGGGTGACCTCAGGTTACGGTTGCCACCTGTCCAGATCATACCCGGAGAGGCAGCAACCCAAGCCACTGCACAGTGCTGTGAGCACCAAAAGCTGAAGTAAATGTCAAATGAACAGGGGTCTGGGTGAAGCACTGAAGGCGGTGGGACGAGGTTTGGTGCGAATGGCTTGTTTGGTTGGCTTGTTGGAGCGGAGTACTGGTAGAGATATCGAGAGATAGTACTCGTGGCTGATTGGCTAGTGTGCTTTTGGGCTCGGGCCATTGGGATTTGGGCATCATTCTTACTAGTGGCCGGTTGGCTATTGTGGCTAGGATAAGTGGTTGAGATTGCACTAGTGGCTGGTTGGCTATTGTGGCTAGGGTTAGTGGTTAGAGATTGTACTGGTGGCTGGGTGGCTATTGTGGCTAGGGTTAGTGGTGTAGATTGCACTAGTGGCTGGTTGGCTATTGTGGCTAGGGTTAGTGGTTAGAGATTGTACTGGTGGCTGGGTGGCTATTGTGGCTAGGGTTAGTGGTTAGAGATTGTACTGGTGGCTGGTTGGCTATTGTGGCTAGGGTTAGTGGTTAGAGATTGTAGTGGTGGCTGGGTGGCTAGGGTTAGTGGTGGAGATTGCACGAGTGGCTGGTTGGCTAATGTGGCTAGGGTTAGTGGTTAGAGATTTACTGGTGGTTGGGTGGCTATTGTGGCTAGGGTTAGTGGTTAGAGATAGTACTGGTGGCTGGGTGGCTATTGTGGCTAGGGTTAGTGGTTAGAGATTGTGCTGGTGGCTGGTTGGCTAATGTGGCTATGGTTAGCGGTGGAGATTGCACTAGTGGCTGGGTGGCTATTGTGGCTAGGGTTAGTGGTAGAGCGACTACTAGTGGCTGGTTGGCTAATGTGGCTAGGGTTAGTGGTAGTGGTAGCACTAGTAGTACTCGTGGTTGGTTGGATAGGTGTGGTTCAGGCTGAGGTCAGCGGGAGGGGTAAGTGCTGTTGTGTGGTCGGCTAGCTGGTTGGTATCAGAGATAAGAGCCAGCCATGTGATTGGCTCGTGTACTCTGCTAACGAGCGGCTCGTTCCTCTCCTGCCACCGCTGCTCGTTGCTCCTCCATGCGGTTGTAGACTTCTCCGATTTGTTGTACACTTTTTGTTTTGTAGACTTATTGTTTTGTAGACATCTTCTTTTGTATACTTGTTTTGTAGACTTCTTGTTGACTTGTAGACTTGTTGTGTAGACTTCTTGTTGACTTGTTTTGTAGACTTGTTTTGTAGACTTGTTTTGTAGACTTCTTGTTGACTTGTAGACTTCTTGTTGACTTGTAGACTAATTGTGTAGACTTGTTGGTGACTTGTAGACTTGTTTTGTAGACTTGTTGTGTAGACTTCTTGTTGACTTGTAGACTTGTAGACTTCTTGTTGACTTTTTGACTTGTTTTGTATACTTGTTTTGTAGACGTCTTGTTGACTTGTAGACTTGTTGTGTAGACTTCTTGTTGACTTTTTTACTTGTTTTGTAGACTTGTTGCGTAGACTTCTTGCTGACTTGTAGACTTCTTGTAGACTTCTTGTTGACTTGTAGACTTGTTGTTGACTTGTAGACTTGTTGTGTAGACTTCTTGTTGACTTGTAGACGTATTGTGTAGACTTGTTGTTGACTTGTAGACTTGTTGGTGACTTGTAGACTTGTTTCGTAGACTTGTTGTGTAGACTTGTTGTTGACTTGTAGACTTGTTTTGTAGACTTCTTGTTGACTTGTAGACTTGTTGTTGACTTGTAGACTTGTTTCGTAGACTTCTTGTGTAGACTTGTTGTTGACTTGTAGACTTGTTGTGTAGACGTCTTGTTGACTTATAGACTTGTTGTTGACTTGTAGACTTGTTTTGTAGACTTCTTGGTGGACACGTGGTGGGGGGGGGGTTGCACGCTGCGTGACGCTTCTACATGATAGGGTCAGAGATGTGGCAGGTGGTGTTCAGTTCACTGCAGGCCGTGTAACGCGATATTGTTTACCTACTTTAGTAGAACCCTTAAGGGTGGCAGATTTAAAAAAATGTATTTTAGGTGGGCGGTGTGGGGCGGGCCCCTGCAAAAAAATTAGGTGGGGGGGGGCATCTGCCTGACATAGTCGTTGCTCTGCCGCTGCCTTTGTCGTCACATTAAACTCAGAAAGAAAGACACCTCCCCAGTACTCAGCATGCATGGCACGCACAAAGCATAAGGCACGTGCCACGCATGTTCGTGTACGGCCATGTGGGTCCACTGCTGGATAAGGGACCTCTCCTCCCCGTGCAGGTTACGTACCACCAGCCGTGCTGGTCAGCGTGTGTTGGTGAAGGCGGGCAGCGTAGAAGCGCAGTACAACAATACAGGTTACTCCGCTACTTACGAACGAGTTAGGTTCCGGAGGTCTGCTCGTAAGTTTATTTGTTCGTAAGTCCAACGCTGCTCCTGTCGATTTCAAATATGTTGTACGGCGTGTACACTAAACACGGGGGAATGACTTTAAAAGTTGTACAATCTCTTGTAGATGTAAATGGCTCTGGTTCGTCATGTTCTGGAGATGTAGATGCCACTGGTTCTTCATGTTCTGGAGATGTAGATGCCACTGGTTCTTCATGTTCTGCAGATGTAGATGCCACTGGTTCTTCATGTTCTGCAGATGTCGATGCCGCTGGTTTGTCATGTTCTGGAGATGTCGATGCCACTGGTTTGTCATGTTCTGGAGATATCGATGCCACTGGTTTGTCATGTTCCGGAGATGTAGGTGCGGGAGTTCAGCTTACAACTCTCAGTCCGAACAGGCAACTGGACACACGGACAACTTTGTTCGCATCTCGGAAAGTTCTCCCCCAGTGGCGATATTTACACACCGTGCCAGGTATTCATTTGAGGCTGAGTCAACCTAGGGGAGGCGCAGAACCGATTCAGATATTCGTCACTGGCTGTTGGCTGTGAGCAGGAATCGAACTCTGGTCGCCGAGTTTGTAGCGCAGTGCGCTAACCATAACACTACCGCTCCTCACATTACAACATGCATATCACAGCTGAAATGCACAAAGCATGCACGCTTGTTCATACCATGTGCATCATACTCATGTATAGGATCGCACCCTCCTATTTACGCCTGTATAAACGAATGCTTTGTGTGCGATTTCCACCAAACGCTACACATGCTATATAACATCACACTGTGTGTGTGCGTGTGTGATGTGTACCTGTGCATGCCCGCGTACATCATTGTGTGCTGTTGCATGCTGTATCATGCGACGTCGGTCACACATGCCGTGTAAGTGCTGTGCGTCATGCGTGCTCTGCGCTGTTGCACCCTGCATGCCGCCGTGTACATCGCGCGTGCTGTGTGACGTGACGACGTTCCGTTCAAAAAGCCAGCCACATTTTCTGGGAGCCTTAACGAGGACACACGGTGAAGCTGGCTGGCCCCATCCCCACCTGTAAAGCCAGCCTCGTGTTCCTTAGCCGCACTCATTCCTATCGCAAGGCCAGGTTCGCAGTGAGAGTGGGATTCGCTCTCAACCTTGACATTGCCCACCAAATACTGCTCATAGACCCCTGCCTACTACGCCCATCATCCTGTCATTGCTCAGTGCTGCCCACTGCTCAGTTAGCCCTGCCCTTTGCCCCCATCGTGAGGCCAGAACATGTTAAACCAGGGACAGTTACGATTTTCGCAAAAAAAAAGCTTCCGGGGCTGCTGGGCGCATCGCCAATGTGTCTTTGAACGTGGTGCGGCACCATCTTTTCCACTGTCGACAATACCCAGGCATATTTCTCAGTCGGCACTGGCTCTCCTGCAGTGAAGTTCAACACGGCACCACAGGCACCAGGTGTCGTACATGGGTCAAACCTGGACAGGTGGCAACCTAAGTTGTGCGTCGAGTGTGCGAGATGCGCGATCACAACAACGCACGCGCTGTGTACGTGCTGGCTGCGTCCGTGCCTCCGTGGTGTACACACACACACGGCGATACACACCGCCGTGTGTGTGTGTGTGTGCATGCCTCGGCAAGCACACGACGCTGCCAAGGAGCCACGCACCGCTCCACGTGCCACACAGCCCACTGCCCCCTAGAATAGTGGCACACCCTCATCCATCGAGGGCCCCGCCTCGTTGAAAGAAGAAGCCTTCTGCCCCAGCCACGGCCACATAACGGGGCTCCACGCCTGTGAATTCACGGGGGGGAATCTTCATTAACCTGGGGAGCCAGCGATGTGCCAGCGGTGTAGCTTGGTTGGGATGGGCCCTCGTTAATAATCCCCCCTCTCTTCCCCTCCCGCCGCCCTCTTTGTATCTCGCTGTCCGTGTGCCCCCGCTGCGTCACTTTCTGATGGGGGGGGGGGGGAGATCTCTGTGCGAGGTGAGCTTCTGCTGAGTCGAGAGGTGAAGGCGACGGTTTGAGTCGTCGGTTCTGTCAACGATCGGGGTTCCTTGTGCGTTGTATTGCGAGATGTGTTTCTGTGTGCGCTGGGAGTTCCAATTCAGAAGCGAGTCGCGGGTTCTGTGTGTGATATGGTGATGGTAGTGGGCGGGGGGGGGGGGGGTGATAAATGGGCACCGTGTTTGTGTGTGTGATGAGTGAGTCTGTGATGGAGAGTGATAGTGGGGAGTGATAGTGCATCGGTTAGCGCGCTGCGCTACGAAACCTGGCGACCCGAGTTTGATTCCCGCTCACAGCCAACTCCGGTGAGGAATGATCTGAACCGGTCACGGGCCTCCCCGTGGTTGACTCAAAGGTGGCCGGGCGTGGTGCTGGCCCACCCACCCCTCGTGTGCCGCGCCAGCCTTCATAGGTACTGCTCGCTAACAGCACTTGCCCCAGCAGCCCGTGTAGGCTACACGGGGGATCTTTGCCCTTGCCTTTTGGGGATGGAGATGTCTCGGTTGGCTGCCATAGTCGAATGTCGGCGTGCATATTCGCTCAACCTGCGTGTGTCCCGTCGCTGCGGCAGCTGCTGCTGCTGCTCGCGGGCTCAAGACGATGCAGGGGGCATCGCGCCGCGCAAGGTGTGACGAACCCGCACCTGGCCGCACCTACGGTCAGCACGCTTGGCTACGTACGGTGCGAAGGAAGTTCAACGTGGGGCGCGAGTATCCGCCACAACTGTGAAAGTGTAGAAAATATGGAAAGCGGGCCTCACTTTAGTTGTGATGGAAGTCAGGGTTAGTGTCAGGGTTTGGATGGTTGTACCAGTGGCTGGTTGGTAAGTTGCTTTGGCTTAGAGAGGTCGGGCTAAACAAAGTTTTGGCTCACGTGCTCCACCTTCAAGCCGTGTGCCCATCCTCTCCATCGCACCGTGTGCCTTTTCGATATTTGGCCGCATTTCGTTGCTGATGACTACAGCACACTGTAGTCGTGGCCTATGAACCATTGAGCTGTCATGGTCTGCGTAATGGGAATGGCCTCCACGAAGCAGCTCGGAACGTTCGCGGGACACTGCGAGCGTTGATGCTGCGGGGCAAAACGACAATCAAAAGCGCTACGTTTGGACCCCTCAACCTGAAGCAGTGAAAAGATCATGAACGTTTATTGCGGTCCGTTCAAGGCCCTCACCCTTTTTCTATAATTCAAATCGATCCGTAAACCTTAGACGTCTCGCTGACATGAACTGGGAGGTTATTGTGTCGGCATTTAGCTTCAGAGATATTAATATGTGCACATAGGAATGATCTCGGTATAATGTATGGGAATGAATGTCAATGGCATTTGCAAAGTGCAAGTTTCATTTGGAAGTTATCGACAAAAGTGAGGGTTCGGTTGATCAAAACAATTTTTTTGAGTTATATTTACGACTGTTTACCCAGGAAAGTTTAACCGAGTCTCATAACTCTCTTCCAGTGAGGTCCTGCCAAGTTTTCGCATTCGGGGGCAATAATTGCTGTGTAGAGTCCCAAATTGAATTGACTGCTATGTGGATCATTTTTCAAATTTGGCAAATTTGGATCGTGACACCAGCAACACAATGGGGCCTCCGCTTGCGAGTGACGCCAGGGGAATCTTCCGTCCACTGCGAGTGAAGCAGACGGCGAGTAGTGTTATTACTATTCGTCTTATTGGTGGTTGTTACACCCGCAGCATTAATCAGGGTTGGCCGCTGGAATCGAACCGTGTGAACCTCTGTGGCGAGCGGCGAATGGCGCTGCCGCTAGGCCCCGGGTCATCTCAAACCCAACGACGTCCACGTTTCCGAACGCATCGCGATGCAAGTCGAGAACGATCCGTTCAGAATCCGATCCACGACAAACAACAACAACAAAAATGAAATGGCGCAAAGCTTCGTCCGGACAAACGTTTGTGCGCTTTTTTTTTGCCAACTTTAGTTCCCCCCGCCCCACCCCCCCTCGTGACAACGTCTCATCAAGGCTAACTGTCGGGACAATTATAGTGGCTCTTGGTGACGATTCAAGGCACCCACCAATTTCAGGGGCCTGTATCCGTCCACCACGTTACACTCGGTGTAATTGCCCAGTGACGTTTCTGACCCTCACGTCTGTCTGGTGCGGGCGGGTGTCGGCAAACTCCCTTCGAGGACTGCTTCGTGACGTTATGTATCAAGGACCCCACCATCTTGTGTTCACATTGCATTGCGGCTCTTGAAACATTGAGTTGTGTCGTTGTTGTTGTTGCCGAATTGGAATAAAATGCCTCTCCTTATTTCGCTTGCCGACTCCCCGGGTTCTAGTGACACACGGCTTTTTTTTGGGGGGGGGGGGGTGGTTCGTTTGGGCCGCTATCTCCGCTTCGACGCGTTGGTCAACAAAACGGCGCAAATGTAGCAAACTCTCGCAAAGCGTCCACCCCCCCCCTCCCCCCTTGCAGCGCCCACTCCCCCTCCCTCCCCTCGGTCCCAGCACACGGAGACCGTCGCTGGTTCTCCAACAGCTGTCGCTTCGGGTTGAAAATGTGAAGGGCGCCGCTGGAAGGGTGTGCGGGTCTCTGCCGCCGAGCGCATTTCGTGTCTCACCGTGTGCCCCGGTCCGCTCCTGTCCCCCATCCCCTCTCCCCCATCCCCTCTCCCCCATCCCCTCTCACCCATCCCCTCTCAACCATCCCCTTTCCCTCGCTCGCCGCGCTGCCGCTGGCTGTGCCATGAGTTTTGTATCGTCTCACGTGTTTGTAATTGTATTTTGCGATTTAGCGATTTGTATTATGTAACATGGAAAGTAAACTACAAAACGTACTTATAAACACCGTCTTTCGCGCCCGTGTGCTTCTTCGAGTGAAACGGACTTTCGTCGTTGAGGACGGGTTCATCAGACGGAGGGTTCTCGCTGGCTCAGAGGTGGCGTCGCTGAGAACCTGGGTTCGAATCCAGGTTTCAGGCCGCCCGATGTACGTATGCTGAATTCTTTCGCGCCGTACGTAGCCAACCGTGCTCATCGCGAGGTGCGAACTTGGAGAGACAACGTTTGTAAGGAGGCAAATTGCCTGCTGGTTTATTGAAGTCACACCGTTTTACAGCAGGGGCCGGCCAATGTACACCAGTGCGCGCCACGCACAGGTTATCTGTAGCAAGTGTAATCATGCCCTTACCTTACCCAGGAAAGGGTTCCGTATTGGAATGTTTGGCCAGTTCCAGTCACGAGTGACACGAAGGCAGAAAGTGGAGCATCCGAAAAAAAAAGAATGCACTATTGCTTACAAGGTAGTAAAATTCAAAAGCGTCACACTGATATATACTCAATATTGCATTGCTGGACTGTCATCTCCTGGTCACCTTGCAGCCCAAGCCTACTACAACACCTGGTATTCCTGCTAAAGATCTCCCATCTAAGTACCAGCCGCGCTCCACTGAACCTGCTTAGCTTGCGAGACCGGACACGATCAGGCACGTTCAGGATTCCAGAAAGCAAAACTGGGATGCTGCCTGCGTGAATTTTCGCGAGCTGTGTTCTATCGCCCTCCGACGCGGTCTTTCGGGTCGCACCGCGCTGTTTTTGTTCGGCGCGATGCTCGACGTTTCGATGCGCGTGCTGGGGAGCGTCTCCAGGAGTTGAGCTTCTTTAAAGTTTGTGAGCAAACTCCCGACACGCGGGGCGCCCAACAGGAACCGTCGGTCATCGCGCGGCGCAACACGCGGCGCGACCCGAGAGCGCATCCAACGTCCGCCCCGGTAAATACCGGCGGGTTGTTATTAACACGCTACACGCCGCCGATTCGCGGTGGACGCTGAAGATCCCCGCGACGTCGCTCGCAGGGAGTAAGGCCACCGTGCGTCGGCGTCCCGGATCGAACGTTGAACGAAAAAAAAATGCACCGCAAAGATTACGCGCCGCGACGAAAACGATACACGGCAGGCACCCGGCTGAAGAAGAAAAAGGAAAGAGAAAAAGAGTCACGAGGCTCGGTGAGGCTTTCCTGGGTAAACATGCGTTGTTAATTACTGCATAATAATGAATGAGAGAGAGAGTATTCGTGGTTATTTGGTCATAGGCAGTACTCGGCAGAGTACACGACAAGGGGCGGGGGGGGGGGGGCAACTACAACGACCCAAGGCAGTCGAATAGCATCCCCACTACGGATACTCCTGGATACCTCGCTGGGGTACTCCTGGATACCCCGCTGGGGATATCCCACTGGGGATACCCAGGATTCCCTGTTGGGGATACCCCGGATACCCCACTGGGGATTCCCCGCATACCCTGCTGGGGATACCCCGCTGGGAATACCCCGCTAGAATACCCCACTGGGGATACCCCACTAGAATACCCCACTAGAATACCCCGCTAGAATACCCCCCTAGAGATACCCCGCTAGAGATACCCCGCTAGGGATACCCCACTAGAATACCTCCATAGAGATACCCCGCTAGAGATGTCCCGCTAGAGATACCCCGCTAGAGATACCCCGCTAAGGATACCCCGCTAGAGATACCCGCTAGAGATACCCCACTAGAGATACCCCGCTAGAGATGCCCCGCTAGAACAAACGCTAGGGGGCAATGGCTGCCGTGTTCTGCGAGACAAAGGCACAAAACGGGTTCACCGTGGCTCCGAGCACGCTCCATAGCTCGCTTAACGGTATGGCGTCGAAACGCCTTCCTGCGGCCAACTACCCTGCAGGTGACACCATCGGGAGACGGCACGGGAACACGCGCAGGTGTCTCTATAGTGCGTGTGTGTGTTCGTGCTTTCGGGTTGCGATTGAGCCTGATGTGCCACTTCTTGCCCCATGTACATACGACTCTTGTCCCTTCGTGCCCGTTCTGCTGCGTCTTTCTATCTCACGGTGTCTATCTCTGCGACTGTGCGTCTGTGCCTTATTCACATGTCCGCATTGCCACTCACTGCCTCTGTTGTGTCGTTTTCTGCATCTTTCTCTCTGTCTCTCTCTCTCTATCTCCTTCTTGCACCTCGATCCGCATAGCTCCGCCGTCTCTCTCTCTCTCTCTATGGCTGGGCGTCTGTGTTTGCATATCTCTCTTATCTGCCTGCGTCTTGCCGTGTCCAGTCTTTTATCCAGATTTGAAACTTTGGGTGATGCAATGATGAAGTCAGGTGAGGTGGAGGTGGGGAGGGGTGTGGCGACTCCGTCACTTGGCCGGGGTGGGTGAACACGAGGGAGGGTGCAGATCAATGCCTCGCCGTGGGTCTCTTCCGATGCATTCGTTTCTCTCCATGTCTCTCTCTGTGCCGCTGTCCATGTTTTTTTTTTATCGGTAGTGCCGCACTAACCCAACCCGGCTGCCCCCCCCGCATCTGCACAGGTCCCCACTTATACCCCTTTTCTGCTGAAGAACCGAGCGGTGCCAAGCTCAGCTCAGGGAAGCGCCAGCTTGTTTTATTTCCTTCCCTTCCCACTGCCGAACCTGAGCCACCGACGCCGTACGCCGCCGATCGAAGCCGCAACGCGACACGCAGCTGAACGCGGTGCTGCCGTGCCTTCACGGGTGCACCGACTCACGTCACGCGCAACGACGCGTGACGTTGGCCCCACCCTCGACCCTGCTTTTGCCCCCTCTCCCTCCTCCAACCTCGAGTCACATTCAGATGTCTTGGGAGTGCCAGCGGGAAAGGGGTAATTAAGCGTAGAGACGGCCCTACCGTGCTAACGCGTGGCAACACCGCGGAGCGCTGCGCGCCTCGTGCGGCCGCAGCGTCATCCACGTCGAAAATCTACCAGAACCCAAAAGCAAAGCAACGCCGGTGTACGCGGGGGCGCGCCGGGGGCCGGGGGAGAATGCGGGCGGGGGGTGGGGTGGAGGGGGCGCGCGACGAGAGAGGTCACAGCTTGATGTCGTCTGGGCTCTCGGTCGAGTCGTGGGGTGCGGGCGAAGCCTCCTCGATGGGACCCGCGCGGAGAGCCCTGAGCCGCGCTCGCAGAGGCATGGAGCGCGGGGCGAGCAGGAAGTCGTAGAAGAGGGCTGCACACAGCGAGCCGCTGAGCGGGCCCAGCCAGAACACCTGCGGGGCGAGAGGGAAGGCAGTCGCTCGGGTAACTGGCTCGATGCAATATTGCAGTTAAAAAAAACTCCTCCGTCCTGTCCACGAGTCGTGATGGCGCTTTGTATGGGACATCATTCATGGTCCGCGCGGTCGGAAAATTCTGCTCCTTCGTGAGATTCTAAGAACTTTTTTTTAGACAGAGCAGTTTTTTTTAATCGTGGTGTATCGGTGATTATAGGATCCCCCCCCCCGCCATCAACGTGGATTAGAGGCATTTTACGTGATAGCGGATATCCAATAATTCGCGTTGATACGGGGAGGGGCCAGGTCGCAGATCCTGTAATCCGCGAGGCACCGTGGATGTGAAACTTATAATCCACAAAAAAATGTTGTCGCCGCCGCGGTGTTGCCGCAGGTTACGGGACAAATTGGCCACGCCATTCCATAAATCCGCAAAACAAATATCCGCCTTACAGAGGAAACGCAGAACGTGACTCGCGGCTACATTAATCCACGATAAATTGACGGATTATAACTCCAATTGGCACAACTCTGCCATGTGGGTCTACTCCGTGAAAGGATATTTTTCCTTCATTTGACTTCAAATTATTGGATAGCAAATTATTGTATTTCTGAAAAATAAGAATAGGTTTTACCCTCTCTGGCAATACAGCAGGTGTTAAGATGTTCAAACACCACACAAGAAAGAAGGGTGTCTCTCTGGTGTAGGTCAATCAGTCTCTAAGACAATTCTATATATGTTTGCATGTTCACCACAAGTACATGTGATAAATGCAGACTTGATTCCCTGCAAAAAGTATCTATTTGGTGTTTGAACATCTTTACACCTGTTTTATTTCTAGAAAGGGTAAAATCTATTCTTATTTTTCATACTTTCATACTGGTAAAAAAGGTCCCATGATATTGTATTTCTGCTGTACTTGTTACTAGCCAAAAATATGTATTGAACAACTCTCCACTCTTACTCATTCCCCCAAAACATCTGCAATTCACTCCACATTCCCCAATACTTTTGGACTGAAAATCAAAGCTCAACATCATACTCTAAAAAAGGATGCTGCTATTATTCCGTACGACATTCCTCACCAGAAGCGTAGAGCTAGCTAGTTTGGTCACGACACTTTGTGATACGGGAAAATGGGTGGGGAAAAGTGGATGAGTGAGGCGGGGCCTGTGAGCTGTAGGCAGTCTCAATGTCAGAACGTTTTAATGAGTTTACAGTCGCCTCTTGATTATTCGCGTGCGGTTAACCCGATTTGCGGATTAACCGCGTTCCTGAGATTTTGACATGGATGGATTAACTCATGGATTTCCCCTTGAGCCCAATTGCATAATCTAAAAACAGTTATACATGTTTATTACCAGGTCACGTGCTTAAACCGAATAATATGTGCTCCGGTTAATCCGAAATCCACGTGATCGCCCCTACAGTACAGCAGTTGCATTTGTTGACAACAGTTGGTGGAGTTGGATTGATGTCGATTGGCGTGGCTCTTCTATCCAATTCGTGGGCAGTCTTCTGCGCGAGAGCAGGAAAGTGTTATCATCACTCAGTACATGCATCGATCGGTCAGATCGTGCGTATTCCTTGTCAATTTGAAGAGTAAGAATCGAAATCGTCAGGTGTGCTGCATTTTGAGTGATTTGGTTTAGACTTAGATCGATATATTATTTAGTGCAAATGTTGTTTTTGTTCATGAACAAATTCAATTTTCTTAGCTTAAACATAATTGATACCAATTTTAGTGGCTTTTTTGGCGTAGAGATTCGCGTTAAAATGGATATTTTTGGATTAGCCGCGATTTTAAATAATCCACGACCGTCCTCCCCGTCATTAGTGCGAATAATTGAGAGTCTACAGCAGTTAGTTTCGTGTACCTAGGTGATCACTCAAGAAACAGGATGAGTCTCATTTGCAAGATTGACCTGGATCACGAGCATGACAAAAATAAAATAAAAAGTGCAGCAAAGTACAGAGAACGAAGCAAACATGAAATCAGAACAAGCGTGTCACGCGAGAAATCGAAAAAAAAAAACGCACAAACACACAAAATGAATGCCGACTAATGAATTCCCTGCGAGGCGAACCAGCTGGGACAGATTATGCCTCGACTGATCAAAGTGCAATTGCAAATTAAGTTACAGAAATATCAACACAGATGCAGGCTGACCATTGCACAAACATGTAAACAGACTGTATCATGTCAAGTAATAGAATTAGGTCACTCGCTGTGGGCAATGCAAATTATATGCCGCTACATTTCGGCGAGTAGAAAGAACAATTGTATAAACTGGAAGGACCAAAAACGATTACAAACAATACAACTGTGTTTACCCGTTTACCACACTCTTATTATTGTTTATTAAACTATTGCTTTATTTTACCAGGTAAGGTCCACTGTAGCTCTTTCTCAGAAGCGACCTGGCCACAAATGATATCCCAATGAAGTGACTTATCGTGCGGAAATGTATCGCAGCCAAATACTCGAACACGCATGCTTCTTAATGGGGAGGGAAAAACCGGAGGACCCGGAGAGAAATCCGCGTGACCATAGGGCGAGAGAGACACGCAGACTCCAAATATACAGCAGCAGGCGTCAGGGTCGGGATCGAACCCACGACCTCCTGCATACCACGCGAGGTAGTTAACATCTCCTAGCCACCGGGGGAGTAGAGTCGGTTTCGCAAGAGGGCAGCAGACGGAGCGACAAAACCAGGGAAGGGAAAGGGAGGCCGGCACGGAAGTTCCCCACAAGACGGAAAACGAGGGCACGGCTCAAGACGAGCAGCGTGAAGGAGGAGCGCTGGGCGCCGAATGGGGGAGGGAGGGCGAGAAGCCATCGTGGAGGGGGGGGGGGATAAGAGGGGGAGGGTAAGAGACGGAGAAGAGAGAAGGAGCGAGCGGTAAGAGTCCGTTTTCGCAGGGGGTGGTGGTGTGGTGGTGAGGGGTGAGAGACTCAGTGGGGATGGCCACACACAAGTCGCGTGACGTTACGGGAAGGTTGAGCTGGTTTACGTAGATAGAGATGAAAACAAGACGGCAGCGATGAAATAACAAAGAGTTGATTCTTGGGGCGAGCTGCAACACAAAATGAGGACAATCCTTCAAACTGCTGGGCGAGCCATTGCCTCGCCAATCCGAGCCGAGCAGAGGGCCACTCCTCCCCATGTACCCCCTGAGCTCGCGAGGCGTGTGGCATGGAATTCGTGTGCTCATCGAGTTAACGACTGCTGCATTCGCAGTTCCGCGCACCGCTGTCTATCCATCGCACAAAAGAAATGAACGCACAAGCCGTTTCCATTGAGCTCGCGAAAAGCATTTGACTCCGGAGGGCAGGGGGGAGGGGGGCGGTTGGCAGGGCGGGGGGTGGGGGGGGGGGGGTCGTGAAAGGATCCACAACCGCGGCCGCCAGCGCCTGTGGCTTCGCAATTAAAATCGAGCGCTGGTTTCAGAGCGAGGGTGCGAGCGAGGATGCGAGCGAGTTCGCTTTTGCCACACCGATGGCCGAATTGGGACTTTCAGATTTCGCCCTTGGCCCTGCAGCCGCTCTTATTCACCGCACGCGAAGCGCGGTCGCTCTTGTCACTGCAAGGCGGCCTTGCAGTGACGCAGGTGACCGCTGGCCAAAATGAGAAACCGTCTTAGATTATATACGTAGGCTTTCACGGCCAATACTCCGATTCATAATTGCTTGTTGTGTTTCGATAAGCTCGTGTGTCGTGACAGCCCCCTCTCTCCACCCAGCACGACCAGTTAATAAACGTGTCACATGAACGAACCGCATTCAATGCATGAACAATCTCAGGACGCTGGATGTAATATCCAGCCAAGCGGCGTTACCCACGTGAATGTTGTGAGGCTCCTGTCCACCACCAACAACACCACCACCACCGGTGCTGCTGCTGAAGCAGCAACGCATTTAGCGCATCGGTTTCACTTCGATTAATTGGCCGTGTCGGGTGCAGGAGGGTGTACGACACAACGTTTTAAACTGTGACTTAACCCCAAAGAAACCAACTATGAATCATTATTTTGCTAGGTCAAAAATTTCAGTTCAGTTCAGTCTATTTTGGTATAGCCCTGTGAGCCATTCGGCTCTTGAATCGGGTGCAACCACAACAAACAAAAAAAAACAAAAACACGAACAAGAAAAACATCTTAAAGTGACTGTGATTGTGCAAACAGAAAATCCATGGAAAAAAAACAGCAAAAATATTCCTGAAAAAAAAGCACCGTACACCAACGCTGTGTGCAAAAATTCCCAGTGGGATGCAAGTCAAACAACAACAATAACCACAAAAACTTAGATTAAGGCCATCAGTCTAACTCCGTACTACAACAAAACAAACATGTCCAAACCAAAAAACTTTTCCAAATCACCAAAAAATAAAGCCATAATTGCAACGTAACAGTGATCACAAGGACTGTGACCGAATTTTTACAATAAACTACATAAATAACATGTAACACCAAATCCTAGAGCCATAGCTGGCTGCATGAGTTACTCCACAAAAACAGAAGCATCGATCGGAGTATCAAATTTTTCAATGCACCTTATATGCCACCTTATATGCCTCTCGAGTACCCGATTAGCGTGGTCAAGATGCCCGTAGTGGTCGATGTTTAGAAGTGGTTGGCCTCATGCGGTCACGGGCCATACTGAATGCAACCGGGAGCTGTTATCGGGCCTGTGAGCCACAGGTAGCGTTGCCACCTTCCCCACAGTCCACACCCGCACGTGCTTCTCAGCCATCAGCAGGTCTACCGTTATCAAATTTGTGCGGTTTGCTGGAATAAAGTTGAAACACGGCGGCGGCGGCACCGCATCGCGACACCAAATCAATTCCTGCCACCCGCACACAGATGCCACTTCCCGGACCATCCGGGTCAAACACGGACCGCATTGTGTCAATCGTACGAGGGCCGTGAGTTGTTAGGCGCTTAAAACTAGGCCCCGCCCGAGTAACCAGCACTCGCCCTCCCACTGTACTTAACCCAACAGACTTCATGTTATCCGCACTTCTAAGAGCGGGGCCACTTCTTCGTGTCACGTAAACCATTTCCGTTCGGCGCTGCTGTTCACAGAAGAGTGGAGAGCAGAATAGGCTCGTCGGCTGGCTCACGTGATCCTGCTTACGAAAGTCGCTCCGTACGATTATTCAAAGCCCAGGCCCGTCTTGTGTCCCTCTTCACACAAACACCTTTTTAAAACGAACCTATTTTTATTTTCACCAAGTAAGGCCCACTGAGCTACACAGCTCTTTTTCAGAAGCGCCTGGCGATCACAATTTAAAGCTCAGCGAAGTGGCTTGTTTCGAAAATGTGGAGGGAAAAACCCGAGGACCAGGAGAAAAATCCACGCGACCACGGGGGGAGAGACACGCAAACCCCAAATATACAGCAGGTGTCAGGGTCGGGATCGAACCCACGACCTCCTGGAGACCAGGCGAGATAGTTAACATCTCCGAGCCACCGTGATGATGATGGTGAGAGAGAAAGACACACATACTCCAAATATACATCAGGTGTCAGGGTCGGGATCGAACCCACGGTCTCCTGTATACCAGGCGAGATAGTTAACATCTCCGAGCCACCGTGATGATGGTGAGAGAGAGACACACAACCTCCAAATATACAGCAGCAGGTGTCAGGGTCGGGATCGAACCCACGTCCTTCTGTACACCAGGCGAGGTAGTTAACATCTCACCAGCGTGGCGCCGCCATCAAGTGAAAATCTAAATTTGTCCGCAGTGTGCCTGCTTTTTTAAAATTACATTTTGCCAAGCACAGGGCTCAGAGGCGTAAAACAGCAAGAGACCAGCAACAAGCAGAACTATTGAAGGTGTGATAGAGGGTGCATCAACTTTTTTGAATTGAGCGAGGTGATAATTATTCGTATGAGAGATTGAGGAGGAGAGACGGTTAGGAGGGAATTCCACGGTGGAGCAGTGCGAGTGTTGAAGTGTGGTGCGTGAGTGGGTGAGCGTGTGGGCGAGCGAGTGAGTTGTTGGGGCCTGGAGCTTGGTGGTGGTGGAAGACACGATACAGTTTAGTCTGGTAGACCGAGTTTCTCAACATAAATGGAGGAATGAATGAGTGACGTTTACGTGAACGGTAACCACGATTATGGCGATACGACACCTCTGTCACTCACCCTACCCACTCACCCACCAACTCACTCACTCAACCAACCAACCAACCACCCATCAACAACTCGAGAAACCGGATCCACCCACAACTTCGTCACTTCTCTTTCTCCATGGGCACCATGACAGGTGACGGTGGCTGGTTGTTACCTGGCCCGGCGCCGTCTCTCTCAATTCGCAGTGAGATTGGCAACCTCCTTATCTTAAAACAATTTATATAGCGCCTTGGTTTATAGAGCGCCTTGGTTTACGTAGAATTAACAACGGTACAACGTGCGAATGTAATGGTGGAGGCGAGGAAGCAATGAGGGCCGAATCTGTGATGCACGAATTCGGTGAAAGCGAAATTGATGGCAGTAAATGATGGTGAATGGATTGAATGGATGGGGTTAATGAGTGATGGCCATATAATGAGATTATGAAGACGAAAAGGTAACGGTGGTGGCTATCAGGGGGAGATGAAGGGGTCGTGGGGCGAGCTAGGGAACAATGAGTGTGAGTTGTGAGGGAGGAGCGGGAAACTGGCGAGCGAAGGTGACCGCTTAATGTGGAGGGGGAAGTTTGTTCCAGTGCAGGGGGTGGGCGAGAAGAGGACAAGAGCCAAAGCGTGGATTGAGCACAAGGGGGAGGAGGAGGAACAGAGAGAGAGAGAGAGCAAAGATTGAGAACGTATAGGGCCGAGAAGGCCACGCAGAGAGTGGCAAGACATGGTCGGGCAAGACCACGAAGGGATTTGAAGATCACGGTGAGGAATTTGAACGGGCAACGGGAGTAAAGAGGGAGCCAGTGCAGCTGACACGGCGACCGCCTCTTGGTATCGGAGCTTTACCAATACACTACGAACTGAGCATGTGGGCAGTCGGTTTCGCACGCGCTGGAATCGGCGCGTGTATCGCGAGAATAAAGATGGATTTCAACAGATAAGCTCGTGCATAGTCACGTGCCAATTACTAATACTCACAACGCAAACAACGCTGCAGTAATCAAACGCATGCCATTGAGGCTGCCACTAGAATAGTGGCCAGGCGAATCCATGGTTCAAAAGGGTACATTTTTAAGTGCCATACGGAATACGGGGAATGAATGCACTTTATACACTGACATTACATTTAGTTTAATGGTGTGATTGAAGCTGTCTTAATAGTTACAGGAAAATTTTGAAACAATACAACAGCGTGGGGTTTCACACTTGTGACTGCAGTAAATCATATTCTTAGTTCTTTCGGTAAAGTCACGTTGAAGGGAAACAATACAATAATAAACGGTCATCATCAGATGATGATGACCGTTTGTGTAATGGTCGAAACGTCGTGAGAATTTTCATTGTTTTATATATATTATTATTTTATTGTTTCCCTTCAACGTAACTTCACCGAAAGAGCTAAGAATATGAACTACAGAGACGTGTTTTCGGATTGCATGTACGTTGAACTTCTTTTTCACCGTACGTAGCCAAAACCGTGCCGATGCCGCGTATTGTCCGGCACGAAGTCCGACGGTGCACGCCATGTGCTTGGCAGCTCCTTCGGGTGCCGAATTCTTACATCCTCAAGAGAGCTCCCGAAGCACGTGGACATCCCTGGTGAACAGAGCACGCGGTGCAATGCGAGAGAGAGAGAGCGCGCGCGTACCGGAGCAGGAGTTGTTATTGTTAGGCTTGCATCCCACTGGGATTTGTGCACACAGCGTCGATATACGGTGGGGTTTTTTTCTTTCTGGAAGACTTTGCTGTTTTTTTTCCTGGATTTTTCTGTTGCGCGTAGTCACCACCTTAACATGTTTTCTTTGTTCGTGTTTTTGTTTGTTGCGGTTGCACCCGAGTCAAGAGCCTGCATGGCTCACACGGCTATATACCTAATACATGAAACTGCAACAAACTGAAAGCACAAAGGGGCAAATCACCACCGCGCCGGGCCGCGACGAATGCCCCAGAGCCTCTTGGAGGGGTGACATCGCCACTCGCCTCGGTCAGCTCGACATCCCGCGGCCCTCTCGCCGGGGCAACGCGCCCCAACTCACCCAGTGGTCTTTGAAATTCCTCGTTAGCACGGCGGGAGCAAAGGAGCGAGCCGGGTTCATGCTGCACCCGGTGAAGTTGATCTGTGAACAGAATTCCGTGCGTCGCGCGCAGCTCAGCTCGGTAAAAGGGGGGGGGGGGAGGGGGGGGGTGATGCAAGGCACAATTCACCGCTGTTTCACATCGAGTGGCGCTTCACGTTAATTCATATCGTCAGCCACGGTCTAGCCGCTGACGGACGAAGGCTTCTTGCGTCGGCATCGCATTCTCTCACGGCCCTGCGATACCACGGACCACGAGAGCGATGTTTACTCAAAACAATGATTGGGAAAATAACTCTAGAATGGATTAACGCTGCTAAGTTTTTTTTTTATGAAGAAGTGTTCTTTAGTGTATCGGCGAGTGAGCTGACACAATTAATAATTGGCGTGCCGTTAAACGCTTCAGTATACACCACGTGATAACTAAATGTGTTCGGCTACGTGGGGGGTTCGTGGAGGGTCTTCCAACAGAAATCGAGGCAGCATTATTCGTCACGTGGCCTAACCCAAACGTGACGACATCAGCTGCGAAAGCCTACGTGCGAATCTGGTGTCTGTGTAATTTTTTTTGCGCGTGGCAAATTTCCTCAGAAGAGCTGAATGCAAGAATGCATTTCTCCGAGACGGCGGCGTGGGGCTGTGTTTAAGGTGACACGAAGACTTCACGGTTGGGGCCACTGCGACAAGGCTACCGTCTCCCGCGCTTACGTGTGCCTTGAAACGTAAAACCCGTGCTTTAAAAAAAAAAAACTTGCCGTTCTTAAAACCGGGATAGCAAATGTTGGCGCCGCCCTTATTATTTGGCTTACGATAAATGCATCGTGAAGAAGGGGTGGATGAAAAACGGGACGGCTTCGTCACGCGTGATGAATGCCATCCGAGTGGGTGGCAGGGGGGAGTGCGTGCACAGTCGGGCAAGGGGTCAAAACTGCTGTGCCCCGAAGCTGACCAGAAAAACAAACAAACAAAATGTATGCACGAGCATCCCCCCCCCACCGTCCGCTCTATTAATCTAAATCACAATGTAATTGCTTCTCAGCAGGTGGCAGTGGGCCCAGTGGTATACGCAATTGCCCAGAGATCAAGTTGTCTGGCGCAACAGATATCGTTTAAAGTCCAAATATTATTTTGTTTAACCAGCGGGAAACTCAAGAGGCCAGGATAAGTCTCAAGTGCAAAGACTAATTTGGCACGAGGGACCTTGATCACCAAAACGACAAATGCAAAAATAAAATGAAGTACAGCGATGACATCAAAACAACTGTGTCACATTTACATTGCTTTGACTGAAATGGTAATTGGGCTCAGGAGTGCATTGCTAAGTGGATAGAGCCTCGTGCTCACAAGAACAGGTCTTCCTACAATGCAACGTGCCAGCAAGACGTATTTATAATTTTACTTTGGAAAATAGTTTATTTAGCAGCGATACTTTTTAATAATGGAAGTATTTTTCTGGCACCATAAAACATTAAAAACATTAAAAATATGAAAAATATATAACTATCGTATAATTAATTATCAGGCCCCATGGTGTAAGGTGCAGTCTCCGCTGTATCTCTGCCCTCTGTATCTGTGTGCGAGGAAGCGGGACCATTACTCAAAATGTTTATTTTAAGGCCCCAACTATTGTTATTGACGAATGTGTTGTTTTTTTCTGCGTGAGTTTTAACACGCAATAGGCTTTCGCGACCAATATTATCCATAATAGAGGGTTTTTTTGGGTTAGATGGTGTAAATATATAAATGTGTCGTTAAACCCGCCACCACCCTACACAGACAATTAGTAAGGTTTGTCACGTAAACAAAACATGGCAATTCGTTACCAGTACAGCACACCGGTTGTGTGTTGGAGAGCAAATACACAACATTTACAATCCGAGTGCGACGTTTTGCCAGTAATTACAACCGGCATCATCAGGCGACAGCCACATTTGTGGAGAAATCCTCCAGTTTAGTTCTTAAATAGAGGAGAATAAATGTGATGTCGCCACCTGCAGCAGCGGCAGCGGCAGCAGCAGCAGCGGCATCGCCACCGAATAAGGGCGTCACGAGTCACGACAAACGAGAGACCGAAAACGTCGCGATTTAAACGCGCGCGATCTCACAGCCCCCTTTTCGTGTCCGCACGCCCGAGTTGGCCTCTCCGCCCTCCGCCAAAGGCGTCCGTTCGTCGCGGGCGATCTGCCGCGAGCGGAGCCACTTGCGCTGTCGGTCGTCTCACCGCGAACAGGTGGCCCAGCGCCACCGCAAAGCCCACGGCGAGGGGCAGCGAGCCGCCCACGTCGCGGCGCCGCGAGTCCGTGGACGCGAGGACGCAGAGGACCAGCGCGAAGGTGATGAGCACCTCCACGCCGAAGCCCTGCGCGTGAGTCACGCCGGGTCCCAGCTGCCGGGAGGGGAGGGGAGCGGGGAAGGTTAAGGCGCAGCCCCTGCAATTGGTCGGTCGCGACGCCGGCACCCGGCGGAAAGAGTTGTCCGCTGTGGTGAGCTCTGGAGGAGCCCAACTTCTAAGATGTTGTTTTGCCTACTCTTCCACGTCAGCCGTGCATATGCATTTGCACAGGTCTGCATGGTGCTAGATCCTCCGTGATCCGAAAACAGAGGCCGAGTGCATGAGTCCTTTTGTGCTGGTACACAGCCCATCTACAGACCACAGACTTACGGTACCAAACCTGTCAACCCCTTATCAGTGCCTTACCTTATTACAGACCAATTCAAACCTCATTGGTCACCCCGTGCCTTTATAAATCTCAACGTTCATCTTACAATGTCCCATCACAACGGGAGAAATACATTTTTTTTTACAACAAAAATGTTTTAGTCAATTTCCCTGTACAAGAATTACGGGGTACGGGTTGGCAGGTGTGCGGTACCTCCCCGCGGAAGCCATGGCAGCAATTAGGCACTGGGGCACCGAGGCGACGGGTTGGGAATCCGCATGCGAGTCTTGAAAGACCGCTTCTTCATGTCGTTATTATTTATTTATTTATTCATTAATGACCACCGTCTCGCATTCACGTAGGCATTGCGGCTCTTTAAATATTGCACATTTTTCTTGTTTCTTTTTTTACCGAAGTAGAACCAAAAAAAATGTTCCACTTGTGAATTTGGTTTCCGATCCCTGACGTAGTCTCAACCTGCAAGGGCTGTCGTAGAAGGAAATTTGAGTTCAAACCGGGGCAGCAGAGAGAGGGAGAGCTGGCTTAGCTGCCCCAGCTCGTGAGCAATAGAGAGGCAGGTGGACTAGGTGACGCGGGAGGGGTGGGGGGCGACGCTGACAACTGGTGTTTCCCCATTCGAAGATGAATGGTCGTGGCATAGCTACCTATGACGATAACCTGACCTGATCTTCCACGCCGGGCCAGACTCCATTGGAAGAGGTTGGTAGTAGCGCACACTTTACCCAACGACCCGCAATGACCGGGAATTCCTTTTGAGGCTGCGTCTTGAGATGTGGCTTGTGTTGAGGCGCCGCACACGTCGCAAATTGTATTGCGTTGCACGTCACCACCCGGAGAGCGAGCAAAACTAAAAAATAATTATTTTTTGTTCAACACAAGCGAGGGGAGCCGCGCGTTAGCGACGACGGCTGCGCACGTGGTGCGCTCTGCGCGGCTTTTTTGGCGTCCGAGCGCCGTGGATGAGCCTTGATCCCGTGCGCGCGGGAGCGGCCGCTAATCGCTCCGGACGGGAGCTTTTGTGGTTGGACGCGCGACCGACGGCTGTGGCCGCGGGCTTCGCTGCGGCCGGCGGCTCTGCGGCGGCCTGCACACCCCCCCCCCTCCCCGCCGCGGGAGATTAGCGACCCGTAATCCGGCGGTGAATAACACCGCGCGGTGTGCACAACTCCGGACACAATGAGGCCGACTTTTTTTGGCTGAGCACGGACGTTTTTACGGATCGGCGATCGCAGTGCCTGCAACTCGCTCGGTTGGGCCGCGCAAGACACGAACGATTTTTCTCTGGCGCACAGGTGACGCGAGCCGGTTGGGTTAACCGACTGGAATGAAAGCGCCAATGTGCGGTGATTCATTGGGGTCGCCACCATTTTCCACTGCAGACCGAACGCACGTATCTTCAAGTGAGCACTACGTCTATTGCCAAAACTGTGCAATTGACCACAATAAGGTTCAACGCAACACTGGTGTCAAATTATGGTACAAATCAATTCCTGCCACGCGAACACAGATGCCAATTCTCAGACTGTCCGAGTTCAACTGTTGTCCTTTGTAGACCGGACAGGTGGCAACCCCTGGTGACGATGCCGCGCCAGCGCTGGGCTCCCAGCAGACCAGCGCCTCCGGGAAGATGCACGGCCTTGGAACGCCCGCGTGGCAGGGAACGCATTGACGATGAAACCGCTGTCGTCGTAATGCAGCGACCGCGTGGATCCACCCTCTGTGTCTTCAAGTGAGACTGGAAAGCTAGCACGAGACGGACCTTGACGTTGTCGGTCTGTGTGTGTACTGTGATATCTAACGAACGCACAACGATCCCCCGTAACCGCCTGGACAGAGTGTAAGAGCAAGTGCTGCGTGCGAGCACCGATGAAGGCCAGAACGGCACAAGAGGGTGTGGGTAGTCAGCACCACGCCCAGCCGCATTTGTCTCCTGAGTGGCGATGTTTACACACGCACCAGGTACTCAATTAAGGCTGAGGGGAGGCCCAGCACCGGTTCAGATAATTGTCACTGGTGTTTGCCATGAGCAGGAATTGAACTCAGGTCGCCAGGTTCGAAGCACAGCACGCTAACCACTACACTACCGCTCACAATCATTAAGGACCTTCACGATGGTGGGCAGGCCCGGGTAAAACTACATGGCCGGGAGTCGGAGCCATTCCCTGTTCACGTTGGGGTGTGACAGGGATGTCCTCTGGCTCCCACATTATTTAACATCCTTTTTGACCGGGTAGTTCGTGAAGCCTTCTATGGCTGTACTGGAGGAATCTCCATCCGCTACAAATACAATGGGAGGCTAATTGATGCCTGGGTGCGGTCAAGTGATGGATCCATATTAGTCAACCATGTTATGTGTGCCGATGATCTGGTCATTGCTGCTCGCTCAGAGGAGTTGGAGGTGCTGCTGTCGAATCAGGAGCATTCCACTACGAGATGGGGCCTTACCATCAGCCCCACCAAAACTAAGCACCTGCCTGGGTGTTTTGTGCGATCAAACACTCCACCCCCTTAACTTCCCATTGCTGATGAGGCAGTTGTGGAGAGAGTGGAAAGTTTTCCATACCTGGGCAGTGTGCTTATGATCAGCTCTCGTTTTACAGCAGAGGTCTCACTCTGAATCAGTTGAGCGGCATTATATTTTATCGACTGCGTAACACTGTGTGGAAGCTACCTGGTCTGTCGCTCCACATGAATCTTCGGCTCTTCTTGGCCACGGTCATGCCCTCCCTTCTCTGATCTTGCGAAACGTGGACCCCCCTAATGGAATATCTTAGCCGGTAGACACATGTAGGCTGGCCTGCCTACGACCCATCCTAGGTTTATCCAGGCTGGATTGTGTGAGGAGCTCATATCCTGAAAGATTTTTCAAGTCAAGTTTGCATTCAATCCAATGGTGAGCTCCTCTCGCAGGCAAGGCTGCGTTGTCTGGGTTCTGTACCCCGCATGGCCAGCTACTGCATGCCTAAACAGCTTTTGTTCGGACGGATAGAGGGGGCTAAACGAGTACGACACGGGGTAGAGAAGAGATGGAGTGATGTGGTACAAGAGGATGTGGAGCTGAGTGGACTTGCAAATGACTAGTACCAGCAGTGTCAATATCGGTCTCTGTGGAGGAGGCTCGTGAAGGACGCTGCTACTGGGCAGTTGGAGGTAGTCGCCCTCAAGCAACAACGGAGAGCAAAGGAACGACGCTCACAACAACGAGCGGAGCGCCGGGCGGCTAAAACAAAGCAAGTTGGCACAGTAGGGGGCACAGTGCATCGCTAGTCATCTCAGTCAGTCAACCCATGGCACCTGGGTCTGTCCCGTGACATTCTTCAGCGGGCGTTCGACACTTCACGTGGCCTTAAAGTGCACTTAGCGCCGTGGTGACGTCAATGGGGTCTCATGCTTAACTAAATTAAAATCATGATTTATATCACTTTATCGCGCTGTCAACCATCCTATAATCTCATCAGATCCGGAAGAATGCCGGTTAGCAGAGTGAAACAACGCAGACGTCCAGGATGAACACCTCACTCAACACACAGTCACAATTTCACCTCCCGGCTTTGACATTCCTCCATCAAAGACTCCGGTGGTGAAACCATCAACCGCATGAGAACATCAGCAGGGCGATGAGCAACATCTCCTTTATCAACGGAGAAACTATCGGCCAAAACACGCGGTGCGATTGTGGCCATGTAATCCAAACTATGGACCACGTACTAAACCGCTGTAGTCGGCGCTCCTTCAAAGGAGGCAGTAACAGCAAAACCACACGAACTCTAAACTCCTGAAGCCCTCTCTGGTCGTGGCGAGCAGACCTCGTGAACCACAGCGCCACCATGCATAAGAAATAGAAAGCGCGCACAGTGCCGAAGGCCCCTCGTCCCCCCCCCCCGCCCCCATGAGAAACCTGCTCGTCACGGCGCACGAGGAGAAGAGGAGACGTCGTCTCAACAGAGACATGGGGGGGGGGGGGGGGGCGGGGGGATGGCAGGGGGGGGGGGTGCACGACCGTGAGGAGTGCGCTGTCTCTGTGTGGGTGTGAAGGCTCCCTACCGAGTTGAGGCCCAGGGAGCCACGCTGCACTGCAGGGGTGAGGCCGTAGAGGAGGCCGCTGGCCGCCAGGGCCCCACTCACCTGCGCCACCATGTAGAGGAGGGCGCGTGGCGCGCTCAGCCGGCACCCCACCTGGGAGAGAGAGAGAGAGGGAGGGGTCAGGTATTGGAGGGGGGAGGGGGGGCACTCACCTGGGAGAGAGAGAGGTCAGGCATTGAGGGAGCAGGGGGGCATTCACCTGGGAGAGTAATGGAACCGATAATCGGTATAGTGATCGATAACTTCCATTACCCTGTAATCCTACAGCCCAGCTAACTCCAGGGTCCACCAGTCGGCGTTGGGTCTTGTTTTGCAGCCCGCGAGTGACCTTCAAGTACCACTCTTACATTCTTGTGCAGGTTGACTCAGGTGTCTCTTGAAATGTCTCAAAGGGCCCTCACCTGGAGTTGAATAAAGAAAATGTGCGTGCGTGTGTGTGTGTTCAGGCTGGGAACTGAGTGTGCGTGGAAAGAGACCTCCGCTGGGACTTTAAGGGGCTTCCAAAACAGGCCTGTGTCTGTGCTTCTCTGTACGTATCTGTGTCTCTGTACGTGTCTGTGTCTCTGTAAGTGTCGTAGTATATCTGAATGTGTCTTTATCTCTGTCGCTGTGTCTTTCTCTGTTTCGCTTTGCTCCTCTGTGTGTTTTTGTTTGTCTTTATCTCTGTTGCTCTGTGTCTCTCTGTGTCCAACTCTGCGTATCTCTTGTGTTTATCTCCATGTCTCTGTGTGTCTCCAGATGTTTGTGTCTGTGATTGTATCTGTGCATATAGCAGCTATGTCCTCATCACTGATTCTGTCTCCATGTGCCTTTGTATAACTATTTATATCTCTATGTATGTGTGTACGTCACTATGTCTTTCTGTTTGTATTTCTGTGTATTTATTTGTTTGTTTCAATGTCTGGATGAATGTATGTACGTGTTTTTGTCCCTGTGTTTCCATCTCTAGGCCTGTCTCTCTGCCTCCATGTCTGTCTCAAGCTGCGTTTCTCTATTTCGTGTGCAACATTCACCCATTGGACGTTTGGGCGGCAGGGTGGCACACGGCAAGAAGGACCTGGGGTAGATTAATGATTCGGACGCCTTTCTGCGTGGAGTTTGGTACATTCTCCCCCGGTACTGCGTGGGTTTCCTCCGGCTTTCTCCGCTTTCCTCCCCATAGCGAAACAAAAATCGAACAGTGTGACCGGTATTGGCCAAATCATCCCAATGCTGAAGAATCATTACCAGTAAATTACTCAATTGGGATCGCATGCAGAAGCAGCAGCATCACCCCCGACTGCGAAAACTTGGCAGGACCCTCCTGAAAACGAGTCTCGGGACTCAGTAAGAACAAAGACTATACAGGGACAATAATAACGTCAGTAAGAAATAATTTTGAAGGGAAAGTTTAAAACATAATATTTTATGCATTAGAAACTCGTATTAATTTTAACCATGCAATTGATAAACAAATAAATGCCAAAACACGTAATTGCTGTTACATATGTAAATAACCAATATGCTTCCATATTGATATTGTTTTAACCAGGTGACAACCAGGGTGAGTGTCATTTGCAGAAGTGACCAAAATGGGGCATTGATCCGCCAGTAGAGGGCATTGCTGGCTGTGTATCGCCCCAATTGAGCAATTGGGCACAAAATTAGACCCTGGCGCTGGTGAAAGCTTATTCCAGACACCTGTGATGCCCCAACATCTCCAAGTCTACATACCTCTCTCTGTGTCTATCTGCCCCTCTATGTTTCTCTGTCTCTCTCTCTATGTCTAGGTGTCTCTCTATGTCTCCTTCTCTCTCTCTCTTTGTCACTTAGTGTCTATTCCAATTCTCTCTTTGGATGACTCCCTCCCGCGTCCCCCATGTCCCTTCGACACCAGGTACGACAGTGATTGTCGATGCCCGTGCTTGCAGCACACAAACAAACTCTGCCCTCAGCTCGCATCAGCCCGTCTTTGAGTGTTCGACCCTCACGCGATGCATCTTGCAGGTATCGTCTGGCATGTATATGAGATTAGGGCATTAGCCGGGGTCGTGGATTAGCTGGCGGTCGTGTTTATATTTATTACAAGGAGGTCGCCCGCAACGGTGTAATAAACCGCGAGCTTTTACATTGCACCGTAAGCGTTCGAAGGGAGAGTGGTGCCTCAATTTCACTCGATGAGCCTCAGGCTTTAACACTGACTCCCCTATAACATGCAAAGATGCCCCAATCAGACTCGATCAGCCTCATGCGTGAATAGTGAACCATGTGACGTCTAAATGTGCCTTAGTCTGGCTCTATGAGCCTCAGGCATTCACAATTAACATTACGGATCCTAAAGATGCCTTATAGCTTGTGTCTCTGCGTGTTATTGTATCACAGGGTAAACTATATACTTGGCTCCTCTATGCATGTCCCTTCAATAATACATAACGCAAACTAATTATGTTCGTCTAATTTCAACAGCATTGATTCAACACATCGGAGCACAATTCAACTGTGGGATTTACTGCCCCGCCCCATCTGCTGACTGTCACGTGGCCCCCGCGGCCTATACCACCTATTGTGCATGATGGTCGTCCTTATCAAGCACTTGCCCAAGCTCAACACCCTACTTCTCTTTCGAGATCTGGCGAAATCGATCGGCGATTCGGTGAATATAAATCGAGATCGGAACGAGGGGTGGAGCGGTGGCGCAGTGGTTAGCGCGCCGCGCTGTGAAGCCCACCGAGGCCGTGGCTAACGAACGTCGGAGCGGGTTGAGCGGATTCCCAGGACCCGTTTGGAATTTTACTCGCCACTGATGTGAGCCCTGGAGGGAATCTGAACTCTGATTGCCGGGTTCATGGTTATTGCGGCAAACTACGACGAGGTGACACAGTCTCATTATGCGTTGGCGTAGAGCATTATATAGTTAAAGAGCCTAATCGCAGCCCCTGTCCTGTCTCTCCATACACATGCATGCATATGCTAAACGTGCTTTTAGTCAATCCCCTTTTTGGCTTCGCTGCGCCAGTGTCGAAACTCCGCACGGGTCTCCACGTGCTGGCTTGCATCGGCGGGCGGTGCCAGGCAGGCTTGTCAAGCGAACGCCGTTGCATTGACCGAATGCAACGGCGTTCAGAAGAAACCCCGACGGGACGCCCAATTGAGCTCGAAGGGGCAGTGGCCGTGGTCACGGCGAACACGGCGACTGCACGTGTGGGCTACGCTGACGAGGGTACCCCGTCCGCCACGCGTGTGCCGAGTGCGTGCATCACTGCATTGACACCGAGGGTAACTTTGAAGGATTCATGGGACGAAATGTGGTATTGTTTGTTGATGTTTTGTGACGTGTTCACCATGTTCTCCATGCTGCACTCCCATCGTTGTTTTATTTGTTGTATTGTTTGCTGTTGTAATTGGCTGACCCCGTGCCCATAACCGTACATATGTGACAAAAAGAGCTTTATAGCTCATCGGATTTATTCTACAGTTGAAATAAAGATTCTGAAGCGGGGGGGGGGGGGGGGGGGGGCGGTGGTCTTACTTTCCGAAGCTTAGTCCGAAGAATGCGCTAGCTAACGTGGATGAGGTTTGACGGCGTACGAAATTGATGCCTGGGAGATGTGTTTACACTCCTCGAGCATAGTGGCACTACAAGACGGAAGAAAGTAAATACAAATTGACGAAATGTGCAGTGGACACCTTACGGGCTACCTGCCCCATGGATCGTGATGATGATGATGAACGTGGACGGGTGAAATAATTCCCCACGGGGTGGGGGATTGAGGGTGGGATGTGTAGAAGGTCAAAAAAGTGTCACACCCACCAGGAGGCCAAACGTGACGGCAGGGTTGAGGTGTCCACCGCTCACGTGACCCACGCACTGCACAAGCGTGGCCACCGCCAGCCCGAAGGCCAGAGACACGCGCACGACATCCACCGAGCCGTCGGCGCGTCCCCACCGGAGTGTGGAGCCTATCCCGAGAGCCACCAAGGCGGCCGTGGCCAAGAATTCCGCGAAGACCGCTCGCCAGAAGGGTCGAGAGCGCAACTCGGAGGCCATCGGAGGAGATCGGAGCGAGCGATGCGGTGACGAGGTGGCGGCGGCGGCTGGGAAGGAACGTGGCAGTGGAGGTCGAGGTGCCTTGCGCAGGTGAGCAAGGTGAGGCGTTGGGAGGGTAGGTTCGATGGATGGATGTCTCGGGAAGGGTGTTGGTTGGGGCTGCTTCGACGGACGGATGGGCTATGTCCAAGCTTGGCAGTGGACAGGCGCGGCGCGTGGATAGGCGAGACGATGTCCGCTTCGGAGCTCGGGAGAGTTCAAGTGGAGGCGACAGGAGACGAGGGAGAGACGCGCGCACACAGAGAGAGAGAGCGACGGGGTGCGCTGAGTGTCAGCGGAGTGCGGAGTTGGCATTGAGCGCCGCGTTGGTGGTGGCGATGGTGGTGGGGGGGGGCTCGACTTTATATTCACGCACGCGCCAACACTCACACACACAGATTACACACACGGATTACACGCACGGATTACACACACGCAAACGTACACGGACAAAGATTCCCCGTAAAGCCTACGCAGGCTGGTGGGGCAAGTGTTATTAGCGAGTGCCTACGAAGGCCGGAACGGCACGCGAAGGGGGGCGGTGGTGGGCAAAACCACACCCGGCCGCCTTTGTCTCTCCAGTGGCGATGATCTCACATCGCACCAGGTACGCATTCATTTAAGGCTGAGTTGACCGAGGGGAGGCCCAGCATTGGGTCAGATGTTGGCCGTGAGCGGGAATCGAACTCAGGTCGCTGGGTTCGCAGCGCGTGAACCGCACCACGGACGCTCCCCACTTGTACAGACTATAGACGTAGTGGACACAGATTTTTTTACACGCGCAAACATACAAAGGCAAAGACCCCTCCCCCCCCCCGTGTAGCCCTGAAGACTTTTAGATGAAGTAAAGCAATTCCAACACGCCATACACAGACACGTACAGACACACGTTCAAATATACGCACGCTTACACAGACATGCAGGCGCATAGGCACAAAAGATCGCCTTTGTCTTCCAAGTGGCAATGTTGACACACCGCATCAGGTACTCATTTGAGGCTGAGTCGACGTAGGGGAGGCCCAGGACCGGTTCAGAAAATCGACACTGATGTTGGCCGTGAGCGCGTTGCATAGTGCGCGCTAACCGCTACACTATCACTCCCAACATAAACAGACATGCACACACACACAAAAATGCACGTAGGCAGAATTATTCGCATACACAGACACACATATGCCTACGCATAGATATATACAGTATATGTAAACTCAGAACCATATATAGTATACATAGATCACCAATATTTCCAATAAGATACGAACACACATGGCCACACAGACACATACGCAAATATTCACACACACACGCGCACAAAGAATCATAGATTATACAGACACAACACAGATTAAAATACGCATACACACACGTAGACTAAATACGCAGTCACGCGTACTTTATTACACAGTCACGCAGATACTGAAATTCACCCTTACACACAGTAACACAAAGTGACACACACACAGTCGCTCACAAAGACGAAGATCACCCGCATAACTTTTAACAGACTATTGGGGCACGTGCTGTTGATGTTTTTAGCACGCCTCACCAGGTACTCGTTTGAGGCTGAGTCGACCGTAGTGGAGGCCGCTAGGATCGGTTCAGATAACCGTCACCGATCTTAGCCGTGAACGAGGAATGGAACTCAGGTCGGCCGGGTTCGTATATCGTGTAGTGCGCTAACCACTGCGCCACCGCTCGCCACCTAGTCTCACGCACGCACGGCCACTCAGTAACAAAGGGGTCCAGTAGGAGGGAGACAGCGACGGGGAGGTTGGAAGGCATCGGAGGTTTTAGCCACGGTGATCTCTCAACATTGACCCCCAAGGCTTCCTCTTTGGACAGCTTCCTTCTCGCAGTCGCAATGTGGCCAGCAAACAAGAGAGCAATGGTGATAGTCCATCGGGCAAGGAGGGAACGCTTTCCTTGAAGTGAACTCAGTTTATACAACCAAAAATCCCGTGGACAGAGATCGATGAGAGTGAGTTTCCAAAGTTGAGGAGCGTGATAGCAGGATGTTGCGCACATGATGGACGGTTGGAAACAGTGATAGTCCGAATTTGCCAAATAAAAAAATGACACTGCAAATTCATCAATCGGGATTACTGCATACACACTGCAGCAATTATCGTCCCCCTATCAGCAGACTAATGCCCCCCCCCCGAACACTTACAAACGAGACTCATATTGGTATTTTGAGTTCTCAACCTGGTGAAACGCAGAATGAACTTGAAACTTAGTAGAACAAGTCCTTGATATTGGCGCAGGTGGCAAGGCCCGAAGGTCATGCGAACATTGGCTGTGGAAGTAGCGACTGCACTTCCAAAGCCCAGGGTCAGCTCATTAAGCAGCCTCGCTCGCGCCTCCCGAGTCCGCGAATGGAGCAAAACGCCGTCGTGCCTTGAATTCATGCGTGACAAGTCTCAAGTCGTCAGTGAGGGTGGAGCTTTATTGGTGAGAATTTGAACGGCACATGGGCATCGTATGAATCATATCTTTGCAAACGTGACAACGCTGTCGGGGGGTGAAGGGTTCACGACAACAATGTTGGCACACAATCACAGCCACGTGGCATCCAAATCAAATGTGAATCACGGAGGAGCATCTATCTATTGGCTTTGAGTGTCGTTAGCTAGCTGACACGGGAGGCGTGATGCAGGTTGACCACATGGGCGCTCATAAACTACGATGGTGGCCGTGTGGTTGAAGGTTCAGAGCCACTGAGTCAGAGCTACTGAGATCCAGGGTTAGCATCCAAACAGTCACGTGTGATTAAACCAGGTTCTCAAATGTAGGGAGTTGATGGTGTCAGCCCAGTCACTCTTGACCGCACAAATTATATTAAATTAATTTTTCGAATTCATTTCGCAGTATTTAATCTCTAAAAATATAATAAATATTCCATTGATTTATATGCTAATGCAAGGGGTGGCCAACCACAATAATGAGAAAAGCCATTTTTTTTCAAATCCGGAAAAAAACCCCCTCAATGCGAGACGATCCTAAATAAAATAAATACATTCACGAAGCAGCGAGCAATTGTAGCGCTGCACTTTGAATCGTTATTTCTCCTGGGAAGTCTCTTGAATGTTTTTTGTTTAACCAGGATCTTCTGCTAGCACGTTAGGCCAAAATTGTTTTCACAAAGTGTTTTGCAATTGGGAGCGAACTTTTTGCTCACGCTCGAAAGGTCTGCCGCGCCAGAAGATGTACAGACCCGCTTGGTATACTGCCGTCTGCTGGCCACCATGCAGCGCAGCGGGTTTGGGGAGTTTCAACACATGAACCGTAGCGGGCACCTATCAGGGAATGGAGACCAATGGATGGCCATCCGTGGCTTTGCATTGCCACGTGGAGGGGGTGGGGGAGGGGACAGAAAGAAGGGGCTGTCCACGCCAGGGGTGGATTGACGGTCTAAAAGAGGCCCGACTTATAGCAATAGGTTTTACCCTTTTAACTGGCACAAAAAACTGACACCTTTATTCAAGGCATCATGTTTGCAGGCTCGACTTGAGAGAAATAAACCAAATGGGCCAGCAGGAAAAAACGATTGCCACGACCGGGGGGAAATAAAGGCGCTGAAGAAGTTGGTCCGGCCTCATCGTTAGCCGCCGTGCGATGACTGAAATAAAGAATACGAACGACAAGCCCCTTTCCTTGCAAAAAGTCGTGTTACAGGATAAACGCCACTCTCTGCCCAACTCGTTCCCTCCTCAAAAAAAGCATTCGCTCATCGGTGGCGGAGGAGCGTGCACGGGTTGTGAGCACAGGAGGCAGATGTCCACCAACACTGGAGTTTAGAAGTGCCCTGGTTATAACAGCACCGTCATGGGTATAATCGTATGCTCCCCAAACCATGCTACAGACAGCCAATCAGGCCCTCCTCGATTCACACAACAAAATAAACATTTTTTTTTTATTTTACCACTGAGCTATATAACATTTTTTCAGAAGCGTCCTGGCCACAAATGACAGCTCAACGAAGCGGCTCATCACGTTGGAAATTTATAGCAGCCAAATACTGTAAACGCATGGGGTTTCTAAATGTGACGGGAAAAAACGGAGGATAATCCACACGACCACGGGTAGCGCGGGCACGGCGGCTCCGGACAAGCTGTGCACCTCCACGGTCCCGATGTCGTGGCACGTGACGCACATGCCACACACACATTGGAGCTCTTGAAATATTGAGTTTTTTCATTTTTACCGAATTCGAACAAAAAAAATGGCTTTCCTTGTGATTTTGGTTACCGACCTCTGAGCTTTGGCGAAGGATACCGGAGGAAAAAAAAAACACACACACAGCGAAGAAAACCCCCACGGGGCAGCGAACTTGACGAAGGAGACGAATAACAATAATAATAATAATAATCACATAACGGCCATCGGCGAGCCCTCCCCACGGACTCATCCCTCCGCCTCGGGCTTCACGGCGGACACTTTGGAGTGGCGCTTGGGGAGGGCGGGCGCGGCGGCCACGCCGGGCAGCGGCGCCAGCGACGAGCGGGACGCGCTGCGCGCCTCCGTGATCTCGATGTCGCGGCACGTGGCGCACGCGACGAGGCGGTCGCGGTTCGCGGCCGACGAGAAGACGAGGTCGTGAGCGGCGGCGGCCAGGAGGCCGCCCAGCAGGGGCCCCATCCAGTAGACCTGCGGCACGCAGTGTGGGGGGTGGGGCGTCGTGGGGGCCACACTGTGGTCGAGTACGATACTGGAGGTCACAATAACTAATTCACTCACTCATTCACCGCAATGAAGGTCACGACAACTCGCCCACTCACCACACCGCAGGTCACGACGCTGACAGCAGCCGTGCTCAATTCCAGAGATGTGTTAACTCTTATCTAGTCGAGAACTAATTTAAGAGTGCTGTTTCTTGCTGGCCGAAAGAAGTTTAACATACATGCATACAGGTGTGGCAATGATGCCTCGATTAATTTATATTGATTGTAAGCGTATAATGCTTGCAAATAAATTAGGAATTTTTCAACACGTTATTATTTAACCATTTATGCAAATACTATTGAGGCTAACAGAGAAAACTAAACTGTACAAGTGAGACAGAAAATAAATTAAACAACACAAACGAGACAATAAGGAGAATACATCTTTTTAAAAATTACTCAGCAATCCAAACTGGTGAGTGATTAATTGAATGATGCATTGCAAGAGGTCTGGACGGCTGCTCGTTGTGACAGGCCAACAGCACGCTGCGTGTCGAGGAGGTGCGTGGCACTGCACGCTGTACGTACCCAGTGGTGTTTCCATAATCCGCACACGAGTGCAGGTCCAAACGACCGTGCTGGATTGAGGCTGCCCCCAGAGAACTTCTCCTGCAGAGGAAACGAGAGGTGTAGCGTAAAACCAAACCACGATACGCTGCTGGCCTCACAAAACAACTGAATCTGGCTCGGGGCCAAGCAGGACCAGGGATAAGCAGCCAATGACATTGCCTTAACGTCAACACGCGTCTCGACCCGTTCGTTACGCGTGACGCCAACGGCATGGCTCAGCTTCCGCAGTGGAAAACCAACCCGCAGCCTACCTGAGCAAGTGCCCGGTTTGGATTGACACAGCTCTGGCACGGCTGGGATATTCAGTGGAAAAGCCGTTATCAGATTCACGAGCCCTCTTGCGGTCCACAGTGTCCCGTTAAAACTCTGGCCGGCTCGCCTGGGCCCTCTCCGTGCCGCGTGGCCTAGCCGCGGGCGGTGAGAGACGAACCGAGGCGAGGATGCCGGCGCCCAGTGCCAGCCCGACCGGCAGCGGCCCCGCCTCCCCGGAGCGGCGCACGCGGTGCTCCTCCCCAGCGAGGGCGCTCAGCACCAGCTGGAAGCTGCAGAGGAGCTCGGCCGCCAGCGCCTGCCCCGCGTTGCCCTCGCTGCCAATCTGCGGCGAGTGAAACACGGTGGGACATTTTGTGAACGGTCAGCCAGCGGACGTTTCATGAAGCCGCCGAATGTGCTGGTTGGGCCGGAACTGTTTTGTGAAAAGGTGGTCCTACTGTGCTGAAGAGTGAGCGACAAATGGGACCTTGTCCCGGGTTGAATTGTGAAACGGGCATAGGATCTGGCTACCTAAGCAGTGGGCATGGCTACCAGAGGAGTAGGCAGGGTCTGTGAGCAAATACGCGGGCCCAACGTCACAGGGCGTGAAGAGGCCACTCTCTTTGTGTGAGCGGGGCTAGCCATAGAGTGGGCGTGGCTATGTAAAAGTGGGCTGGCTGAAGGAGGGAAGGGCTGCTAGCTAACAACCATGTGTCTCGGTTATTCTTCCCAGGAATTTGGTAACTTTAACTCGACAACCAGACCAATGTCAAAGGATAAGTATAAATGTGTCACAACCCTCCACCACCCGACACGGCCAATCAGTAAAAAATGTGTCACGTTAACAAAACGCCAATTAGTTACTTCTGCAGCCCACCGGTGTGTTTGAAGAGTGAATCCACAACATTTAGAATTCACTATGATTGTCAAAGGAGTCACAATCTCTTTTACAAGTGCCACACGCAGTATAATATAAGCAATATAATTGAGAATAATTTCATATATGGATGTAAATGCATGTAAACAAATCTAGGAGGAAAGGGGGCTGTCTGAGGTGTAAACATTTTTCTCACGTTTTGTTCCTTGATATTCAGCTAGGCTGAATCATTGTATTGGATCTCTCCACTTGGCCTCCCAGTCAGGTAACTGGAGGGTGCATCTCATCACATCCCGGTAAACATGTCAACCAGTTGTCGGATTATCCCAGTAGCAAAAGTAGCTACACGTGTAGTAGTTACGGGCCCCGCACTTTCAAGGGCCCCGCGCTAAATGCTTTCAAGCTATCAATTCCGGTTCAGTGAGTCTGCCCTTGCTCTATTACTATAGTACTATACTGCCTTCAACTTTTATGAACGACGGGGTGTTTAAGGTTAGCAGCGATTTGTCGTATTATCTGGCTGTATAGGAAATAAAAAAATACAATTACTTTACTATGCAAGTAAACAAATGTGCGTTTTAATATTCATGTGTTTTTTTTTTTATTTAGGGCCATTTTATAACATATGCTACAGGCCCCGCACTAGCTTAACCCGGCACTGATGCCAACGTTGAGCCAACGTTGGCACGTCGTTGGAATCGTTGGAGCAACGTTGGCCCAACGCTCAAAGTTTACTGAGATGATACCTTGTGACGTCACCAGTGATTTTGAGATGGCAGTCACCGCACTAGCAGAGACGCTAAAGAAGAATGCACAGTCTGCGGCACGTGACCAGGCAGTGTCTGAGGGGCCTCCCTCCGCATTCACACACAAATGTTCAAAATAAAAGAAAAACAAAATATCAACAAGAAATTTATATGAACAAGTATTTGAGGAGTATCAAAATAAAGAAAAAAAACAAGTGCAAAATAAACCCAAAACATAAATTACTATAACTGTAAGGTTCAAATAAATGACTGAAACCTATAGTAAGACATGCTAAACTAATGCTTGACAATTGTAAGTCGTTTACAATGTAGAATGTTAGTTTGATGTCATTATAACGGCTGCTAGTCTCAAAAACATTTTTTTATTCACGATTGCAAATTAAAGTTTAAATGATGTGAAATTAGACTTGGACAAGACCGTAAGCGATAACAAAGCCGAGTCTTCACTGGATAATTAAAGGGCATTCATGTTATTATGTATTTGCCCGTGATACCATTCCACTTTATTGGAAACTATGGCCCATGGCACCACCCCCACTCCTCCAGTTGCTACATAGGTCAGGGAAAGGGCAACGTTGTTCCGATCTTCTAGAGAGCTCCTTCACTCACAACACAGTGGAGTTATCCGACTAAGCCAGTGGTTCTTAACCTTTACTGCAGCAGCCTCGCACCCCTTTCCTTCTTAATTGTTAAAACATTTATAATGTTCATACATACAAACGTTTGATGAAACAAAATAGTCGTACTTACCTGCCCGTGCTTAATTTGTGTTTTCGATTATTTACCTTCTTTAAAAAAAAAAACAATCTGGCCATGTCTCGCCCCCCCCCCCCCCAGAAAGGGCATCTCACACACCCCCCACACACACAACGGGACCTCCCACTGTCACCCAGGGCGGCCCAGCGAGCAGAGCAGAGCAACCGAACCGAACGACCGACGGCGATCACCCCACAAACGCGACGGGGGAGGAAGAGGCAGAAGAGGAGGGGACACATGAAAAAAAAAACAATATTCTGACTCCACTCACCGACGTGACCAAGTACTTTCTGCCGGACCGTTCCGGCAGCAGCAGGGCAACGACTCCGGCCGCCACGACCGCGCCCAGGCACTGTGCCAACACGTAGGCCACCGAGGGCAGAGCGCCGAGGCGGCGCGTGCACAGCAGGGCCACTGTGACGGCGGGGTTGAACTGCGCGCCGCTTGTCGGTCCCAGGCTGTGGGACAGCGCCGCGCACGAGAAGGCGGCGCTCAGAGCCACGGGCAGGGAGCCCGCCGCGCCACCGACGCAGCCGCAGCCGCAAGCGGCGTCGGTGGCGGGCCCTTCTCCCGCCGTGCCGGGCCAGGCCGCGCCGAGCACGGCGAGGACGAGGAGGAAAGTGCCCACGGCCTCGGCGAGCGCGGCGCGCCAGAGGGACGCGCTGCGGATCTCCTACGGCGGTCGGGGGTGGGGGGGGGGGCATTGGGGGCTCCCGCCGGAGGCATCGATGGTGCCAGGGGGAGGGAGAAGAGGAAGATGAGATGGGGCGTGGGTGGGGTAGGGGACTCCAGCAGAGTTGACCAAATTTCAGGTCTCGGTTTCATAAACACATCGGAGTTGCATCGACCAAAGGTCGTCCTCTCTCATGTATCCCATCACCTTGGTGCACCTTATCGGCAGGCCCAGCCCCTGAAACGTTGACCTTCAGAACAGGAGGTATTTCTACAAACTTGCGTTGTCTGGGAAATCTCAGCCTACTTGGGAAAATGCCCTCATTGGTGGTGGTGCTGGAGTCCAGCTCACTGAGGGTTCAAATCAAACAGTCGGAGTTGACTTCGCTAGTTACAACTCGAAGGGTAGACGGGTGTCATTAATCTGGCCTTCCTGAGAATCCTGCATGAGGTCCGAATAGCACGGTTGGCTACGTACGGTGTAAAAGAAGTTCAGCATACGGTACTCGTTGACAATCGCTGCAATTCATTGGGTCCAATGACAACCAAGCAGAGCGATCTGACAACACCCCACCAATGACATAACCGTGTGGACCTGCAGGAGTTGCGGATTTCCCCCAAAAGATTTGTCATACGGTAACTCATCACGAGCTTCAACCTCGCTTTGGGTGACCCGTAATTGCCTCTTGTGGATCATTGCCCTGCCGGATTTGAGTCCAGGAATGAGTCGAGAATTTACAAACTACATCATTAGACCTCCTTTGCCAGTGCCAAAATATAATAATAGGGTTTTCCCCCTTTTTTCTGGCAACAAGATTGAAACCTTTTTACAAGGATTCATGTTACTGCATTAACCACAATACCTGCAGTCAAAATGCAAACAAAAAACATACTATGATAATATATGCATTGTCCTTGAAACTGATTGGTCCACACCAAGGGACGGCTTTCTTTTGAGCCTCGACCCAATTGGTGCTCGACCAGATGACGCCAAAAAGCGCCTTTTGAGGACAATGCCACATATATTATCATAGTATGTTTTTTGTTTGCATTTTGACTGCAGGTATTGTGGTTAATGCAGACATTAATCCTTGTAAAAAGGTTTCAGTTTTGTTGCTAGAGAAAAGGGGAAAACGCCTATTATTATTATACAAAATATTGACTATTTTTATTTTATTTATTTTACCAGGCAAAGGCCCACTGAGCCATTACAGCTCTTTCTCATAAGCGACCTGGCAATCGTAAATGATAGCCCAAATGAAGTGACTCATCACGCGAGGCAAAATGAAGGATCGCATTAAAAGGCTGAGGTTTTTGTTTTTCACTCTCTCTCTCTCTCTCTTCCCCCGTAGCGGTCGTAGTGGACCCGTCGTGCGCACACGGCCATCTTACTCACGTCTAGAAGAGCCATCGGTGCTCGTGTCGCGTCGCGGCTTGCGTGCAGGTAAATTTGTCGGGCGGGCGACTTGCGGCGAGAGACGAACAGAGAGAGAGAGAGACCTATGGGCCACACCACCCACGCCAACGCACACGGGGAGCTCATTAACGCCTCCCATTGGCGGGAGTGAATCACCAACCGAGACACCGCCGTCAAATTAATGCGGACCTTTAATGATTGAGAGAGCATTCATTCTCTGCTTTGAAGTGTCACGTCGGAGACCTCTCGTTCACATCGGGGTGGTGGTGGGGGGGGGGGTGTGCAGGTAGAGGGGTGGTGCCCATTGTTGGGCACGGAGCAAGTGGCCTCCGGAGTTGAGGAGGCCCTTGCGTGGACACGCGCACCTCCAGCAACGTTTCCATCGCAAACCCCAAAACGAAGTCGTCGTGTAAACCGCCGACGCCGCTTCACTCACCTCGTCGAGTTATTCGATAAATTCGACTGTCGCTCGGGAGAGGTTTCACTCACGGGGCGGCGCGCAAAGCGCCGGCGGCGGTGCGTCGCGCTACACGCGGTCGTCGCTCGACGCCTCGGGGTCGCTTGTGACCGGTCTGACGCAGGTGGCACACGCCGGTTAATTATTCTCGCCCATTCACACCGTCCCCCTCTCGCGTTTTGTACCCAAAAGGAGTACTCGAGGTTGCCGTGGTGATGGCTGTGGATGCGCGCGTGGTGCTGTTGACGGAGGTCCGCGCAGTCCCCCTCTCTGAGCCCACGTCGCTGCGCGCCTCCCAGAAAATCCGCGGCGCTCTCCGCACAGGGGCAGCAGCAGCAGCCTCACCGGCAGCGGCCCCGACACGCGCCACGTCGCCCGTGGCAGGGCGCGCCAAGCTGCTGGTCTCCCCCCCCACCTTGCCGGGGCCTGCGGGCCGAGGAGTACGCACGTCGTTGCCGGCGGCACCTTGTCGAGGCTCGCGGTGTGGCTCTCGCGAGAGCCGGCGTCCTCTCGAGAGGTCAACGCGGCCCATCGGAGCCGTCACCTTTTGGCCCACGACGCAGTCGCCAAACGGCGGCCGCGCGTCTTCGTGGTGAAGACGCAGCTCGCGATGGCCGCCCGCTCACGATAGCGCGTCCTGTTACTTCGCAATGTTAAGGAATCACCGCATTTGTCTCCCGTGTTTTGCTTTCGTTTGACCCTTGCCTCTACGCTTCGGTTTTACAGCAGTGGGTAGATCATCGCTGCCGCTGCTGACGATAGATCGACATAGCGAAGGCCCTCAGGTACCCGTCTGTGAAACAATGTGCCCTTCGCGATAGCCTCGTGCTTAGAGAATGGCGGGAATTATTCCGACTCAGCCTTTATTTCAGCTGGTAGGGCCCCATTGAGCTCAGTAGCTCTTTGGTGATGACGACCACAGCCCAAGACACTCGGTTGTGGTGATTGTTACATTACAGGATACTGCAGGGTGGAGGGAACGTGCAAACTAACCAGAGCGAAAACAACAACAACAACAAACACGTTATTTACACGGAACCCACGCCAGAGCTCACTGCACACATGAGAAACAATATACAGGGCTTACATACAAATCAAAATCAGTGTCAAAACCTCCCCGTCACAGACGTGCGGAATGTCCTCGCTTGGAAACAGGGCCTTAACGGGCAGCGAGCCCAACCGGCTCCGGATTGGACACTGATTCCAAAGTTCGCCCTTATAGGTTAACATTCGGAATTTGGTGTTGATGGGCGCCCAAATAATAATGGCATTTCCTCGTGAACGACGTCCTTTTATCAATTTTCAGAATTTTTGGCGAAGATTTCCGGTTCAAGGCGGTTTATAAACTTCCCAAAAAAGGAAACCAAGCCAAGCTTCTAACGAGCTGAAAAGAGACACTGTGTGAGAAATAATAATAAAAATGAGAACAGGGAGAAGATTTCCACGTTTAACATTTTCACACTGCTGCGCGTACACAAAAGCAAGCGGTAAATTTCACGAGCGGTTGAATGAGGTTTGAACACGGCCCACAAATTCACTCTGGTCACGCAGCGCAATGAAATGCAATAGAATTTGGACTTATACAGCGTCTAAATTGCCACTGCATCTCAAGGTGTTTGTACAGTATGATGTACATCACCAGGAACAGAATAGCGTGTGTGTTTGTATATACATATAGTTTAAATAGATGTATATACATACAAGAGCAATAGACGGAAGAGGAGAGGATGATTTTGAACCTGCTTCAGCTGAACAGGGGCATGCGGTTGGCAGTGCAGACGGCCAGTGGGTCTGAGGTCCATTAAACAATTAGCGTACGGTGCAAAAGAAGTGCAACATGCATACCGTACATAAAGCACAGAGGCACCGTGACCAAAGACATTGTTTGCTGGACTAACACACGAAGCGGAGTATAGTGAGTTCGTAGCAGGGCGAGTCCGTGGAGGATCTTGAAGACGCTAAGGGTGATATTGATGCCCATACTGGACATCTGCGAAAACAAGCTTTATAGCTCATCGGATTCCCCCGGTATCAATAAATATTCTGAGCCAGTTGGGTAACTGGGGTGGTGCAGGAAGTGCCGCCTCGAGAGACCGCGGGCAGGAGGCGAGGCTGCACGATTGCGGGGCTAAGGCCCATGAGTGTTTCACGGTGACCACGCTTCTCTGGGATAGGAGCGAAGAGTCGATGTTTACGGAGGAATGGGGGAGCTCCACGCTGCCTCCGTAAATGCCATCATTTGGCTCAAGAAGACTGGAGCTAAATATCTCGATTGCTCCTTGACTTTTCACACTGAGCCGCACGCGAGTCGTAGAGTGTTCACTGGCGTTGTGCGTTTTTCACCAAGAGCGTTAGCTTTACAATAACGCCTAGCAAATTTAAACTTCGAGTTGAGCAAAGAAGGAACTTTATTCTGCGCCTCAATACTGAGTTACCCCCCTCCTCCCTGTGCTTCGATTGTGCTGCTGTTACTGCTGCGTGGTCAATCCCGTAGAATGCTTGGGCCAGACCCGGCCTCAGCAAACTCCTGGCGCCAGGAGATGAGGTGGGGTGAGCACACAACTCTCGAATGTCACCGAGCCGCAGTCAAAGAAATCGTGCTCTTTGCAACATTCAGCCACGGCCGCGGCCAAATCACCCGGGGCTGTGTGCGGTGTCTCACCAAGACCTCAGAGGCTAAGCTGGACAGATAGGGTTAGGACTTGGATGGGAGACTACCTTCGGGAATACCAGGAGGTACATGTAGCCTTTGGGCTGCTAGGTGGCCAGGGGATGGTAGCAGAGGAATGGGTTTTGAATCTATCTGTGCGGAGTTTCGAGCGTTACCTCTCACACGCGCGGGATTCCTTGGGTGCCCAATGGTCCTCTTCTTTTTACTTCCGATATTAGGAAGCCACTGGAGCCGTGCACATTTATATCTACGTTGAAAACTCATTTCTTTAAAACTGCTTTTTTGTGTTCAGTTTTGTCGTCCTTCCCCCGCACCTCCGATTTGCGCGGTTGGATACGCACGGTGCGGAAGAAGTTCAATATACATGCATACGTGAAGCCAAACACTCATGATTGCAAACTGGCTAAACATCCGGGATCCTTGTGAAAAAGAGGTCTGAGGGTCAGTAAGGCTTTCTTGGGTAATTAATGGACATTATTATTCCGACGACTACTATCGGAAACCGTCGACGTTGTCCCATGGAGCCTCTTGCACAATACACGTTTGTAACACCCAGCGAGATTCGTAATGAAATGCGCAACCGCCTCCTGCCAGAACGGCTCGTAATTTCTAAGAAATAAACGTCAGCAGTGTCCATTGAGGTCGCCTCTCGGCGCAGTCGGTGGCACGCAAACCCGGCAACAATTACAGCAGTAGCAGCAGCAACAACGACGACGACAAAGCCGCGAGAGAGGCGGCTCTGTGTGCCCAACTTTGCGGCAAGCAACTCTATTCAGGGCATCGTGACGGTGACGCCAGAGGAGGGCATTTGCTGGCAAACGTGGTTGGGAACGAAACTTTTATTTGTTTTTTCACCTTGTGCCACACTAACGCCTTGCACTCACGCACAACTCTCACGCTCTTAGGGAGTGTAAATCTCTTTCTCGTCCTCCCTCCTCATCCTCCTCCGTCTTTTTGCGTCCGGCTGAGTTGAGAGCGACGTTAAAGATCTCGCTCTGAGCGTCAAAGCCACGCAACGGATTCAGCTGATGGCTGAGTTCACTGCTGTCGCTACTCCAGCTGCTACTGCCTCCGATGAATTTTCAAAGTTGGCAGCGGCAGGGTGTGAGAAACAGACACCGTTCTGCCAGTCTCCGCTGCAATATGCCCTCTCCTCGCCTACTCTCTAGCCATGTGTTTGATGGTACACACTCAGCTCCAGGAGATTTACTTAAACCCCATTATGCTCCACGGCAGCGGCATCACGAGTTTGTGCACGGCATTGCTAATTGCGTTGAACGGGGCCCCATATTTTGATATGGAGCACTCTTGCCAATAACATATGGTAATCCGGCAACGTTTCCATAATACGCATGTATCTATCCATGAGAACCGGAAGGTCGCAACCTGGTCCAGACGGTGTTTGCTTAACAATAAATGCTGCTAGGTAATATTGGTCTCGAAAGATAATATGCTGGTGAACTAAAACATATATCCGTTTTATTTATACGTAAAGAGGCAGAATTAACTGCCTCTTTACGTATTTTGCTCATATCAATGTTCTCCAGTGCACGTGGGCGATGCTGGCCCAGTGCAGGGTGCGGGTGGGGGGGGGGGGTCAAGAGGAGGCCGCCAAGTGAGAGACCGAAATCGCGGCAAGTGTGCACACAGCACGCCTTTGCTGAACTCGGATCGCCACCTTTTCCCATTGTAAACCAAACCCGGACCGTGTTTCTCAGTCATCACGAGGCCTGTTATCAAAGCTGTTCAAGTTTATGCTGTAATAAAGGTCAACAACAATAAAAAAAAACCGGTACCAGATCTCGGTACAAATCAATTCCTGCCACCCGATCACAAAACATGAACCTTATGGCGGGACCCCGGGGTCCCATAAGCCCCCGGCTCTCGCATAAACTTTGTTGCGACGTCATTTTATGTCTGTTGAAGGTGAACGAAACGGAAATCTATCCCTCTCGACGAGCTCTACACGATGCGCTAATCAAAGTTTTGTTTATGCCTACGGGAATTTTGGCAACGGCGGGTGCTTGGTGAAGAACGAGCGGATTGACTTCTGCTGGGTCGCAGCATTTATGTGCGCGGTGGGACGGAGTCGCCAAAAATAAATAAATTAATTACGATTTTGACTTCCGTTTATTCGAGACCCCGGGGTCCCGCCATAAGGTTCATATATCAATTCCCAGACTGTCTGGGGCAAACCCAGACTGGTGGCAACCCTATGCTGAACCCCAAAACAAACCCTCCCACTGGGTTAATTTAGCCGTGCAGTGGCTAATCCCTGACGTCCTGACCTTCACATGCACCTCAATGACCTCAATAACTGGAACAAGGAAGATTGATAATGGATGTTTTTTTCTCTTCTAAACTCTATCAATTCATGCATTTTTGGAATTTCAGGCCTCGAATGTGCGGGCACTGAGACTGGTGCTGGGAACCACTGCTGCCACCAGCTCAGCGGGGTCACACAGCCCACGCAACCAGCCAGGCAAGCGGCCACACACTCAGTCGACCCCTGCAGGCACCGTCCCAGAACACGCACCCAGCCACCACACACACACCCACACATTCAGCAACGCATCCAGTCACAGGATTCATTCACACCACCAGCCACGTAACAAAGTGCTGTTAGCGAGCTCCTATTAAAGCCAAAACGGCACGCAGCAAACTACGCTTAGCCGCATTTATCTCCCCAGTGACGATGTTACATAGATCCCCCGTGTAGCCTTGAACAGACTATTGGGGCCTTTGTCTCCCTTGTGGCGATGCTTACACCATCGCACCAGGTACTAATTTGAGGCTGAGTCGACCTAGGGGAGGCCCAGGACCGGTTCTGATAATCGTCACCACTGGTGTTGGCCGTGAGCGGGAATCGAACCCGGGTTATCAGATTCGTAGCGCAGCGTGCTAACCGCTACACTACCGCTCCCCACAAAGATCCCCCACATAGCCTTAACAGACTGTAGGGGCAAGTGCTGTTAGCGAGCACCTATGAAGGCCGGAACGGTACACGAGGGGGTGGGTGGCCAGCACCACGCCCGACCGCCTGTCTCCCTAGTGGCAATGTTTACCACCGCACCAGGTACTCATTTGAGGCTGAGTCGACCTAGGGGAGGCCCGGGACCGGTTCAGATAATCGTCACTGGTGTTGGCCGTGAGCGGGAATCGAACCCGGGTCACCAGATTCGTAGCGCAGCGCGCTAACCGCTACACTACCGCTCCCCACACACACAGTACCACACACACAGCACCACACACACACACATCTCATGCACCTCCGACAGGGCCCTCGAAGTCCCTGGCACACATTACCATGGCAACCGTGATGTGCTATGGGGGGAGGGGCGAAGTGTGGGGGGGGTGACAATTCGTACCCAGCCCCCCTCCCAAAACGACTTTCTCCCTCCCACGCGGTGAGTGTTTGTGCCATGGAGAACCATCTTCAGCTGCAGCCCACCGGACCCCCACCCCGCACCGCGTCCACAGTGAGGCGCTTTGTGCCGATCGCCCCAATGGGCGCTCGGCAAGATTTCTGCTGCACGGGACAGAGGCGCAAAGCCGTCGTTGGAATCGCTCTCCCCGCACCGTGGCGGTGCCTCGCTCGCAGTGGGCAGGCAAGGGTCACAACACACACACACAGACACCCCTGTCCGCCTGCGAGCCCGAACAAGCGCACGCACAAGGGGGTGACCCAAAAGTCGGGACACGTTGGGTTATTATATTTATTTGAACGAATCACGTTTGGGGGTTTATTTGCATTATTTTTTTTTATTTTGACGCGCGGCATGCGCACCTTTTGGCTGTTTATTCTGTAAGTTAAAGTGTGCATCTAAGTGTTGTTATCATTAAGATCAATGTGCAATTCTTCCCTTTCAGATGACCTTTGAACAAAAATTGAAAGAACATTTATTACAGGTGGCGTCCCCCCTCGCTCAAACTTCAACGGTGATGATGACGACGACGACGCTTGTGACGCGGCACGGAGTTCCCCAGAAGCGACAAGCAAGCGCCGTCTCCTCCCCGTCAAAGAGCCGACGACGAAGACGCATCCTGGCGTTCGAGCATTCCACGACGCTTCTGCGCGCAACCCCTGACACCGCATCAACCGCACACAAACCAATGTGAGCAGCAGCAGCAGTAGCAGCAGCAGTAGCAGCAGATGCGGACACTTGACGATGCGGACACTTGACGATGCACAGATGGAACACGGAGAGCTCTCCGGCAGCATGCGGTGACTGCGGTCACCCAGAACAGATCCTGCGGAACGTTGCGCCGCAGGGAGAAATCAGTGATCGGAGCGATCGACATCACTGCCATCGAACGAAGACGGCCATTGCATCGCGCGCTTTCAGACGCGCTTCTGCGGCCGTCTGGAACGCTCTTCCTTTCGATATTAGGAAGCAACTGGAGCTGTACACTTTTAAATGTAGATTGAAAAAAACAATATTTCTTTAGAACTGTTATTTTTAAATTTAGTTTGTTGACCCTGCCCCCTCACCTCCGATTAGCGCGGTTGGCTACGTATGGACGACACAAGTTCAACGTACAGTACAGCAAAATAGATACATACAAAACCATCCCCGTATCCATGTGACTGACGGGCGGTGTTTTATTTTTGCCCACCTCTAACTTCGAGAGACTTTCGAAGTCACCTGAGCGGGTAGCCCCCTCTGCGTACCACACACACGTTGGACGTTAATAAAGACACCGACTCGCAACCACACACGTAGATCGAGTACGTTTCTTTCTTATGCTCGTTGTACGCGTATATATATATTTGCGTTAAGTCGAATCTTGAAAACAATTACGGGTATGAAACAATCAAGAAAAGGTGACACACACAAAATTCGAGGGCATTAAATAATATAATAATGTTTTAAAAAAAGCCTCCGCCCCCCCCCCCATGCCCCGCCCCGTCCAAATCGCTTCCACCCTCCTCGGAGTCCGACACCTGCCCCTCCCCCACCGCATTTTGGCCCACGGGTCTCCGTGCAGTTGCACTGCCTGCACACCGGACAGCGACGCCACTGGTGTCCCCTCGCCAAGGCGTCAGCAGCCAGCAGCCAGCAGGTGAAGTTCGTGGTACAAACGCGATGACTCTGCAATGCACAATCTGTCAAGTACTCTGTGTATATATATATATTTTTTTTGCAATTTATGACAAAGCCACGTGGTTCTTCATTGCAAGGCCCGCGGACCACTGGCGGCCCCTGTTGGCCTTTAGTGTGGCCCACTGACGTGCGGCACAAATGTGAAAACACCCTATCATCATCATCATCGTGCTGTCAAACCCCCAATGCTTTCAAATGTGTTGCGGCCCTCACACTGACGATGTCTTATCGGCGAAAGACGCCCACCCCACCCGCCCCTGTGAAAGTGAGTGCAGGACACTGGACGTGAACATTTGAGTCGTGCGCGTCCTCCTGTGTTGGCCCTGCTGAACTGCATCTGACTTGTCACAAAAAAAAAAACTTTGGGGCGGGCCACGCCGTGGGCTGCAGAGGGCATCGCGGCAAAGCGAGGCGACATCCACTGCTGTGCTCTGCCAACGCTCAAGTTGCCCGCACCTCCCCCCCCACCTCCCACCCGACCTTCACCAACCAGCACAGGGACAGCAGTGGTCAAGAACGGTCCGACCAACGTGGGGAAGCCCCTCAGCCAGCGGTGGACGGCCAAGAGGGCTGCCGGATGGTCTTCGCACGCTAATTGTTGGCGGGCTTATGGGTAATGCTCTAATCATAGCATCAGCTTGCAACGCGCCGCTCGGTATCCGCTCGCTCTCGTCGAGGAAAAAAAAGAGAGAGAGAGGGAAGGGGTAAGAAGAAGGAGCAGAGCTGGACATCTTTCGTGAAATATTTTATTTATACAGTGGGGGGGGGGCGGGGGGGCACATAGAGCAAAGCATTGAAAAAACAAAACCGAAATGATGAACGAAGCAAAGTGCCGACTACACCGAGCATCTTCTTATTTCCTCTGATCGTAAAAAAAAAACAGAGAGAGGGAGGGAGAGGACGGACTCGGCGGAAGCCGCAGACAAGCGGGGAGCCGGCCCCAACAATTTCCCCAAGCTCTGCGATACTCGATATATTAAGGTGTCGTCGGCCGAATCATGAGTGCTTAGGCGTGGGAGTGAACTAGAGCATCAGGAGAAAACCCACACGTGCGAGGAGAAATCACTCGACCCCATACAAATGGAACATATGGCGTCCACACGTTGCCGTAGTACACATTCTTCTGGCGAGCCAGCGTTGTGTGACACCTCCTCCGACGCCCACGGAAAGGGAGTGTCACAACATTTGTGTGACGAACCACCGACCCTGGCTGCCTCCACGGCGCTGGATTACAGGCCACGTGCAGCATAGCCCTCCGATCAGCGCGGTTGGCTACGTACGGCGCCAAGAAAATAAGAAGTTCAACACAGACATAGCCACCGACCGCTATGGGGACCACTTGACCCTCTCCTCCTTATTTTGGACAGAGGGTAAACCAATACTTTGTGTCTCTCAAAATGCCTTTACAGACCCGCCCCACGCCCCCCCCCCCCCCCCCCATGGCCACTTAGACTCTAATTTTCTCCAAAAATATTCACCTGGTCTTATGATACATATGGCTGATGTGTGTACGATATGTATCAATGGCTAAATGAACCATTGCGCGTTTGCCTAGTTTCTGGATGCAAACACGAGATTACCATCGTCCACGAAATACCGTTAATCAGGCCCGCTGCGGAGATGGAGCGATGATATCGGCTCGCGTGCAGTCCCGAGATTGATGATTGCGTTAAAGGTCCGTGGGAGATGGCGACGGCTTGTGGAGGCATTCGTCCAGCAGTGGATTGATCGTGAATGTCGATGATGACCAAATAACTGTGATTTGGTACCTGTGGTTGGTAAGTGAACACATTGGCACATTTCTGGTCACTTTTGCCCATTATTGCAGCGAAATCAATTGAAAGTGAATGTTTATTGTTGTTCCGAAAAGCCGGTGGCCATCACAGCGCATTCAAGCGTAATTGTGCGTCAACAAAATGTGTTACAAGCATAATGTTGCATTGGCAATTACATTAAAAGCCATGTGTATGGAGCCTAATAATGATAATTATATAACATCGTTCGGCAAGAATGTAACGCGGGGAACCAATGTTCCCAAGCTGTAGGAACATTATAGGGCATTTCGTATTTAAATCGGCAGATTGAGACCATGTTCCAGAAAACAGGGAGACGAGGTTTCAGGCCACATTGGTTAAGGATAAAAAAATATTTTGAAAAGATAAAACTGTATTGTGACTTAGAAATAATTAAATTTGAACGCATCTCAGAGGTAGCCAGATGGCTCAGAGTGCTTCAGCTGGCGCTGGCAAGATCCTGGGTTCGAATCTGGGCACTAGTTCTTGAAGGGTAGTAAGTTGATGGTGTTTTGTACAGTCCCCAATGTCTCACATCGGGACGCATAGACTCACATAGAGACCCATAGAATGAGCTGTGTTAAATTTGGTGCTGCCCTTAATTTGGCTAAACCACATCTCCGAGTATATGTATATAAAAAATAATAATGGTTGAGCTGTCATTCGACAGGCATTATTCTCAGTGACAGAATACGCGGGAAAGTGATGGCCTCTCCTGATGTTGACCAAAGGGTCACTTGAATGGATCTCTGAGATAAGTGCTGTGATATCCACTTCATGGGCCATGAGCTAATTGTGAAGAGTTGCGAATAATTGGGACACAATTTGTATTTCTTTAATAGATCGCATCTCAAAAATGCAAACAGGGGAAACTCGAGGGTTTGAATAGACTTGTTTTTATTTTAACAATGCTATTTACAGGGACAACTGATGATGGGTAGAATTCTATAGATCAGAAAGAGAACTTGGAAAGGGCATTTTAAACATGTTTCAAACATTTTGGAATTCATCCCCACATGATATCATGCCCTGCGTTGCAGCCATTATGTGCCATGCCTGTAAATGAAGAGACCTGGACGTGGGGTTGGTGTATAGCACAGAGATGGAGCAATCACACGTGTGAGGCACGCATCTGCAGGCCAGTGAGGCAGTGCCTAAGAAAGCAGTACACAAAGTCGGTCGTGTATAATAGGGCATGAGTGCAATGGTATTTGTGTGTGTGCTGTTTTCTGTTAACACATAGTTCCTGCTACAAATCAAAATACCCTAAGAACAATTGGTCAAATACCCGAAACAGGACCCTCATGAGAAGGCATTGTATGATGCACTGAGACTTCAATATGCAAATTAAGTTCTAAAACATGGGGGTTGTGGGATTATCGTTGAATGCATTAAACAATAATCATAACCTTCATCTCAAACCTGTGCTGCATAAAGCTGTCACGAATAAATTAAGCAATTTACATTCTGTATTCCCACATGAAGAAAAAAATATGTTCGAGCTAATTTGCCTTTTGCCCCCTACCGTAATTTTATTTAACCAGCAGCATCTGTTGAAGCGCAATAGGTCGATAGGTAAAGGTGCAGCCCCTGTAATTTCTTGCTCATGTCACTGCTGACACAGGGGGCTTCACTTCAGGGAGCTCTAGGGAGCTTCACTGGAGAGAGAGACCAGTAGACTTCAATATATGTTCTTTGCGAATATATGAAAGGGAAAATAACGTATTTAAATTAAATATGCATCACCCAAAAGCTTGCTCCGCTATCGTGCGAGACAATCGTTCGTTATGAATTCTAATGAGAGTCACGGGTCTCCCTACTCCTGACCTCCGGTCTCCGTGCCACAAGGTGGCTTTTGTGACCGAGCTCAACGGGCATGGATAGAGAACACATACAGGCAGAATACGACAATGTCACAACACACAAAAAAACTCCCATAAATATTTGTTACGCCCGCCTCTTCCCAGCGACACAGACACAAATCGATACGAAATATGAAAACCGATGTCTGTGTAAACGGACCCTTATTGATATTGTCAGTCGACGAACGCGCCCCAAACCCATCCCCTAGCCCACCTCGATATAAACCTCGTCATATAACAGCTACATAAATAAGATTTACAACAGCGCGCAAGGGACACGTTTAAGTACAGCGGGACGTGGGGCGTGCGCAGGGTGGGGCAGGGGGGCGGGGTGTGTGTGTATGTGTGTAACTAACAGCGTTCGTCAGAGCAGAGACGTCTCCCGGCTGCTGTCGCTGCGTGCGCTGGGGGCGAATCGTCCGCAGGACACCAGCGAATGTCGCTCGACCGCTGCGTCGCCGTGGAGTTGCATCGTCACCACCCTCACGGGACGGTGCTCGCCGCCGCCGCCGCACGCGCACGTGGTGGGGCCCCGTGTGACGATCTCGTCGCGTGCGGTCAAACCTCACACGTGCTCCGTGAACCCTGACCCCTGCTTGACTTTACTATTACGTGGCCACGGCCAGAACATCATTCCCAAACTAATGGGCACTGACCAGCGCGGTGAAGTATGGTGAAACAACGCCCCCACCCTCCCCCCCCCCCCCACCGTAGATCAGCAGCAACAACGCACGGTCATGCTGCGCCCCCTCTCTACCGGATGTCCGTCTCAAAGGGATGCAGCTTTGTCTTAGCCTAGGGGGCCACCCGATGACAGCCGTCCCATCACGACGCGGGGGAGATGGCCTTCATTCAGCAGTGGATTGGCAAAGGGAGCTGTCTATTATTTTATTTTTCCAAACCTTAATTGGTGGTAGAGACGATTAGTTTGTGTTAACACCTTACACACCTGGGATTTTGTTTCCTTCTCCTGGTTCTCAGGTTTTCTCCCATGCACAAAATACCGATATATACTCATTGGCCAAATATTACCAATTCTGAAAAGCAATTTTGAAAGGTTGTCCAATATACGCTTTTTAAAACGACAAATTGACTGTGATTATATTTTTTGAGAAATCTATTAAAGTTGTCTCAGTGAAATGACATCGTAGTACTCCTCATTCTAATTGGATACGGGGGGGGGGGGGTGTTTACAGGGGTATCCGCGCGGGCACGAGGGAGGGGGTGGAGTGGAGGGTGGCACGGTGATTACCGCACTGCTTCTGGGAACACGGCGGCGGCTGCTGCTGCTACTGCGTTGGCAGCAGTGCACAAGCACCGCCAACAATGTGCAACTCAACACGCTGTGGCCTTAAAAAAGTATAAAATCGGGAGATGTTTATGCAGCAGGGCATATGTGTTGTGGATCGTTCTCCAGCACATCTGTGGTGGTGCTCAACCAGGAATAAACTGGCACCTTGGTTCACGTGGCAACTGCTGGACATCTGTGAAACTACTGGACATCTGTGAAAAATAGCTTTATAGCTCATCGGATTCCTCCACTATAAATACATTATTCTGTTGGCCGTGTCAGGTAGATGATGGTGTACGACACATATTTCCCTTTCACGATCTGAACACAAAAAAATAATAATTCAGAATCAAAAGCAGCAGAGTACGTATACGCCGGGTGATCGTTTTGGCTGGGTGGAACTGGCACAATTACACGATTCGTACCGGGCTGTTCTCGCAACGGTCCCGGCACAGCCTCGGGTCCAATTCCTGACTGCCGTGGAAACGCGGCACTCCAGGGGCACCGTCGAACGAACGGACTGTCCGCGGACTGTCATCGATTTCGTCTACGGAATAAAGTAGGACCCATTTCTGGTCTGGTTTGTATCTTCCTTTAATACAAATGGACTGGAAAACCATCGCGACGATACACCTTGTGTGATATCCGTGGGCCGTATATTCACAATGTGTAGAGTAACGTGTATGGCGTGTGTCATTTTATTTTTTTATCAGGCTTCCTTCCTTTGATGAAGCCGGTCCACACAACGTGACCGAGCGCAGCGCGGCGCAACCACAAGGCAATACCCATCCTTGGTTGTTGTCCCATTCTGCTGTTGCCCTTTCGGCTGTTGCCCCTTCGAAACGACAACTCACACTCGAGAGGCCTCCGAAGAGGTTTTGTCAGCCTGCGGAAGCCACGTGGGATCGATAACGCACTTGGCGTGACTTAATAAAGCGTGGGGTTTTTCGCAGCCAAATATTCGAGAGTGGTGATTCGCTTCTGGGTTCGGTCACGCAGTCATCAGCTGCCCATATTTCTAGCGCGAGACCCTCCGCCACCCGACACAGCCAAACGAATGACATCGTCACGCGGCATACAAAGCAAGTTTGGTATACACGCGTTTAACGACGGGCCAATTATAATTTGTTCAGCTCGCCCACCCCACCGGTTTCGATGAAGCGCAATTCTCCAATTGCCCAATTCGGGAGTGAGTATTGTCCTTCAACTTTACCGGTGGGTGAGCTGAAACAAGAACAAAAACCCTCGGCACGTTCTTAAACGCTCGTACGCCACGTGACAATTTCACCCGTTTGGCTATGGCGGGTCGCGGAGGGTGCCTTGACCAAAAATAAATCAGTAGTGAACAATGCGTGATGCAATTACTTGCGCGATTAAAGTGTAGCTAGCATTTGGACACCGGCATGGGGCCATATAACCACGTGTGTGTGATGATGATCGTCACACCCACATCTCGTGCTGTTTCACCCGAAACAGCACGAGATGTGGTGAGAGCACCGACAGAGCGACGATCTTTGTGCCAGTTGCTCTTTTGTCACCCGGACAATCGCAAAGTGTGGACCAGATTCCCATACATTTCCACCGCAGCGTATTCTACATAACGGCCTTCGGAACTGGTCTTACCCAACACCCCCATAAGTCTGTACATTTACAAAGTGCACCAAAAAACGAGGCAGCCCCCCCGCATAGAGAACACCCTCCCCCATCCCTCCCCTCATGCACGTTTACAAATTGCACAAAACAAATCGCGGTGACATCCAATCACGTGCGACTGGCTGGCGAGGTCATTGTGCCCACTCCCTTGCGATTGGCTGCTAGGTATGCACAGCCTATGACGTGCGCTGTTAAGTGGACTGCCGGCCAATCACACGTACGTTGGGGGTGTGGCTATCCGACACCCGCCGACCAATCACGTGAGAAGTAGATATGGCGGCTCTGCTTGACGGCCAATCGCATGCGAGTTGGGCGTAGCTGCTTTTCAGACCAACGAAAATTAAGGTTTGAATTTATTCAGTAGATAATAATAATAGCGACAGCAGCATAAAGGAGACCTCTCACCTGGCAGACCAATCAGTGCTGCCCTTCGAGTTCTCAGTGGCTCAACAAAATAAACAAAGCAAATGACTTTAGAGCCACCAACTATTAAATGCACGTGGCCGACGCAGGAGATGCTAGATACATTACGGAATGAGCTGATTTCAAGTCAACAGTAAAATATATGAATCACAAGTAAATGTTTCTGTCGAAAACCAATCAATGATGATTCAATTGTAGTGGAGAGACGCTGCAGCTGAGGGGATGAGACAGAAGAGGACCCTTCGCTTAACCTTCCGATGTTAACAGTTTAGAGGTTGATTTGAAAGTTAAAGACAACTTTATTTCGTGATAATTACTCGTCTAACGTGAATTCAATAATACAAAATGAACCAAATACAATATGTACCCCCCCCCCTTTTGTTAACCCATTCCATTGGGCATCTCTCTCCTTTCTTCCTCCACACAGCTTCAACCTTGAACTCTCCGTCATATATAATGGCCAGTCAAAGCTCCTCCTCCCCCTCTAAGCTCCCATTGGTCTGCTGCCGAGACCCTTGTCCATGCCTTACTCTTTCTACGTTCGCCCCCCACGATCCCCTCACCGCAACATTCCAGACGACCCAATATGACGCTTTCCAGAATTCTCACTCGCACCGCAATCACGTGACGACATCACCACGATTCTCCGACTGGGCTCACACTACAATCGCACATCAACGAGATCATCACATTGACCATCTTCAAGGTATTCTTCCCTCAAGGTACCCCCTTCCCGGCCCACCTTCCCTCTCAGCCCACTCTCCTCTCATCCATGCACACTCCGCTCCTGCAACCAATTGCTTTCTGCTGAAGCCTCAAATCGACATTCGCTCAGTGCGAGGTCGCTATTTTGCCTGTGTTGCCATCAAACTATGAAACTTCCTTCCCCCAGCCACCTGTGCTGTCCCCTCCTTGCCACTGTTCAAGTCCAGGATCAAAATCTTCCTCCCTTCCTCTGACAAACTCTGCTGAACATCTGTGACAAAAAGAGCTCCAAAGATAATCAGATTCTTCCGGTATAAAATCAAGAGTCTGCTTCTTTAGTCATGAAATCAATGTTACTCCTTTCCATAGGATTTTCATGTACAACTGTTGTGTAACAGCATATCGAGATTTGGTTGCAATTAGATACTATATAATGTTGAAATTGTATTGTGTTGGTAATGGACTTTTTTTTCACCACGGTCGGTGGCTCTGTGTGGATTGGTCATGACAAGCGATGGTCAGGAATGGTTCGAATATCACTCGCCACTCATTTTAGTCACAGTCACCAATCCAATTCAGGTCACCAGGGTTCATAGCAGTGCTGTGATTCCTGCACCACTGCAACCTCAAATTGAATATGCATGCCACAAATTAAAAGTTGGACTAAGAAACTGTATTATACTCATCATCTGTGCTAGGCAATAAAACCCGTTTCCTTTTACGCGAGGCTGCTTGGTCTCCTACTCTCTTGGCTACAGCGTCCCATTGCCAAGGTACGCTCATTTGTCACGAGAAAGTTACTGGTAAATACCTGGCGTCACCCTCCACCCATGCAATGACGGTGGCACCCGCTTATCCCCCCCCCCCCCATCAATGCAAGGGTTAGCGAACCCAGGAGGGGTTCTGGGTAGGTTCCAACGTGATCGTAAACCTCCAGAGAGCCTCCGGACAATCAGGTGCAGAGGAGCCGTGGCCACGTGTTTGGGTACACTCTGCGAAAGGTCACAACGCGAAGTTGACGCCCGCTTGTTGAACACCCCCCCCCCCCCGATCACCCTTCCCCTGCTCGCAAGTAGCTGGAGCCTATTGCTTACATTACACACACCGCCACGAGAGAGAGAGAGAGGCGCAAGCAACGAGAAAGTGAGTAATTAAAAGGCCTCCAACGGAAACGTCGATTCGCCAATGAAACATACCCCACGAAGATCAAAGCGGCGAATTTCCAGGTACTCTCCGCGTTAGCAAGATGCAACCCACGACTTTTTTTGGATCAGTATATGATTGAGCCACGAAGCGTGGAATATACGAATGAGCCATGCAGCTTGGAGCACATGAATGAGCCACAAAGCATGGACAAATGAATTATTATGAACGCACTGCTTTGTAATGGGGAGGTCGGGAAGATGAGTCCGCACAGCCCGTGGTGTCGTCTGCTTGTCCTCTTGGTGGTCGCTGTATTGCTATGGAGAACTGAATTCCGGAAGGTGACTCTGAAAAGCTAGATTATCAGGACGCATCGCGAACGTTTTGCTTTAAAATACAGGGGAAATAGATTGGATCTAATAATCTGGAGAATACGGTAAGAGGTTGTGTCGCCCATCGTCATTCTCGATTCACATTGTGAATTAGAGTTGACGTATAACGCTTCCAAAGGCTGATTTTATTCACTTATGTATTTGCTGTCACCCTAATTGGGTGTTTTAAATTGAAATATGCACCGTCTGTTGGAGATCTTTAATTACTGAACTTATTACTTTCACCTGTCATACACCAACACCACCATCATCATCACCGACGATCATTGCGCCTGCGTAAGAATGATTACCGTCAGTTGCCATGAATGTTGATCAACATTATTTCAGTCAACATCATCATCATCATCGTCGTCGTCGTTTGACAAAAGACGCAGAGCCGAGTAAAAACCCACCAGGCATGGACTGATAACCGTCGGCAAAAAGATAAAAAAAATATTTGCGCGACCCAAGTGCCGAAAGCCTCTCCTCGTTTGTGCGAAACGACGACGTGCACGGGAAGCGCTTGCGAGCCGCGAACGCCGCCGTTTGCGTCGAGACGCAGTGGATACGCTTGGGTTGCCGCATGGCTGGCTCTGACCTGGGATTGACCCCGACAGTCCAGGAATTGACAGCTGTCATTTGGTGGCAGCAGGGATTGATTTGTACCGAGGATCTGCTACTGGACATTTTCTTGAACTTCGTCACGGTAAACTGCCACGTTTTCATACCACTCATCGGGCGCAGGAATTCATTTGTAGCGAGGATCTGCTACCGGCGTTGCCGTGCACGAACTTTATTGCAGGAGACTGCGGCACAGATCTGATCACTGACCCAGTGTGAAGTATGTCCGGGTTTTCTTCTCTCCAGCGGACAAGGTGGCAACCCTGAGGTGTACCCGTTGCCCGTGGGCATGTTTTACCAGGCTCCGCATCGACGACCGTCGCGCCCGTCCAAAAGATCAATCGAGTAGTGCTACAAAACGCCCCCTCGAAACCACGAACAGCCACGCCCGCGCATATGTGTAAATATGTATATATATACATAGAGAATACGTAGGTGGCGCGTGTGAACAGTTATACCCTATGCCGTGGCATCGTAACGGCGCGTGGGAGTGACGATGCCGTGACACTTGGCCAGCAGCCCTCTGCCTCGCTCCCGTGACCGGACGTTCCCGGGCTGTGCTTGTCCAGCCCGAGCCGTCTGTGCTCTATCCACCCACCCCCCCCACCCCCGGTGTGCCCATTAGGCTCTGGGGACTCTGAAAGTCTCACTCTGTCCCTCCCACAACCTCCTCTCCCCTTCTACCCCTGCGGCCGTAAGGGTGGCGGGTCAGAAAGGGGGAACCGGTATAATGACACGTGACGAAGTGTGTGTGTGTGTGGGGGTATAAGATTATATAGTCATTTTCAGTATTTGCCGATCCACTGACGGACAGAGGCATCTCTAAAGCCTGATGGTCACGGGTGTTTTTTTTTTTAAAGCGAGCGCACTTCAATGCGCTGGTTGAGTGCGGATCGGTGAAGTGAGGGGGTGAGGGGTTGGAGCTCAGTACTGGTTCGGATATCACTCATCGCAGACGCTGGCAAGGCGGCCCTGGTTATTGCTGCAGTGTGCACTAACTGTGATAATACGTTGCCGTCTGATTAACAGTGGGTGTTCAAGATCCCGGGATGTAGTTCACAAAAAACTCTAAAGAGAGACAATGAGTCATTCGGAAAACTCTACCGCCCACCGACAAAGCCATCCTCGCATCACCAGCAGCAGCAGCAGCAGCCGCTCCACTCCACCCCACGTGGGACTCTCTGCACGTGGATAAGGATCAAGGGACAGGGGCTCGGGGTTGAAATTTGGAGAAGGGTGTAATTGAGGCAATCACAGGAATGCATCAGTGGATGACTCCGTGCCACCTGCGGTCCCATCGCTCCGCATCGACACTCGTCAACGCTCCTAGCCTCTCCGCGACACTCCCCGTCAATACTTGTGAGTGCTCTTAGTCGCTCCACAGTCAGTCCCCTATTCATGACTGCAAACTGTGAATCTTTCTACATTCCATGCGTCCTCTTCATAACTACAAACACTACCCCGTCACACCACACCCCATCACACCTCACCCCATCACACCACACCCCGTCACACCTCACCCCATCACGACTCACCCCGTCACACCTTAGCCCATCACTCTTCGCTATTCCTCCGTGCCACTCAACACCACCACTTCTCCACAACCCGATCCCTCCTCTCCCTCATCACAACCGTGCAGTCATTACTTGTTTGTCTCCATCGCCATCACTCATCCTAATGCCCCTCTTCCACGCCGCCCCCTCGCCCCTCGCCTCCCGCCATCGGCCCTCCGTGTCACTTCCTCCCCTTCCTCCTCCTCGTCGTTACTCCTCCTCCTCGTCATCGTCGCCCTTGTCGTGGTAGGTGATGAGCACGACGGCCGGCTCAAAGCAGTCGTCCAGGAACTTGAGCAGGCTCCGGTAGAAGTGGCGGCGCGAGTGATTGTCCAGGAGCGTGTGGCCCTCGTCCGGGAAGATCTGGGGAGCGCGTGCCAAGTGAACGAAGCCGAGTGTCAAACATGACGGAGGAGCGAGCTGGTGAAGTGGTGGAGATTCCACATTCCTATGATGGGGGTCGAGTCTATCCAGAGGACAAACCGGTCCCGCACCACCGATTTAGCACGGTTGGCTACGTGCGGTGCGAAAGAACTTCAACGTTCTCACGTGGACTTCCTCACAAAGTGGTACTCATTTTACCGTCCGCGGAGGAATGATGAGTTAACCACCCAACCAGGTTTTGAACTCTCAACCATCTGACTGCGAGCCTCTCGCTCGCTCTCCTGCTGGGCCACTTTGGGGTTCAACGCACGTTGAACTTCTTTCGCACCGTACGTAGCCAACCGCGCTAATCGGAGGTGCGGGGGACGGACAACAAACTGAACACGAGAGGCAGTTCTAAACAACATCAGCCACCCGCGTGTGCGTACAACGAATGCGACGATGGGACACGCGCAATGCGATACCATCGTACGATGCAATTCGGGTCGGACACAGTGACTTAGCGTGACCGCACGTCAGGACGCTGGGCAGAACAACAATACGTGTTGCGCATATTCATTTAACGATAAGTCAGCCATAGACGATTGGTACTGTAGGTGATGTTGAAGGTGGAATAGTTGATGATGAAGATGATGATGATGCCAAAGACTTTGACAGTGAGCAGAGTTTGTCAGTGGTGCCACAGGCACACTCGGCAATAACAATGAACACACCCGGCGATAACACTGCAGCCTTAAAATAAAATAAAAACCGGTGACGTTTCAGGCAACATCCCTTCTTTCACAGCACACAAGGGCAGTGGTTGTTGATGAGTGTGTTGAGCTTTTCATGACGGTAAAGGTAGCAAGAGAAGCACCGACGGTGATGATGATGATGACGCTGACGACGATGATGTTAGAGGGCTGTACCTGGAGTGTGTAGTTGGCCCCAGCGTTGATGAGGTGAGTAATGAGCTCCGCCGTGTGCTGAAAATGCACCTTGTCTACACAGACGGCACACAGACGGCACATACAGCCAGCACACAGAGACAGTACACAGAAGGGACACACACACACAGCACACAGAGCCAGCACGCACAGAGCACACACACAGCACACACAGATACACACAGCAGACACATATACACACGTGTAAAAATACACACGAGACAAAGATCCCCTGTGTAGCCTTGACACGCTGATGGGGCAAGTGCTGTTAGCGAGTAGCACCTATGAAGGTTGGGAGGATGAACTTTGAGATTTGTAAGGGCACGGTGTGAACTAAGAATTGGTCTGTAATTAGACAGGCACTGATAAGGGGTTGTCAGGTATGTATTTTTTTTAATAGAAGATATGTTGGTAAATTTTTGTTAAATCATACGAACAAAGAAAAACATGGGCACATTTTTTTAGTAGGCCCTTTTAGTTTTCTCAGGCCCTAGGCACAGTGCCTATTGGATAATACGGCCCTGGTGGGTGGGTGAGTGGGTGGGTGGGTGAGTGAGTGGATGAGTGATTAGTCAGCCAGTCAGTCAGCCAATTCGGCTCAGTCAGCCAACCCATGGCAACCTGGGTCTGTCCCGAGACCTCCTGTCAGCGAGCCTTCGACACTTCACGTGGCCTTAAAGTGCACCTAGCCTGGCACAGGCGCCGTGGGGACGTCACCGTCACGAAGTGGCAAATAGCGGGTATTGGTATTGGAGTATGGGGCGGTCCATAAATGACGTCACGCGATTTTGGACGATTTTTGACCCCCCCCCCCCTCGTCACACAGCGTCACAAAAAGTCAGACCACCCCTCAAACATGACGTCACAAAGCTCTGCCCCCCCCCAAAAAAAAAATGCTTCAAATCTCTTTAAACTATTGTCATTGTAGTGCGTATTTAATGTGGCGCTGCACTCTGATGTTGTAGGAGAAAACATTTATTAAAAAGTATATTTAATTAAGTAGAACGTGTTGTCTATATTTATTTAAAGTTGCGCATTTTTAAGTAACGTCACATTTCTCACCCCCCCCCCCCCCACCACCACCTCGTCACACATCGTCACAAAACGTCTGACCCCCCCCCCGCCCCCAGGTGCGTGACGTCATTAATGGACGGCCCCTATGCCCTAGGCCCGTAGTCTAGGGTCTGCCTATAGGATAATACGGCCCTGACGAGAGCGCATGAAGCAGCAGGTACCGTCGGCCGTGCCGTGCACCAGCAGGAGGCGCCCGTCCACCATGCGGGCCACGTGCGGCAGGAGATTGGCGTCCTGGGCGGGGTGGGGGTCAAGTCGTCAGCAAACACATGCACGGTCAATTTTCGTCAATTCCACTGCTGGATGAGCACCATGTGGGTCGCGGGGGGGGGGTGGGTTTTACGGAAATCCCCACACCGCGCTCGTGGAGGCAGGCGGCATATAAGCGGGCATAGAGGGTGCAGTACAATGACAGATTTCACCTAGACACGGCTGCCAAAAATAAACCTCGGCCCACAAGTCCTTGAACAACGCGCCTTGCATATTGGTTACTCATCCAAGCTCTTAACCGTGCCAACAAGTGGAACCCACCTGGTCATAGATTCTCACTTATAAGAGTTAATAATAAATACATAAAAACACATCCATCATAAACACTGCGGCCTGAACAGAAAATAACAAAATAGTTGACGTTTTGGGCAATGGCCCTTCTCCATTGCACTTTGTTGTTGTTGTTGTTAATTGTGCACCACCGCCAATGCAGGAGAAGCATCGTCAAGTGATTTGTTCCCGGATTATGGCGATTACGTGTTCACTCATTAGGGCGACTGCTTGTTCATCAGTTGCGTGGCTTCAGTTTTGCGGCGGGCGGTGACGGACTCCCACCTTGTAGGCCTTGCCGTCGCGCGAGGGGATCCCCAGGTATCGCTCGGAAAAGGCGGAGGCTAGGGACAGGATGAGGGCGCACGGATGGAGAAAGCGGCACATGGGAACACACAAAACACACCAGCCACAAGACACACAACCGCAATTATTCCAACGCTGAGGCAGTCCCCCCCCCCATAGCCTGACCTTGTCAGGGAGAGGGTGATAAACGACACAGTCAGAGTCACACACACACGTTCAACAAATGTTGAAACGCTCGACGGAACGAGCAACCGATGCACGATCTGCTGTTGCCCGTCGCGCATATCTGCTCCAGCTCTTACTGCCTGAAATGCGGGGGGGGGGGGCGTTTTCCCCCGCCCCCTTTCCGCCCCTCCCCCTTCGTTTAGCCGTGGGGGACGCGCAAACCGACCAAGCCCACGTCAAGAATCCTGCAGCAAAAAAATCCCAACGGCGAGTGGCACGCGCGGGGAGAGAGAGAGAGAGTGAGAATCGTGCGCGCGAGCCTCACCATAGAGGGAGAAGTCAGTGATCGGCGCCACCACGACTCCACATCGGGCGAGGCCTTCGCCAGCGCTCAGCAGCATGGCGCTCATGTAGCCCCCGAAGCCCTGCGCGGACAATCAAGCACGCGGCGCTCGCTCGTTCACGGTTTACATTTACGCCGCGCGCAAATTGAACTCGAATTGGATTGTGTAAAATTGACAAACGTGGTGACGTTTAAAAAAGGTGCTGAGCTACGTTTGCTCCGCTGCTGTCCTGGACAGCATGGCTCCAGCCGTGGCGTGCTGCTGGATAGCTGTATTTTCAACCCCTTATCAGTACCTTTCTTATTACAGACCAATTCAGACCTTATTGGTCACCCCGTGCCCTTTTAAATCTCAACGTTCATCCTACAAAGTCCCATCACAAGGGTGAAACACAAACAGACAATTTATTTTGCCCGTATTGAAACGGCTGTGCGCCGTATGGACCCAAAAACTCAATTTCCCTGTACAAGAATAGGAGGAGGGGGGGGGGGGTGGTAAACCATATGGGTTCACAGCTATGGTTATTAGGATGTTTTTTTTTGCCATCCCGAGTGCAATTACCTTTGACGATACGCGTTAAGTCACGTGCTTAATAAGGAAATAGACTTGAGGGTGTTGAGAGGCGCGGGGGAATGAATTAAAGAGATAAGTCTTGAGAATTTGACATCAGTAAGTGATGGCACCGACGCCAGATGAATCACGTTCAGGAGGTGACTCCCCGGAGGCACCAGGAGGCTCATCGCCAGCCAAAACGAAATGAAGACCGTCTGTATTCAGCTTAACATACCTCTGTGAGTGTTATTTATTGACTTACTTATTCTATAAAAATGCCTTGTATATTTGCATTCTTTATATGAGTCCAAATTCCCCCAGCTCCCCTCCCAAACACATTTTGAATAAAGACTCAGTGTATCCGATTATGCAATTTCCGGCTGTTGCATCTGCTCACTTGCTGCTGACCAAATTCCTTTCTGATTGGCCATGGTTGTGTATAAATTGAGGCTGGTGAAATGGAAAGTGTCGTGCAGTCTCCCCAGGTAGTGGTCATCTTACCGTTATGATGATGGTCGTAATGATGATGATGATACATGAAGAATATAATGATTATGATGAAGCTCTTTACGAAGTGAACGACATCCTTGCCATCACAGTTAATCAAGCCTCCTGCATCGTGTGAAGCAATGCTTACCTTTCCATACACACCTACGCGGCTTGAATCTATGTAGGGTAAAGTGGAAAGGAACCTGGACACAAATACACAAAATAAATCAGTGCCGGATTAAGCTAGTGCGGGGCCTGTAGCATATGTTATAAAGGGGCCCTAAATATAAAAAAACACATAAATATAAAAACACACATTTTTAACTTGCATAGTAAAGTAATTTTCATTTGCTATACTTCCAGATAATACGACAAATCGCTAACCTTAAACAACCAGACGTTCATAAAAGTTGAAGGCAGTATAGTACTATAGTAATAGAGCAAGTGCAGAATCACTGAACAGGAATTGATAGCTTGAAACCATTTAGCACGGGGCCCTTGAAAGTGTGGGGCCCGTAGCATATGTTACTTTTGCTATTGGGATAATCTGGCACTGAAAAAAATTACAACTATTTACTGTGTTTACATTTGTCCCATGGGCCACAGTAGAAATTGCCACCACCTAAGGTGGCATACACATCTGTAGTGGTACCCATGTTATTTATACGACCAATGAGGGTGGATTTCACGAAAACCCCACTCATCTCAAATCGGGGTCACACAATTAACCGTTACTGGCCACACAAAAACAACGGGAACCGCTAGATTTATGTCATCTCGGACAGAACCGATAACAGAGGGCATCTGGTTCCCGGGCTCATGAACTAACTTGAGAATAAGGAGATACAACTCAGCTTTCAAAAATTCCAAGAGTGTCCTATGTGTTTATTCGAATAAGTGGAGCAGCTTCAGCGTTTTTCCCAAAACAAAATTGCTTCTCGATAATGGCCACGAACGGAGTACATTAAACTGAATAATTTCACTCTATTTACCAGGTAAAGCCCAGTGCGCTATTAGCTTTTTTTATTCAGAGGCAAAAAGGCCACGCGTGATAGCTCATCGAAGTGGTTTATATAATACGTGGGCATTTATAGTTGCAGACAAATAATCTGGAAGCACGTTTCTAAATGTGGAGGGCAAAAGTGGAGGACCAGGGAGAAAAGTCAACGTGACCACCACCGGGAGAGAGAGAGAACACAAAAACTCCACATATACCGGCATCATCGCGGTCCTGGATCGAACCCACGCCCTCCAATGTACCAGGCGAGGCAGATAGCATCTCCTTGTCACCGCAGCGTCACGGAGGTACGTGCGCTGCCGTGATTTTGACGAAAGTTTTTTGTCCAGTTCACATCGCGACTCAGAACTGCATTCCCGTCGTGCTAAATGCATTTTATTTGACGAAATCTGACGGACCCACGGATTTTCATCCTCCTCACGAGCTGGCAAGGCGCGCGTCTACTTGTGTCGCGGCATACCGCCTCGCGTCACATCGTGCGTGTCACGTGGTATTTCTGTGACTGCGCGTAGGGACGTACCGCGTCACACAGCGTCCCATCACCGTCACCTTGCGTCACACCACCTCGCCGTGCCAACCAGGGCATCGCGTTGTGACGCTCTGCGCCGTGCCGTATCGCTTCACGTTGTGACGTACCGAGTCACACCGCATTGCATCACCGTCACATTGCGACATTCTACGTCACACCGGCGCATCCCGTTGTGACGCTCTGCCCCGTGCCGCATCACGCGGCGCCACGCCGCGCGATGCGTCACGTCCGCTTTCACCGCGTACCGGATCGCGGAGAGGTGGTCTCGCAGCGACACGCTGCCCAGCCGGCGGTACGCCGCGTGCAGGAACTCGCTGCCGCGCCCGCCGCTGCCGCGCACGTCGCAGCGCGCCAGCACGGCCGGGTGCTCGCCCATGTGCAGCGCCCAGTCCCAGCGCGACGCGGCGCGCTCGCTCACCGCCTGCTCGCCGGGGGAGCCCTCCCTGCACCGCGCGACGCGCACACACGCACACGCGCACACACGCGCACGCGCACACACACACACGCGCACACACGCGCACACACGCACATGCACGTACGCACGCACACGCACGCACGCACGCATGCACGCACACACGCACGCGCACACACACATGCACGCGCGCGCACACACGCGCACACACACGCACACACGCACTCGCACGCACACACACGCGCACACGCACGCGCACGCACACACACGCGCACACACACACACGCGCACGCACACGCACACACACGCGCACACACACGCACGCACAGACGCACACACACACACACACGCACACACACGCACACACACGCACGCACAGACGCACACACACACACGCACGTGCGAGCGCAGTGGTTACAGGCGGAACCACGCTTGCAAGCGACGGTTCGAGAAACGCATTAGCGGAGAGAGGCAGATAGCAGGCGTCCGTATGGATGTTGAAATTTGTTTTGTTCCACACGTAGCCAACCGTGCTGATCGGAGGCGCGGGGGGGGGGAAGAGCAATAAACTGAGCACAGAGGGCAGGTGTGGGGCATAGCGCTGAACGATTAATCGATTTCAAATCGATTAATCGATTTCAAATCGAAATCGCAAATTGAAACAATACGATTATAAAATCGCAAAGGCTGCGAATTTTAGCGATTGCAAAAGTCCTATTTTACTTTCCTATTGGAATGTTTATTATTTTATTATAATAACTTTATTTATTTAACTTAACAATTGTTCTATGTTTGATTGTTCTATTTCAATTAAAACATTTTAATAATTATCTGTTGGAAGCAATTCCTATCTTTTAAGTTCTCATCCTTGCATTGGAATTTATCGAGCAGTTCATATTTTGATGGTATCATGTGACAATGGTCCATCACACGTTTTAAATCTATTACACCGAATATTGAACTGAAGCTTGACTTACATTTTTTATCGCAAAATCAAATCGTGATCGCAATATCTGTTAGAAAAATCGCAATGATATATTTCCCCCAAATCGTTCAGCCCGAGTGGGACAGTCCCCAGCAGCATTGCCGTTCGACGTTCCTCACAAAGATAAAGGCAAAGATTCCCCATGTAGCCTTTAACAGGCTGTTGGTGCAAACCGCCGTTCACGAGCAGCACCTGTGAAGGCCGGCACGGCACACGAGGCGGTGGGTGGCCGGCCGCTTTTGTCTCCCCAGTGCTGATGTTTATACAAACTGCACCGGGGTACACATTGGAGACCGAGTCGAACTAGGGGAGACCTAGAACCGGTTCAGAAAATCGTCACTGGCGTTGGCCGTGAACGTGAATCGAACTCAGGTCGCCGGGTCTGGTCGCGAAGCGCGCTAACCGCTGCGCCACCGCTCCCCACACACGCGCGTACACGCATGCACATACGCACGTGCGCCCCGCTCCCGCTTAGCCCTGCAGAGCGATGGTACAGCGCAAGCCTTCGCCACGTCGACTTCACTCCGCTACCACGGTTTAATACCCGCACGGTTACAGCCCTCTGTCAATCAGCTGCTGGACGAGGGCCTCCTCACGCCGTGCCAGTCATGCCGCTTGTTTTGGCCCTGCTTCACTACGCCTGCCGCTGCGGACTGCCGAAGGATGGTGGGGGGTAGGGGAGGGGTTCCCAGGACTGGCTGAGATATATTTTTTGCGCCACTGATGTTAGCCGTCGGAGGGAATCAGAACGCAGGCTGCCGGGTTGCCCCCGTAATGCGCAAAGCACTGCGCCACTGGTTCTACCCCGATGCCCGAATGAATGAGATTAATATCACGTGTTAGATATGGTGATTATGATGATGCAATGGTGTACATCATTATCATTTACCATGAGTGCCGGTGGTCTCTAATGGCTAAATATTAGACCCAATGCTTCACGGCTCATTCACATTACAGTATTATAATTCATAAATTGCACTTGTTTTGCTCAGGAAAGCCTCACTGAGTGTCAAGGTTCTTTTTCAGTAGGGTCCTGCCAAGTTTTTTGTATAGTAGGAGGGCGGGCGGACGAAGCTGCAAAAATGCAATCCAAATCGAGTTATTTTCGGGAAGTGTTCCATCATTGGGATGTTTTGTCGATGCCAGATACATTGGGATGGTTTTATTTTTGTCAGCTGCATCATCCAATGCGTGACTGTGCAATCTTATCTCAAATGAATTTATAAAGAATTAACAACGGCACAACGTGTGAATGTAAATGGTGGGGACGAGGTAAATTAAATGGATGAGAGGAAGCAATGTGGGCGAATCTGTGATGCGCGAATTCGGTGAAAGCGAAATTGATGGCAGTAAATGATGGTGAATGGATTGAATAGATGGGGTTAATGAGTGATCGCCATACAATGAGATTATGAAGAGGGAAATGTAACGCTGGTGGTTGTGAGGGGGAGATTAAGGGGTCGTGGGGTGACCGCTTAATGTGGAGGGGGAAGTTTGTTCCAGTGAAGGGGGTGGGCGAGAAGAGAACAAGAGCCAAAGCGTGGATTGAGCACAAGGGGGAGGAGGAGGAGGAACATAGAGAGAGATGGCAAAGATTGAGAGCGTAGAGAGCGAGAAGGCCACGCAGACAGATACCAGAGTGGCAAGACATGGTGGTGCTGAGTGCCAGTGGCTCATCGCCAGCGGCTCCTGGTTTACTCACAGGATCATAAGCAGGGGGTAGAACCCATCCTCCGTGAAGCCAGAGGGCAGGTCCAACTGCACCTGCACTCCTGGGGGTGGGGGTGGGGGGTAGAGAAACACGCAGCGTCGTCCTTTAACATTGACAGCATCGGCGTGGTCCTCATCACCGTCACTCGCTGGCTTCCTCCCACCGTGCGTAAACACCCATCAAGGGAGTTGGGCAAACACGCCGATATAGGAGCACAGAGCTTGGGCAATTGCTGGCGCTGGTTCAGGGCTGCTTTCCCACTTGCCCGTGGGGTTTCCGCGTCTGCGTGCGAAGACAGCGTTCGTAAAATATTGTTTAGCGCTTTTCAAATGCAATTTGCGAAATTAATTTAAATGAAACGTTATTACCATTGTGCTCATTTTTTTTTATCAAGCTCCTAATTTTTTTTTATAGTGGCAATTTTAATCCGAAAGGTCAACACAAAGGATGAGCCCCTGCGTGGATGGCCGCAAGCGGCGTGACGGCGTTGAAGGCCGCACAGCTGGGATACAACCCGGACGGAAACAACCTGTCGATGAAAATCTACTTAAACGATTCTTTTATTTTACCAGGTGAGGCTCACTGAGCTTTATAGCTCTCATTCAAAAGCTACCTGGCCACAAACCGATAGCTCAACAGGGTGGCTTATCGCGTGCATAGCAGTCAAATACTCTAAAAGCGTCATGTTGATTCTCAATGAGCAGGGAAAAAACCGGAGGGCCCCGGAGAAAGAAAAAAAAAGCAGCACGCGACCACGAGGAGAACACGAACAAAACTCCAAATATACAGCAGGCGTCAGGGTCGCGATCGAACCCACGACCTCCTTGCACACTGGGAGAGGCAGTCAACATCTCGTCGCCACCGTGACGCCGTGATCGTGACTCACCGAACTCGTCCAGAGCGAAGTTGAGGTAGCGCCTCGTGGGCAGCCTCTTGGCGGCCAGGGTCGCTCGCAGAACCTCGTTGCTTTCCAGATCGACAAAGTCTGCAAGGCACCCCCCGCGCACCCCACCACCACCACCATCACCGCCAAGACAAGCGGTGAACGCAATCGCCGTTCCGCGCGCGCTCGCTCGCTCGCGCTCGCTCTCTCTCTCATCGCGACAGATTGCGGGAAGGTGAAGTAAGGGGGACAACAACCCCCCTGCAGTCGTTTTTTATTATTATTATTATTATTTTCTGCGGCTCTTCGGAAGTGTCGCGTGCGCATGGCGTGTTACACAGATCCTCTTGCGTTGTTGGTTGATGGACCGAAGTGTCAAATTTGTTGTTGTTGTCGGTGACCGAATGACCACTTTTGCCCATTAATCTTATTTTGTTTTATTACCCACAGTTCGCTGTTTCGCATTGAATGGGCCCCGCGGTGTTCGAGGGAGGCTCTCGCTTGTAGACGGCCCAGGCAGCACAGCACGAAAAAAAACCCCACTGCATTATGGATGATATTGGTGGCGAAAGCCAACGTGTTCAACAGCGCCATTTGTTAACTGGGTCCGCACGCTGCCGATGAGACGCGGAACAGTCCAAGCAGCCACGAATGAGCTGCTGTAAACAAATAAATACCACCAGAAGACATTGGTTTACTAGACACATTGATTCATTGATTGATGAACGATTTAAATTCTCGATATTACATGGCCTCGCCCGACGTTCAATCAGAAGGGCACGATCTGGATTCTCACCGGGTCGAATAATGAGTTGGGGACGGAAAAAAAAAGCCAACTTATTTGGCGATGAAACCGATCAACTAAATGAGAAAGGCGTTTTTTGCTGAATTTTCAACTTTTAAATTTCTAAAAGTAAATACTGCGGAGTAGGTAGACGTGGGGAGAGATTTAGGCGACAAACGGCGTGGCCTGACAGGGTCTCCTGGGCGGGATGCCACCTCTGAGCCACACGGGGGCAGCTCAGAACCGCGCACGTAGCGCCCGCGTTCTACAGACGCGAATCACTCCGCTGTCTCACACCACGCAGGCTTTCGCGACCAATATTATCCATAATAAGACGGGGTTTTTTTGGGGGGGGAGAGGGGAGGGGGGGAGAGGGGAGGGGGGGATTAGATCTAGTGAATATAAATGTGTCGTTAAACCCGCCACCACTCGACGCAGCCAATTAGTAACGTTTGTCACGTAAACAAAAACATGTCATATATTTGTAAATGTTTTCAACTTAAATGCTGTGGGTTTTCTCTCCAACGCGCCGGCGTGCTGTACTAGTAACGAATTGGCATGTTTTGTTTACGTGACAAACCTTACTAATTAGCTGTGTCGGGTGGTGGGAGGGTTTAACGACGCATTTATATATACGCCATCTAACCTAAAACATCTCTATCATCCACTATGTTGTTATACTTTTATAAAGGAAGACTGAAGCTCGTCAGCTCTGCGATATGTTTTCAGGTTTAACGGCGTAGGCCTTCTGTGACCAATATTATTCACGATAACGTTTTTTTTATTTCGAGTTAGATTGACATTTACGCGATCTAACCAAACAAAACAAGACCCTATGCTTCTAGATTGTACCGTGCCTTGTTCGGCATGGCGTCAATCTTTCGGAGCGGAGCGTTCCAGAAGAAGCTCCCAGCACGTGGACCGAAACGTCGGACATCGTGCCGAACGACACGCGGCACAAACACACGAACGCACGTCGGAGAGATGTACAGAGCAATCGCGTGAAACCTGCGCGGTAGTAGAGTAATCAAGTTCACGAGAGGTACACGCCTGGTCTCAAGTCTTCTATCCAGAATGAAGAATTCAATCGGAAATCTCACATCTCCCCCCCTCCCCCACCCTGAATTGATTCCAGTTGCGTTGTTGGGGTCGTGCCCTTAGACGAATAAAATCCATGCAGGGACTTGAGCCCAGGCAAATACCTCCGTTGAACTTTTCAAGTCAGGACACCGCCCTCCCTGAAAAACGATGCTCCCTTTAAAAGGGGTTCCAGACAATGCATCAATCCGGTCACTGGATTACAAAATCGGCAGAGCTATTTCTATATAATCATTAACCGCATTCATTGTTAATAGTGTCTGTAAGGTAGAGGAAAGTGTGTGTGTGTGTATATATAGGCTGAAATTTCAGGCAATGCCCCTCCTTTAGAGTTTAGAGGGAGTACGGGCAGAGAGGTTGACATCTGCAGTATTTTAAATTGCTCGTGTGATGAAGTTGCTTTTTTTGCTGCTGTATAATTGCTTCATTGCTTCACTTTAATTTTGTATTTGTTTTTGCTTTTGCCACTTTGGTGAGCCAGATCACTCGTGCAAATGAGACTCTTCTGCTGGTCTCCGGAGTTCAGAATCAGAATATGTATTTATACTGGAGGAATCCGATGAGCTATAAAGCTCCTTTTCACATATTTTCAGTAGGAGCGGGTAAGAACGTTACGACAATAAACAATAAAAGCAAAAGTCGTGCAAAGTATAAGAAAGGTAAACAAATACAGATACAGCTAAACCATCCTAGATTTGAAGCTTTGGTGACTGCAAGGATCCATACTCTTTGGTTCTATTCGGTAAAGTCACGTAAGGTAAAAAATAAAATAACCATCCCCATCCTACCAACCTGCAACTTGACGGGGCTTGTATTTGGAGACTGTAGCACTTACTGGCACGATGCGTTGGGTTGAAAAACAAAAACTGGGAGACTGTGAAAGCTGCCACGAGCAGCTCTGGGGAGGTGATGCGGCCCAGCGGAAATGCGTTGTGACCGCTTGTTGCAGAGGTTCGCGGTTCGAACCCCTGCGGGCTCCACTGGTTAATACTGCGGGTGTGTTATTAACCATTACAATAATAACGCGACGTCCCGTTGTAGATAACTAAGGATCCTGTCCATAGACGACTCAAACTTGAGTAGGCCATCGTGTGCCGACGCGAGCGTCCAAATGTGCCGATTAGCGGAGGGCATGGCATGCAGAAGCAGCTCAACCTACTCGATCGGGATCACGCAAAACAGTAGCAATCGTCGTCTCTCTCGGGACGGCAGACTAGTGCCCATTTGCAGGCCAGGTAGCGAGCCACTTTGTCGTCACAGGGACAGCTGCCACTGGGGATGCCCTTTGAAATGTTTGAGATTAGATGTAAGGCGCTCTGAAGAAGCCCCTCGGCGTGAAGGGGGCGCTGCGTCGTCATTATTAGATAACGTTAATTTGTCCATCTGTCACTGTCGCCGAGTTAGTTACCAATCTCCCAAAATATATCATAAAGCACGAGAGCTTTGCAGCCGATGCAGGAAATCAGATTAAGTTGAGGCGCCACGGACGTTCACCGTGGCTGTTAATCAGACCCAGGTCGCCGGGGTGTCGTGACGCAAAGTGCTGCCCCCGCCGCCACCCACACCCATACGCACGTGTGCGCAGCCACCCCCCCGCTTTGTCCTTGCATGCCCCCCCCCCTCCTCGCTTGTAACATTCACAGCTTCGCCGCTATAGCCAACCGTACGCTGAGTAACTACTGGAGCTTTCGTAGCAGTTTCCTGAGCGGGAGGGGAACTTCGCCGTAATGAGCAGTAGATTGTCCGCAGGTTTCTTTTTTACGATCGATGGGGCCAGATTCCAGCCCAAGTCGGGAGACGGCTTCTAACCTGGGATTGGGGGAGACCCATTAATCACATTATGCGGGGATGCACCGCACACATACGCAGTGCCGACTTCATCATTAATAACCCAAGTGACTCAAGACACTGGCTAGGCCCAGTTCGCGAGAGAGCCTCAGATTAAATTGGTCTTGAATTCTACGGAGTGTATTTCCACCCCAACAACTTTATGCTATTTGCGTCGTATGCTGAGATAAAGAATCCATTCGGAAACCTCACGGAGCAGTGTTGCATCGTGCGCCAGGGCATGGCATGCAGAAGCAACCTTTCAGAAGCCTTCTTCTGGAAAATTATTCAAGTGGCCTTTTTTTCCTGAACACGTTCGGGGGGTAGGGGGGGGGGGTGCATGCTCCCACGAGCTCAGCTATGGGATTGTCACATGGCAGTCCAACGAATATAATTGGCTTTCATATTCTTGGTTTCTTTCTTCAAGTGAAGACTGCTTGTGTTGCGATCGAAACGTCGTGGGTTTTTTGCTTTTAATTTACATTTTTGTTTTCTATCTACGTGACTTTACCGAAAGAACCAAGAATATGAATGCCTGCAGTCACGAAAGTTTTAAGTCTAAATATATTTGGCTTTTTTTTTAATGAGCGGAGCTGGAATTGAGCCAGATCAAGCACTCAACCGAAATGAAAACGACATTTTATTTGTGTGTGTGTGTATGTGCGGCCGTTCGCCACTGGGCTGAGACCATCAGCTCGCTCCACTCGCACACCCAGTGTTCACGTGGGTTGGGCTGCCACCCAGATGTGAACTCAACCGTGCCGGTCTCTGGAGCCATCCGGCCGCCTCTCCTCCCTTGCCAAAACCAGGGAGAGTAAAAGCTGAGCCAAAGCACCTCCCCCCCCTTGGCAGCAAGGCCACGTGTGCTTATATTCGAAGTAGTGTCGGATGTTTCCCCATTGTCCACCCCCCACCAGTGTAATATAGGCACGTGTTGCTTATATATATACAAGCACGGGGGAGGGATTGTCAGAGCTTAAGCTGAGCTCTGTACACCTTTGAGCTTAGACTATACCACTTCTGTTCTCACCATTAAGAATAATCTCATGTGAGCACTCTGCACACGCGGCTCGTCATCGCTCATTAACATCACGCTTCGTGCCGTGCTGGGTTCGGGTTGGCTGTTTCTGGCAGCACAACGATACGGTTCACTTGCTCGCAAATACCGGTCACCGTGTCGGCGAGCGGCCCCTTCTAGAGAGGCCATCAAGCCGCCAGCGGTACAATGCGACACCAGGGCCGCTTTCGCCCAGAACAAAAAAAAAAACCGTGCTCATCGGCGTGCCATATCCAGCTACGCACGGCCACTATCACCCAGAGCGATGCGACGACGATAACACGGAGAGAGAACGAGGCGGGAGGCGCCAGGAGGAACCACAGACAAGCGGGAAGG